CAACTCACGTAAAGATATGCCATTTTTGACAAGAAAAGCACCTGGGTTGCACGATTTGCACCATCAGCCTGCAACCAGGTGAACACTGCTTTAAAATGCCCTACCGATGTTAGGGCCAAAGCATCTGGCGGTAAACGTTTCCACGTGTCAAGCACTCCACCAAAGTCGGACTGACGTCACGATCGATGTGTCGCGCGGCAATATACGCTCTTTTTGCAAACATTTTACGCAATGCGGCCAACGGGCTGGTAGAAACAGGGTGTCTATGAGCTGCCGCCTCCTCACTAACTATTTTTGCCAAAGATATCACATGTGACCTAGAAAGCAGTCATGCATATTTGAGCTCGGATACATACATGACATCGTCAACTGGAATTTAGGTACTACTTTTGGCATCCCTCACGCTCTTCGGACAATACTACGGGAATGTTTGAGCTTTACCTGCCTGGATCCTGTGCCCAATCTATTTTGAAATACTTAGCTGCGTTGTTTTAACCATTTAGGGAACTAAACGACTCAAGGTTAACTCAAACTTCCAGACCGCAAGGCAGATGAGGTTTGTGCATGGAAAGTTCGAATGCATTGCCATGTGCAGCAGAGAATGATGCCATCAAATAATACGCAATCGTATGCAGTCAAGTTAGCTTGAGATCATACGCTGGCCATTTGCTACCCTGTTATTCTGATGAAGAACCAAGCCACATGAAGTTAAAATGGCTTGATAATATCACACATCCACTAAAAGGGAATTTACCTGCAGCTCAAGCGCACAACAACGATTTGATGACGATCGTGTCCGTGGGGCTCCTGTTAATAGCACATGCATTTATACACTACAGTTACAACCAACTCATTCTTTGCTCTTGTTTCACAACGCACTTTTATGCATCGAACTGAATTGGTTTGCTTTAAGTCCCAGTCCCATGCATGTATTGGTTAATGTGAATTGTTCATTATGACTTGTCGAGCGTGATTGAGTGTTGTCGAGTATTTTTGATTCTACTATGTTTTTTACTGCAAATGTTGATGCCATGATATAGTTAAATTGAAAGAGGTGGTAGGACACCAAATTCAGACCGACGTTTTCGCGCACCACTCGCGTGTCACGCAGGAATCGTGGCATAATAAAGCAACGCTGGTTTGTAGGTGGGAGGTGGGCTGTGAGCTCAGTCCCAGAGCAAATAAACAGAAAATTGGAGTGGGCTGCGTAATTTGGCCGAATGGCTTGGCCCGCAAATCCCGCAGCTGGATTCGTTAATGTAGCGGAATGTTTACCGCCCTATAGAGACGAACCATATATGCTTGACGCATAGAGCGATGTACTTCCCAGCATTTGAACGTCACCTCCCCGTAATCAAAAGTCGTGTTTGATCTCACCTCCAGATAAAAATCGCAAAGGCTGAGCTGACAAACGATTCAATAAATTTTACAACACATGGGGCCATCAGAGACGCGAAGGCTTGAGAGGTCAAACTGAAAAGCTCCAGAGTACGGGAATGACTTCATTCTTTGTGGCTAACCCCGTCTCCGTCTCCTACAACCAAAAATACGTACCATTGTCCATAGCCACCATAGTAGTGCGCCTGCGGTGCCCTAAGGCGGGCCTCCAGGCGGCCTCTAGAGGGCCCTTACTTCCTGATCACGAGTAGCACGTGACTCCAGTGTCCCCGCCCCTTCCCATTTTCGGCTTCCGCCCCTGTATGACCATACGATGCCACTTAGATTTAAGACTACTCTTTAAATGATACGCAGATTTGAAGTATAAATGGCCTCCGTCAAAATGAAGTGTGCTAAATCCGTTGCGAAAATATAGGGAAGGGGGGGGGGGCGGTGGGTTATCGGGCCCTCGGCTCGACCCACCCAATCGTTTTAAAGATTGACACTCCCGTACGTCATATATACGTAAAGTAACGCCCCTGGGTGACAGGACCAGCGATGCTTTTTGTGAGGTAAGGCCGCGGCAGCAGTGAAAAATCGCCTTGGCGAAACCGAAACCATGCGATCAAGATCCCGTGAAGCCAAAGCTGGAGTCATAATTTTAAGATTGCTCAAAGCCTAAGCCCAAACCGAAAGCATTGGATAAAAGCTGCGGCTTCGCAAAGCCGGGGCCAAAGCCGAGCCGGCGTCGTCCCCATGCGTGCTAAAAAAGTGCCACGGCTCGCCGGCGCACCTACGACGCATCGTTCTCCGCCTCACCCTCACCGCAGCGTCGTTATCGTTGGGAGGGCGGCGGCTCCTGTCACTCAGCAGATGGGCGTCTGTCCCTCGGACACGCCAAGGTCGCCCTCGACAACAGGAAAACGGACACTTCAGCTGGAAATATCTCCGTCTTTTTCACTAACCTCGCAACGCGATGGCACGACCGCGGCTGGCTACAGCATGCTTGGGCGCACAGCGTGTCAGCAACACGCGACGACTGACGTCTTGGCGTGTCTGACATGCTTGACATGATTTTGAACACATGTTCTGCGTCGTCAATGTTGAGCGACCGAGATTTTGAGAAATTTGATCAGTCTGATGGAAATAGTGCAAATTCCATTCACCGACGAGCCGACACATTGCAGATGGGGTTATTCCAACCAGGAAGCTTTCTGCGCAACCATTGCTACGTGCAGTAGCCCGCACGACAGCTAGGTGATGAAATCATTTTGGCATGCAAGGTGATCGATAATCGATAAAATAACAATACTCATAAAAATCAACAAGCAAAGTCCTTACTCATCTCCAAAGTGCAACGTTTAGCAGAACTACATTTGAGTGTATTCAATCGGCGGCGAGAAAATCACGTCGCGGCGCATTACAGCGAAGGAAAAGACAGTGCTATATTGCTGTTATTGATACACTCACTACATTAACATGTGTCGTTTTGCGGCGCACATTTATGTGTTGGAAGTGTTATTAAGTTTACAACGACTGATGGTTGTAACGAAGTTATGAGCACGATCAAAGAGGTGTTGGTACTACGTTAAGACTTGTTAAAAGTCACTCCACGCCACTTCTCTTCCCTCCTTCACCATTCCCTCCGTCCAGCCGAGTAATCTATGTTTGCGGTACAGCTGGAGTGGGACAGGTATCTGGGGTACCTATGCACTATGCAGGGGTGATGGTGGGATCAAAGCACAGGAGAGGGAAGTGGACGCACGCCAATTGACGAAACTCTGACCCACTTGGAGACCGACTGTCCGCCAGTCAGGTTTCTCCGGATCGCGGCGTCGTTGCTGACCTTCTCTATTGTCTATTTTCGTTTTGACGTCTCGTTAGCGGTTGCCGATCTGGCAGTCCCTCGTAGCGGCTGGCATGACCCACGCCGGCATATTTTGGGGCCTGCCCCCACGTGACCCGTGGTATCGCGTGACTCCGACAGGTGGGTGACGGCGTGGCGGACTCGCTTGGCAGAGCCCCTGACGACCGGCTGCAGGAAGCGCCAGGGTCCGCCGGCTCGCTCGATCGAACACCAGTAAATAAAATAACGAACCCCAATCGCCGTAGTTCGGCGGAAGCAGTCGATAGGTCACAGCCCGAATTCCCGGGGGTCGAAGGTTCGCCATGAATCAGTGATGTAGACAAATGAGCCTGCTCGTAATGCCGTTGATTGTCCCCATATCAGACGGCGTGTGGTGAGGCAACGCTTCAGCGAAGGACCAGCCCGCCATGAACAGGTGGTTTACAGTCGGCGTACGGGAAAACGGCCTCTTGCGATGCAGACGGAATGGTCTTTGGAAACGCGAACCGGTTACTTGTCAAGTAGTGCTTGCCAAGACGTCTGACCTTTCCCGCCGCCCTCCTGCGCCGATATGTTCTTTTGCAGGATTTGTGAAGCTGTTCTTTCCACATCAAGGCCTATGTCTTCTTGTTCAATGATGGAGCTAGTTAGGCTGCGCATTGGCCGGTCGCCAAGGCAACGGCGAAATCGACAGCAAGCACGCTATGCACAGCGCTTTGAGTCTCGGTCTAACACCTGCAATCATCGCGGCACTTGCATCAGCACGGCAGCGCCGCCAGTTTCGAGACACGCCACCAAGCCAACGAGCTGCTAGCAGTCCGCTGCAACGCCCGCCTTTTTGGAAATGCCGCTCCCCACCCTGAAAGGCGGGGGACGCTTCACGGAGTGACGATTGGAACTCTCTCTCTCTCTCTCTCTCTCTCTCTCTCTCTCTCTCTCTCTCTCTCTCTCTCTCTCTCTCTCTCTCTCTCTCTCTCTCTCTCTCTCTCTCTCTCTCTCTCTCTCTCTCTCTCTCTCTCTCTCTCTCTCTCTCTCCCTCTCTCTCTGCCTTGGTGCAATCCAAGGCGGGGAGATTCACAACCAAGTGGCTCGCGGCCCCTAAAGATATCATGAACATGATGCATCCTTATAAACATCGTTATATATTCCGTAAAGCGGGACATTCATCCACCGCGGAAGGCTGAAAAACAGCAGGCTGTCAACGTTGGGAGGTGTTGCCGCTTCATTGCGTTTTAGAAAAGAGCGCCGCTGGTGGGAAGAAAGCTCGACATTGATCCATGGGTTCCGAGAGGTTCGGTTACTGGCACTGAACCAACACTTGATATCACTCATAAGCCGCGACGCTCGACTACCGGCCAAGGAGCCGACGGCCGAGTTTCAGTATGCGGAAGCAGACGTGAGGCGCACGCCAACGTGTGACGTACGGCCAAGTGCACTGACTTAGTTCCACATTATATAAGCCTACGTTCTGCCACGTCTGCAGCCTTAAACCCAGGCAACATGACGACAGCAGACGTGCTTTTCAGCGCTCCCTTATCAAGCTTAAAGCCGAGAAAGGAACACCGCTGAATCAAGCTTCCGCGAACAATGGGCAGCCATTCTGGCTTTTACGCCGGGCTTTCATGCGTCCACGTTGCAAAAGGCCCGCCCGAGCCCACTTCCTTCCGAGCGCGGTTCGGCCAGACGTCACGGGTCGCCGTCCGTCCCCTCCCCCCCACCCCTCCCGCCGTTCCGGTGCGATACGAGTAGCGGACCGACAGACGCAGCAGGACCGGCTCAGTTGCAACCACGACGTCAGCGCCAGCGCATCAGCAGCGTGCAGCGCGTGCTCCCCAGTATTCAGATTGTTGAAATCCGTGCCGGTTCCGTCGACATGCCCAGCGTTGCCGTCCCGAACGTGCGTCGCCGTGCGCCGGTGACAGAGGCTGTACCGGCGCCGTCGGCAGAGGCTGTACCCACACACGACGTTCAGGTGAGCCGGTCGCGTGCTGCCGGGCAGTGGACCTGTTGGCTGCGCGTGGTAGGGGTCCGGCCTTGCGTGGTGCTCTCGAAGCGGCTCTCCAATGACGACGCCGGTAAGCGCGGTACGGCACAGACTGGGGACGGATCAGATCCCAGGCAGGGCTGGTCTGCTGCGTGTAGCCATTGATCCTGCATGCCACTGGGCTTCAGTCAAAAGTACAGCTGTTCCAAGGCCACGTATGGATGTTAACCCGACCTGTGCTAATTTGCCGTGAAAATGCTCATCAGGTGGTAGTTCAAGAGCGCCGATAAGTCTGCCGAGCCGGCGCTGCTCGCCAGCGCCCTCATTTTCGGCGTCCTCTCGTCCGCTCCCCGGTGGTGCCGTGTGAGCGTCGTGTACGCGTTCGGTCGCTCATGATGCCAGTCGTGTGCAGGCGATCGCGAATGTGCAGGCCACACGCGAAACTTCCGTGTCATGAGCAATTATTTCAGCATGGCCCGATTTCAGCACAAACCCCCAGGCCCAATAATTAGAAATACCACAGTTTTGCTTGGCGCCAAAGGCGAAGCGGCAACAGCAGGGAGCTAGAATCGCTTTTGAACTAGGGTGGGAGTGAAAAACTCCATTGCAAAAAGACCGTGCGAGAGTGAAAAAATCAGTTCACAAAAGGTGGAACTTTGAGCTCGTGACTGATGCTTCAGCAAACAAAGACATCTATTTCAAGTTGGCATGGACGTAATATCGGAACCTGACCAATTTATTTCGTTTTTAACATTTTAGGCCATTAAAGTGAAACAGAATACATTAACATACGCTCGGGTGGGGTGGGGGCAAATTGACCCCCGAGGGTTTTTCCCCGAATGGTTTCTGAACGGCGCGGCGTAGCCGCGCCAACCTTTGCCTTGATGTAAAAAATTGCAAAGAGGATCGTTTGACATACAAATTTTAGATATGCCTTGTAAAGCCGCTGACCTATGACAGGTCAAAGTCAGGCCCTGGTTTCAGCGAAGGCAATTTCTAGGAAATCATTCCATCTGATACAGCAACAGAGTGTTTGGCGAAGACATACATTCCTGAGATGCTTTCTTAGACACCAAAAATATTGAATGAGCAAATAACGTTGACCTAAGGTCAGGTATGAAGGTTAGAAGAAGGTCAAAACCAACATGATTTATTACTTTAGGGCTTGCTGTGGGGGATAGTTTTGGTACTCATTTCGAATTTATTGACAGCAGGAGCCGCATTATACATCTTCAATTGACTTCTTGCAGGTCAGAACAGGCCATTGACCTAAGATGACCCGGGTCGAGCTTTTTGTTTTAGGAACATAATGCCTAGCGTAGTCTCTGTCGCTTATTCAAATGCAAACTCAGGGCGGTCTTGTATCATTTTGGTCACCATGGCCTTCAAAGGGCCAAACAAGGTCAATGACCTCAAATGGGCTTGTGACCTTTTGCTTAGAGACAGTTGCCTAGGTTCTGGGGGCGCCTTGTAAACCAACCTAGAATTTAAATTTGTCTTGCTGCTGTTTGCACCAGGCTCTGCTTTCGTGGTGTGGTGGTGAGACAAAAAAAAAAATAGGGGATGGGTGAAAACCTTGTATTTGGTGCACAGCTGCAGATTGTGAAGGATTTCGTAAACAAACCAAACTTAATGCGTGCAAGCGGCTGGGGTCGCTGGGGTTTTGGGGCTTGGAGGTGCCTGGTGCCCTTGCCCTGTGCATACATAGACATGATTCAGATGTAGGTGAGGCAGAACATAGCCATAGGTGTCCAGATTCTGTGGAGCCTCGTTTATGCTTGACGGTTTAAAGTCAGCTCGGTTTTGGATGACATCGGAAAAGGTCAGAAAGGGAAAGAGGGGTATGGCATGTGCGATTAGACAATGTCAGGCAGGAATGAAAAATTCAGATAAAATATGGGAAAAAGGAGTGAACAATTCCTCCTCATAGGGCGTTGCTTTACACCCAAAGTCGGCAATTCCAGGACACTGGGCAACAGCTTGTCAGCGGATTTCAAAGCTGTGTCCGCCGCCTGCTTAGCTGGAGATTGGCATGCAACCTAGTCAGGTTTAAGGACCCCCACTTCAGGCTACCCCTCCCCCCCTCCCCCGCTGCGCATCTCAGTAGACACTTGAAGGCTTTACATCACGGATTCTGGGGGTTCTGTAGAATAATTTTGATTGGTTGCGAATACGCTTTGTGTCCCGTTATGTGGATTGATGATGGGACAAAACAAAATTGAGGACAAATGTCTTTTTCGTGAGACATGATATCAGATGATATAAATTAATACGTGCGCACAGCCTTTGTATTTGTGGTATGGTTTTCAATTCAGTTGAGGAGAGAGTCAGCCCCCAACTTGGGCTCCAGCCCCTAACTTTGAGAAGAAAGCGGGCCAAATCCACTGGAATGTATACCCGTTTGTTGGAGTATTTTCGGGGTAGGTGGCATAGTTTCTCACTGCTTAGCCCTCCCCAACTCTTTTCGCGAAATTACACCCCTTTTTCGTATGGGAGGAACGATCCCTACGTCAACTGAAAATGCAAGACGTTATTGGAATCTGGCTCAATATCGTAGCATCATTTTGCATCTGGTGACCGTGTGACAGTACAGTGCATCCAGCTTGAGGAGGAGGATGTCAAAAGGCTTAACGGGTGTGTTGCATGGTTAGCGGATGGAAAGGGATGCTGGAACATACGAAACGACGACCAGGTTATTGGTAAACCTTTTCGCAGTAAAGTTACTTCCCGCGGCGCAGTGCATGCGTTTCCTTCGATTTGCATTGTAGGGCATGACCATCAGACCCACAAGATACTAAAAGTGTGCAAAATCATGTATGGACTCAGGAATTGTAATGTAGATCCACCCGTGACACTCACAGGCAACATCCGCCCCGATGTCAAGAAAACCCGGGCGCACGTAACGATGCATGCAGGTGCATGTTGATGTTAAGGTACTTATCATGAAACACCAAAGAACATATTTAGCATAAACAAATGGCAACATTCAACTTAGACATATTCAAAGTAAACGCACGAAATATGGCCAGCGTATGGGGTACCGGTAGTGCAGCGGTTAGCATGTCTGCGTTAACCACCGCACGTCTGCGTTAAGCACCGCGCGTCTGGGAAACCAGAGACACGGGGTTCGATTCCCCGCGGTGCCCGCCCTTCCTGCCAGGGTGAAAGGCAGGCGACGCCATATAGCCTCAGTAGCTGAGTGCTTCGTAAAGCCCCAATGCCAGACACACATGGCCAGCGTGTGAGACCGTGTGTGCCGTACACATCGGGCCGTCAATTACCGCCGATCGCCCGGCAGAGTAACGCTGCCTCGTCCATCGGAACGTTTTGTCGGGATATGAGCTGAAACGCGCTTTTAACATACGCTCGCTTCGTGACAATCCGCTTGAGGAATGCATTCGCGACGTGCAGGGACACTTTTCTTGAAAGTTAGGCAATTGATCACGATTGAGGCCCCATTGAATATCATTCAGCAGTGCTGCGTTTGTGAAAGCCTCAGGAGTGGCACACTGGACTTCTAAGGGCGCGCGCAGAGGACGGCGACGCGCGACTTTTGAGTCCGGGTCAGAATGTTCGTTTTTAAAACGGCATCGAATTCGTTACCGTGTATCGCTGTGTCCAGCGCAAGCTAACAGTGTTTCCTCAGTCGAATGGTGGCTGCCAATCCCATGCTCCCTACTCCTTCGGCCGTGATTCTCAGAACAGATGTGCTCTGAATGTGGGAACTGCAGGCAGGGCGCCGATGCGCGTGTAGCGCAGCGCTCAGCGCGATGCGAGCGGGCAATTGCGTCTCTGGGACTTCCAGCCCTTTACTGGCCGATCTTCCAAATTTCCAATGCATCCCCACGAGAGCGTGTGAGAGGGACAAAACGCATCAGTCCGATTGGTGGCGGGAAGCCGTCGGCCCGGGTCCTATCGAACGCCTCGTGCCAGGCACGAGAGATGGCCGCGCGTGCGCTCGCCAGGCACGAGACGCGAATTGCCATCCACGGCACTGGCGTAAGCTGGCAGACAATGAAGCAGTCTGCTGACTGGTTGTTAAATGCGATAGGTTAAGTCTTAGCACCCTTGAAGTGGTCTTTCTGCACCCTTGTTGCGAGCGCCGGTCAATGCGTCACTCGCTAGCAATGTCTCCGAGTCAAATTGTCATGGCGCCGCCAGCACACGGCATCCACAAAGATTCTCCCGGCACCCGAAAGCTCAAATTCATTCCACGTTTTACGATAACGTGCAATGGGCTACGTGTCTGACACGCTATGGAATGCCTGTGAAGAGGATTTCTTTTGGCGGAGTAAAGATGCCTACAATTTTTCGGGGCCATTGTACATGCCGATGACCTTGCACGTGCGGGAGCCAAACAGCGTAAGATGACGGTGGGGCATGCCGCTGGTTGTTTTATGGAGATGCGCTGCAGCGGTTGGCTGCTGACATTTCGGCACCGGTGCAAACGAAAGTCGCCCGGCTGGATACGGGCGGGATGGGCGACAGGCCACCAACGCTGGTCCCCAGGCGCCCAATCGTCGGGCAGAACGACCGGTCCTGCGCATGCGCAGACCTCCATGTCCCGGCTTGCTGTGCAAGCAGGTCCACCCAGCCGCCCATGGACCCTTGGGCGAGTGCGCGGACGGGTGGTTCATTGTTTTGGCCTTGAGGCGCAAATTTGCCGTTAAGGAACGTTTCTAAGCGTTCAAGTCCCTTTACTGCACCGTCACACTTCCTACCGACTGATGATGTAGGGGCCCGCACGCCGCGCGGTCTTGTCTCGTCCAATCCGGTGATTGATCCGCAATGTCTCCGTCATGCGGTGACGTGGAGTTACGCAACCTGAATAAGGCCTCGGCATCCCCCTGTGCGCTCCGTCCTGGGCCGGGCCGGGCCACTTCTGCACAGACGACGCTCGAGTGCCGTCTGTGGTTGCGTCACGGGACCTCGAGACGCTCTCGCCCCCCCCCCCCCCCCCCCAGACTACACCGCCTGTGAGTGGGACAGCGAAGCGGCCCATTGCTTTTTCTTCCTCATGATGGGGGCTGCCAGCGGTGATTTTCTTAAAGAATTACGCAGTGGTTGACAGACTGAAGCCAGAAAAAGTTTTAAGAATGGTTCACATAATCTGTTAACGGAAAGATCCACGGTGGCAAATTTACAAACAAACCAAATTGAATCCCATTTGAACCTCTCCCGGAGCAGGGTTGGCAGCAGCTAGCTAAAACCGTTTGTACCAGCCAGGTTTTGTTGAGTACAACCGCCGGTCAGAAACTTCTGATGGTGACAATTAACACACAGGAAGACAAGTCGTGCTTGGCTAATGGTGGCCGATGGAACAGTATGAATGATCATGTGAACTACATGCCAAGCATCGTTAGTGTGCATGGTGACATGCACCTGGAATACTGCGGTAGAAATAAAAACTGGCGACAAAACCTGCACACGATCAGAGATTGCTTAACAGGTGCATGGGATCCTGCCATGCGCGCCAATCAATGAGACAAGTATTGAATGTTGAGAAACATGTCGGCTGACTTGTAATCCATTCATTACAGGCGACATGACAGCCTTAAGGCGGTGAAATCGATTTACCGTGAATGTTGACGATTTCACGCAACCAGCATGATTTTGCATATGCTGTTACAATGCCAGACGGTATGCCATAATAAAAGCCCCAATTGTTGGTCATTCAAGACAAATTTCACCTCTGATAAAGCAAATTCCGGCGCCGATGCGCGCCCAGGCAGGTTTGCAACCGCACTCTCGACCACCCAGGCAGGTAAACAACCGCACTTTTCACTTGGCAGGTGTTTAAAATACCAAATGGAAACCTTCTACCGACCATTCGATCAAATGTTGACTCAAGGACCGATTCAAGGAGAGGCGGGGACCCGGCCACGCTACCTCAAGACGGACCAAGTTGGGCAAAACATGACACGTTTCTGCAGTCTGGACTTCAAAGCCAAAGGGCACATCAGAGTTTCAGACTGCGTAGCAAATCATCACTAGGACCGTACAGTGGCGCCCACAAACTTCTCAGAAGTTGGCGGACGCCACTGTACACCGCAACCGGTCCTTGGGGCGTTCACACATCATACGCGACATGGGTGATGGCAATAGCTCTTGTGTTTAGGAGCTAATTTATGTAACAGGTACTGCAAATCCACCACAAATTTCACTATGGTGTCGTGTCTGAGAGCCGTTTCTGGCATTTCATAAGACGTTGCGACTGCGTTGTAGACGCAGCTGATAGAAAAACATTGTGGCTTTCTGAATTTTTTGCCAGTTTATGCCGGTTTTAAGACGTAAAAGTCAGAAAATGACGCAAACTAGCTTCGGTCATTTAAAACGCATATAGCACGGAACATGCGTCATCATTTTCCCCGTAGGATGCGGCCTAGATTACGAGATGGCGGTAATTCCAGCGGCTAGCAAACCTTTAGCTTTCTTCAGATGAGGACACGAAGGCTGATGTTGCGTGAGGAACATTGTGGCGGAGATCAGGACAGGAATGGGTGTAAAACGACGAAAATTACGAAAATGCTCAAACGCATGGGTCTTGGGATAAGCTATAATCCCATTTATTTTCTTTCCTTCTGCAGTCATAACAAGCCGCACGAACAACAAACTGCTCAGCTAAGGTAAACACGACAACGGAAACCAGCGGAGAACGGGCGTTGACTGGGGCGAAATTGCGAGAGGTGAATGGTCCGTCTTTTGAGAAAACAACAGCGCACATCTCCGTCGGGAGCTGCATTGTCGTGGTGGCCACATCCAAAGAGCAGCCGCGTCGGTCCGTAAACCGTTGAACCGCTGCCGTACCGGGCGCCGGCGGCGGCACCGGCGTATCGACGGCCGGTGGCACGTGCAACGGCGGCGGACCGGCCGCGGCCAGCCACTAAAATGGCCCGCCTGTTACGAGCCGACCGGCGCGCTGCAGCTCTGCAGCCCGGCCGCTGCCCGGGACACGCCAACTCGGATCTACCACCGGCACCTGGGGGAGCAGAGGCTGCCGATCGCCCGAGCTCATGTGGGGGGGGGGGGGGGGGGGGGGGGCTGACGGCCACCGGGGCTCGAGGAGAGGGAAGGCCTGATGGCTGGAAATTGGGAAGGTGGGAGTTGACACGTCACTGTTGTTGGGCGGTCCCCTGAACTGGTGGACTGTCAGGCCTAAAAGACATCAGAGCTTGCTGCCCAGGCTCTCCTGGTGATCCCTGTGCCCGAAGATCCCTGGTGGTCACCGCCTCCCAGGCCCGGCCGACCCAGCGGCGCCTGGGAGGCTGCCCCGGGTCGGCAGCGGCTGCGGCGGCCGGGCCTGACCCGCCACCGGCCGCCGGCCGCGGGGTGGTGCTCAGCCCGCTCCCCCGGGGACCGGCCGCAGCGGAGCGCTGTTTGCGCGCGAGAGGAGACGGCACGGCGCCCGGAGACGCACGGTCCCGATCAATACCGGCGGGCACCGCCTCGGGGCCTGTCTGAACGCCGGGGCCCGGGCCCCGTGCAAACCGCGTCGGCCGGCGCCGGTCACCCGGCCCGGCGGCGCGACGCCACCGATGGGGCGGAGCGCGAATCGATGTCGCGCGCGTCAGCTCATCGGCCGAAGAGGGCGGTAATGGGCAGGCGCGGAGCGAGCGATTCGGGTAACGATGTTTTCTCGTTGCAGATGGCACCCCGTGTGGTGCAGTACGCCGCGTTGGTGCTGGCCACAACGGTCTCCAACGGACAGATTCTACCGCCTCCGTGTGACAGGTCAGTGTCGACAGCGCGTGACACGGCAGCGCGAGATATAAAGGACTGTCACTTCCCGGCGGCACCAGCGTGCGGTGACCGTAGTGAGACACCAGCCGCGCCATCGGTTCTTCCCCCTGGCTCAGACTCAGCGCCCGTCAGACTATTCAGCTGAGACTCCGCTACCCGCTGATGTAACTCGTTGGGCCAATCGTCCGGGTGTAATAGCACGTCAGACCTGTCCCTCGGGGCGCTTGGACACGCCCTTGGGTTAAACGAGGACAAGAAGCAAGGCCAGCTGTCACCTTACTTGAGTGGGGACACGAACGGGCAAGCGTGCGGAGAACTGGTAGCATCAAAAGTCTATCACAGAAAGTGCCTCACCAGAAGACAAGAGCGAAGGCTAGTGACTGCACAGGGCCCGACGTCGTGAATACACTCAAATGTCGATTCGCTTGTAGAACAGGTCGCATCCCGGGTGACGTGTTATCCAAGCAATAGCATTACCGCGACCAAATATGTCCGAGTAAGCTCGCTCGCCTCTCAACGACGACTCCGGCCTTCACATAACATCTTCCATCATTCATCAATTTATTCCACCCATAAAAGCGCGCACTATAACACGATGACACACGTCGCACTTCCCACGATGTTTCTGTCGCGCACAACCTAGTGGTGGCTTGGCTCCAACTCCTTCTTCCGGATTTCTGCCCACTTCTGCACGTTTGAGGGCGAATACACGGCGTTCTGGATCATGACGAAGAGGGGGAAGGTGAGGGCAGACGCGAATGCGCCATACCGGAACACCCAGGCATTCTTCCAGTACATGCCCCACGGGAACTGGGCCAGCTTGGCAGAGATCGTGTAGGGGTACTTCATTGGACCACCACCCATCTAAAAGAAATAAAACAGTTAAGAGAAGTGTGCTCAGACATGTTCAACAAGTACACATGGGCAGGCCACTAACTGGGGCTCATAAGAGGTTGATGACAAATACATTGCAAGTCATCATAATTACATATGCTGATTACATCTCCATCTAGCAAAACATATTCATGGTTCACATTAATAATCAAGTTTTTAAAAAACATTTTCTAATGACAAGTTAGGGTTCAAAAGCATTTCATACCAGTCCATGGCTACACTAGTTTTGTACCATATGCCAAGTTGCATGGCATGCTCTAGAAGTAAATTTGCTTGGATAATAAGTACAAATCTAGCACTGCATGGATGCCTTTGGATGGCTCACTTAGGAACAATGAAATGATAAATGAATAAAATAAAAATGTCTTATGACAAATAACAGCATATACCATGTTTTGAAACCCAGAAAAAATATGCATACCAGGCTAATACCACCCTTAAATCTAACTTTTTATTGAAGAGGCTTTTCTTATTGGCAATAGCTAAATATGTCACTCAATGCTTCCAATGCCAGTAGCTATGGCCATCATTGCAGCAAAACTGCCCCTGTAAAAGGTACCAGAGATTGAAATGTCTTGGCCAAGGACTGGGAGGCTGAAATGATAAGGAAATTCATCCTATTTGTAAAAATAATGAATTTGGATAAGTCAGCAACTCCAATATGAGGCAAACAGGGCAACAGGGATCAGACTGTAAAAGATGCACATTACCAGGAGCTGTGCATTAGTTGTGAGAAATTTCTACAATGAGCTTCCCCATAATCTGAAGAATTTTTCAGACAAAATGGAACACCATGAAAGCTGATAGTCCAGATTGACAAAGCCGCCCTATGGCAAAAAATGTATATGGGGCTGTTAAAATGTGCATAAGAAAATGTGAATCCCCATGTGGATTCAAATGCTAACAAATGCATAAGACATAAAAAGTCATCATTTTCCAAGTGACAACTACTGTTACCACTTTCACAAACGTCACGAACATCACAAACTGCGGTCTTATTAGACGATTAGCGTTTGAACTGCCAGCGATAATTCGGTCTCTTGAGAGCGATTCTCATCCACATGGAATTGCCAGGGCAACGCAAAGCTGCCGCTGCTTATCCCCCTGCATCATTCAAGCACGAGATTGAAAGAAAAATGCGGTAAAAATAGTAGTTAAGGCGAATTAAGTACGAAACTTACCTTGGCTGCGTACTCTTACTGGCGGAGACAACGAAACGGCAGTGCTGCTGCTCTCGCCGTCGCAGGCAGGAAACCACTGGGCGGCGAATCACAGCGCCCCAGCGACGCCAGCAGCGCAGATGCTGCCAAATGAAATAAGTGGCGCTAGCATCGCAGACCTAGTGCTACCATATTACGGAAATACCTTGGTATGAATAAAGGTATTTAGTACGATGTGGTATGCGGGTCGAATTTATACCGACATCTTAACGTCATCCTTTACTCTAAAGGAGGCCGACCGTGGCAGTTAGATGTAGTGTTCCTGTTTGAATCATCAAAATATTAAGGTTTTTATATTTTCTGAGTCACTACTCAAGTCCCGTCCCGTGATGGTGTTCCCCAGTGCCGACAGGCCTTCACGCCCGAGTGGTGGATACGGGTGCGGGAACTTTGGGGCCAAGGGAATGAGCTCCCCCCTCCTTCACCCCACCCCAGCTTTGATAATCTGCATCGGTCCTATGGTGTCGTTTGGAAAAAAAATAACAAAAACTATTTTCGGTCTCTCAACCTGAGCGGCCTTACATTGGCCCTGGGCACCTACCGACGCTTATCCAGTCGTTTCTTACCCGTATTATCGTGCGCGTTTTCGCAGGATTCTATCACAAGCTGACATTCGGCCCCCCAGACGGTAATTTCGGTTCCATGCCGGCTCCTTCTTTGCGCCACAAAGTTAGCAAGGATCCGGTCTGCCTTTGCACATTCCTTGGCGATCGGCAAATTCCTGAAGCGATTTTTGTTTATTCGGTCGTAAGTATGCATCTCACATGCTCTGCCCCACTTAAAGTCATAATCAAACCTGCTGCTATTTTTAAGTTTTGTTTTATCTTGGCTGCTGTGCTTTAACAGTGCGCAGCGTATTTTGTGAAGCACTTGAACTGAGACTCCGTGGAAACTTGCAGCCTCAAGTCACTTTAACAAGGCCGCAAAGATTTGACGATCCTGAGTTTGGCCGTCGGCCGCTTTGTTTGCGACAGGCCGTTCATCTTCGTAAAGCTGGTACAGAAGAGCACCAACAGCCCGTCAGAAGGCCCCTCCAATTAGCTTGAGTCCCCTCGCTCTGACCCCCGCGAAGGTCACACCAGAGGCATGGCTAGGAGGAGAGGGCACTTGGGTCACGCCCTCTCCCCCCGGCCGAGACGATTTCACAAGATACTGGACTATTTTGCGGGAAGTCGGTCTAAATTTGCAGCGGCTAGGAGGTAAAATTTGACGTTTGTCTCAGCTCCTGGAGGAAACTGTGGCCACGTACCTACGTCAAGACAGCTGACTGCGAACGTGCAGCGTTTGAGCGCGCCGGCGCCGACAGTTGCCATGGTGACGTTGCACGGCCAGACGACGCGTGCGCCGGCAGCCCTGGCTCAGTCGGCTGCCAAGTCTGCCCCACGGGGTCGCGCAGCTGACCGGCCGGCCTGACGGCGTATTTCTGGCCGGAGGGCACGCCTGCGCCACCCAACTTCAGAGCGCGTGGCACCCGCGGCGGTGCGGCTCGGCTGCGATGCCGCCCGAGGGCGTGGCGCGTGCCAGGGGCCCGAAGGGGCGCGCCTGCGGTCGATGAGCGCCCTGGTGACCCGGCCAGCCAGCCAGCCGGACAGGAGTCCGGTCGATACGTGCCCCGCGCCGCCGCCGCCGCCGCCGCCGCTGCCTCCTCGACAGTCAGCCACGCGGTCCGCATGTCGCCTGCGCAGGATGGATCCGGCGTGGAGCCACTGTCAGCCTCCCGGCAGCGGTACGGACCGACGCGCCCTCGCTCGAGGTCATACCCGGCGTGGAGCCACTGTCAGCCTCCCGGCAGCGGTACGGACCGACGCGCCCGCGCTCGAGGTCACGCCCGGCGAGGAGCCTCTGTCAGCCTCCCGGCAGCGGTACGGGCCGGCGCGCCCGGCGTTCGGGGTCATATCTCGTTTCCAGACGGACGACTTTTCTGACATCTTCACAGACGAAGCGAGCAGCTAACAACGCACGTGCATTGATAGTGAGGTGTGCTGATCTTTAAGCTGCGATGCTCTGCGCGGAGCAGCCGGAGATGCTGCCTTTCTCCGTGACAGCGATTGATAGCGTGGTGCGAACTTCGAGACCTCCTCTCGTGATGCTGTCATGCGGCCCGATCACGGGATCACCCAGAAATGGCACCGATCCAGAGTTTGTGACGTCACGTTCGGATGAGACGGCACCGCCCGGGAAGCATGCCACGTGTGTGGGTGGTGTGATGCACACCTGGCATCAGAGAAAATCATCGTGACCATCGCGTCACCCGCTTTTGGAGCAGCGTGAAGTTCTTGCAATAGCGCCGATTGGGCTATGCGAAGCCTGTCCGTCCACTGCACATGTGATTCACATGTGATCAGCTCAGCTGACCTAATGACTCGATGTTCCAGTGACATTTTTTGCGAAGGTCCGCTGCTGCACACCGTGCAGATGGCGCGACTCCACAAGGACTCCAAGCACTTCGTGGACATGAGCATGCGCCACGACCCGGAGGAGGTCAAGGCCAATTTCCAGTCCATGATGCGCCGCACCGGGCAGCAGCCCACCCAGGAGGACGTGCGCGCTTTCCTCGAGGACAACTTCAACGAGCCGGGCAGCGAGTTCGTCGAGTGGCGGCCTTCCGACTGGACGGAGAAGTGAGTCCGTTTGTCTTGGCTGACTGCAGCATGGAAGGTCGGGGGCTGGAGTCCCGTTGGTGCGCCCTTTGTGCCGGTTTAAGTGACGTGGATACAGGGCACCGAGTGTGCAGCGCATAAAGTGTTCTCCACTAAGACAGAGAGATGCTTTGTGCTCAGAAGCGAATCGCGTAAGAAGACACCAAAACGAGTGAGTCCGGTCCTTTGTCACAATCGATTCTTTCCATGCATCACCATTGGGCCAACGTTCGACTTACATGAGAGTGTGAGGCAAAGCCTCCGCCCCTTCCCATGTTCCTGTGCCAGCATTTAAGTTGGTCGGTCGTGCTCGCCCGCCTCCACCATGGAGCATCACCGGTCACGTGACCCACGTTTCGAGCTTGGATGTCATGTTGTCCTTGTTTTGAGAGCCCAATCTTTCCAACCTTTAGAGGCTCAAATGTGCTCTTTGGCACGCGCTCACCGTCGTCCCTCCCGCGCCGCAGCCCCAAGTTCCTGTCCAGAATCGAGGACCGCGAGCTGCGTGTCTGGATCCAGGAGCTACACGGCTTCTGGAAGGAGCTGGGCCGCGAGGTGACGGGCGAGGTGTACCTCCACCCGGAGCGCTTCTCGCTCATCTTCGTGCCCAACCCGACCATCGTGCCTGGCGGACGGTTCCGCGAGTTCTACTACTGGTGAGGGTCACCGGCGAGGCAGGGCGACTTCTCGGCAGCCCACCCTCCAGCGTTCGCCGTCATGGCTATCATCGCCGTGCGTTTATCGCCAGAAGTGTGCTCCGTGTCGCGAGTGTAACGCACTTGCGTGCTGTAGCAGTCATGGGACCCGGGGAGAGGTATCCTCTGGTAGATACGGCACCGGCTGCGGCGATCGTCACATGCGGCACTTTACTGGGCGTGTCCGCCCTCATCTGTCTCACATCCCTTGCGTAACGCTGTGCTCGGTCTGCCGCACGTCTTTCCCCTTTGTGACGTCACCGCGTGGCTGACGGCGGCGGCTGCCGGCGCCGACAGGGACTCGTACTGGGTCATCAAGGGTCTGCTGCTCTCCGAGATGTACCACACGGTGCGCGGCATGCTCGAGAACTTCCTGGTGATGGTGGAGCGGTTCGGCTTCGTGCCGAACGGCGGACGCGTCTACTTCGAGCGCCGCTCACAGCCACCCTTCCTCATTCCCATGGTTAAGCTGTACCTGGACGCCACGAACGACATGGACTTCCTCAGGTATCCGCTAGTATCCAGCGGCGGAAAACTCTCCGCTTGCTGTCGCGCTGTCTCGAAGTGCGCGCAGAAACCGACCAGCGGCTGGTGCTGGCGCAGCGCGCGGTGTGGGGTTGAGTGCACCTTGTTTGTGTTAATTTAAAACATGCAGTAATACGGGAAGGTTGTAGAAGCTTGTTGATATGCCCCCTTTCCCCCCCCCCCTACCACTGTATGCTTCCGTTTCTTTACCACTGATGTTGCGGCTCTGCGCAAGTTGAGAAGTCAAGTGACTGGCAAGTCCGCCGCCGACGCGCAGAAACAAATAGGAGCTTTAAGCACACTGGCGTCGCGTCAAAATTGGGGATTCTTTGAATCAGAACAAATGCAGAGCTATTTCCAGGTAACTTGCGTCATAAAGACAAATTGCCCCGTGCCCGTGAACGGAAATAGCTGGCGAGTGGCATCCATCACTGTCTGACACGTGTCGGCCGCAGGACCAACATTAAGCTGCTGGAACGGGAGTACCAATTCTGGCAGGCCAACCGCACCGTCAACGTGCAGAAGGATGGCCGCGCCTACCGGATGTACCGCTACAACGTGGAGGTGGGCCAGCCGCGGCCCGAGTCCTACAGGTGGGTACTCGCCGGGGCGCGCACCCGTCACCGCGCTCTGCCAGAACCCGCGTCTCGGGGATTTTGCACGAACGGCCGCTAGTGTTTACAGATGGGAGGTGGACGAGCCGCGACCCGAGTCCTACAGGTAGGCACTCGCCGGCGCGCGCACCCCGCCACCGCGCTCTGCCAGAGCCCGCTGCCAATGCAGCGCATTCTCGCGGATTTTGCGCGAACGGCTGCGGGTGTTTGCGGGTGGGAGGTAGGTATGAAAGAAGACATTTGTGCGCGTACTACATTGATAGACTTCCGTGACGGGACTTTTGCCTTTTTGTTGCTGCACGGGCCTCGTCGTCACTGGGGCCTTGCGACGCTCTCAGCTGCTGAGGTCTGATGTCTGGTGTCGCCTGCCTCACCCTGGCAGGAAAGGCGGACACCGCAGGGAATCGAACCCCGTACCTCTGGTTTCCCAGACGCGGGGTGATTAACGCAGACGCGTTAACCGCTACACTGTCAGCACCTCTGTTGCATGAGCTTGTTCAGGTACTCACGAGGGAGGCATGTGTGGTGCGCACTGTGTCCGCTTCTAACGGGTGCTCTTGTATATACTGTTTTTTTTTGTAAACGTCCGCTGGGATGGATGAGAACCGAACCTTAATATTAAAGTGAGTTGTAATGTATTGGGCTTAATCCTAATCAGGCATGTGGCTGACGCCCACGCACCGTGTCTGTGTCTCGCACCTTGGCCCGAGTTGTTGGTAGCCTTTGTCGGCTGCCCTTTCCTGGCTTGGGACTTCTCGCGGCGACGACACCTTTTAACACGCTGGTCTCAGCGGGGCGCCTGGACCACAGTCCCAGCACGGAGGGCGGCGTTTTTGATGCTTTGCACGCTGTCACTCAGAGAGGACATTGAGATGGCCGAGCACCTGAAGAGTGACAAGGAGAAGGGAGCGCTGTACGATGAGTTGGCAGCTGGCTGTGAATCCGGGTGGGACTTTTCGACGCGGTGGATGAGCGGAGGAGGTAAACAGCAGCTGTGTCTGCAGCTGCGCCGCTAGGAGGCTGCGACCGCTGACGTATTGCGCGCCGTCTGCCTGACAGTATGTCGCGCAGACAATCTGCTTCGCCTCTTGTATACGACCGCTACCACGTGCTAGCCTTTTTATTTTTGATTCCTCTCCGGTCATGATATCGCCTCGTCTAACCATAACACTTGGCTCCAGACGGCAACTTCATTAACTACGTCCCAGCTCCAACCGATTCGCTTATCCTTCATCCTCAGGCTGTCCCACATCCAGTGCTTGATCAGCTTCCAAGCTTTTGCCTCTGTCCCTCAGCCGCAAGCTACTTGTCTCTGTCTCACCCGGCCACCTACAGACCTATCCTACCTATAAGTTTCCATCCCTCATTGTTCGTCTTCAGTCCCCTTCGCTCAAAGCGACGTCACCAGGTTCACCTTGATGCCTTGATGCTTGCCTCGAAGCTATTCCTCATGGATCTCCCCCGTTCCTGCCCCGCTGTCCTCCTCCCCCGCAGCTCTAGCGCCTCCGCTTCCCGGCTTGGTCGTCGGCCAACGGTCCCGCCGCTCAGGCCTCGCTCGCGCCGCAGGGAGGACTACGAGCTGGCCGAGCGGTCGTTCAGCGTCGATGGCGCCAGACAGACGCTGCACACTCAGCTCAAGTCTGGCGCCGAGTCGGGCTGGGACTTCTCCACGCGCTGGTTCATACCGGCCGCCGGCCAGCCGAGCCCAGGTGAGGGACGGCGCCGCCCCCCCCCCCCCCCCCCGCCAGGTGAGAGCCCGCTTCCCTGCCGCGCCGCCTCCGCCGACGGCAGCTGCTGACCGCCGGCCGAGCCAGGCCGCCACTGGACGCCTGGAGTCACCGGTCGGGCGGCCGAGACTGCCGGCGCGGAGTCCGCTGACTTTCCCCGCTCCCGCCCCGCCATCTCGCCGTCCAGCCTGGTGACGTCACGGGCGCTGTGCAGGTGGTCATCATCCTGGATCCTGGCGTTGTTGCCGAGCTCACTAAGCCTGCTGTTCTTGCAGCTGTGTTCTCTTCACGCGTGACATTTGAAAATCTACCGGTTTGGAGCTTGTTTGCTTGACCTTTTTAACTAACGCGTTGCCAAATTCAGGGCGAAAGCAGTATTCAGTAACAGTATTCATTTGTTTTATGCCCGTTTGTCGACAATATTTCATGGTCCCAACAGAGTAGATTAAGAGATGTAGACCAACCACCGCATACCTTCTTGAGACCGGTCAGCAACGGCATGCCCGTCCTTAGGTACGCTGAAGGACCTGAAGACCCGCTCCTTCGTGCCGGTGGACCTGAATTCGCTTCTGTACCTGAACGCCAAGCTGCTGTCCGAGTTCTACGACCTGCTGGGCAACGGCTCGAAGGCGGCCATGTATCGCGAGCAGGCTGAGACGCTGCGCAACAACATCCAGAACGTGCTCTGGGACCAGGACGCCGGTTCGTGGTTCGACTACGACACCGCCAACATGGTGAGTCAGCACTGCGGGCGGCCGTCAGGGGCACGCGCGGTGCACGGCCATCTTCAGGCGCCATGCGGTTGGGGCGAGGCGTCATTCGCTAAACAGAGTGTGCGGATTGCTTAGGCTGGGAGTATGGAACCCTGCACGCATTTTAAGCGTGAAATGGACTGAGTTGACGCTTTTTGAAAACGGTGTGGCGAATGGTGATTTAGGGAAATCAGACACATTTCTTCTCCGTCTTTGCCAGTTGGATATGATGTGGCTGTTGCTCACGATATGATCACTATATATATACTTGTTTCAAATTTTAAGGCAACTATTTACGTCCACCCTTTGTTTTAGCGACTGAACAAGAAGTTCTTTCCGTCCAACATCTTCCCGGTCTGGGTGAACGCCTCAACGTCTGAGCAGAACGCCAAGTTCCTCCAATACCTGAATCGGGTCAACGTGACGAACTTCTTGAGGTGAGTGACGGCTGACTTCCCCGGCCAAACTCCATTACACGGTTCATCGCGCAACCAAAGTAAGTTGTGCTACACCAGTGCCTCGCCAGGTCCTCGCCGGGTGAACTCCATATCACGGAATCGTCCTAGTATGGCGTCAGACATTTGAACTGTTCTCTTTTTGGAGACCAATTAATTGGCACCATACGTTAACGATCGTATTCTGAACTAGTGTACATTATCGTCGCTACACTACTAGTGACCTTTAAAGCTTTTCTGCTGCTGACGCGTTTCTTTTGTGGGATGCATCGAGCTCATCGTACGCCTAACTGTCCGCATGACGCTGCCCACCTCGTCCACGCAGCGGAGTGCCCACCTCGCTGGAGAACTCTGGTCAGCAGTGGGACTTCCCGAACGCGTGGCCGCCGCTGCAGCACGTCATGGTGGAGAGCCTCAACCAAATGGACAACGACGAGGCCAAGCAGCTGGCCTTCGAGATGGTGCAGAAGTGGATCAGCACCAACTACCTGAGCTACATGGAGGCCAAACCGCACGCCATGTTTGAGAAGGTGAGGCGATACGCCCGGGGTGACAGTGCTCAGGGCGGCGCGTGCTGGGCACGGGCGAGAGCACCCGCTGTCTCGCGCAGGTGTGGAGGCAGCCGGGCAGGTGAAGTCTGGTCGTGAGCGTGTATCGATCGCCGGTGTGTAACGTTGCGCCGCAGGGCTGGTGAGTAAGCTGCTCCTGTCGTGCTGAGCTCCTTAGAGCGGTAATCAGCGAAACTTTGTCAGTGCTCACCAACCAAACTGAATTTCAAAGCTTGCAATTGTTGAATCTCGATTGTTTACCTGACAACTTGTCACACTGTGTGGTGAGGGATTCAGTGACAGAAAACTTACGCATGCGAGGGAAATAACTGCATACTGCTTGACTGAGTGGAATCCCTCGCCCTGGCGGTCAGCTTCGGCCACTAAGCGCGCGCCGACCTCGACGCCCGACCTGACCTGACCTGACCCGTCCTGTCGCGGCGCGCAGTACGACGTCACTCAGATGGGGCTGCCCGGCGGCGGCGGCGAATACGACGTGCAGCTGGGCTTCGGCTGGACGAACGGCGTGGCCATGGCCTTCGCGGACGAGTACGGCAGTCAGCTGCGCGCGCCGTCGGCGGCCGCCCGCTCCCCGCCCACCTGGGTGCTGGCGCTGCTGCTGCCGGCTGCCGCCATGGCGGCGATGGCCGCCGTCCTATGGTGAGGTGAGCATCCGATAGATGGCTGCACCGACAACCACTCGCTGGAGCAGCCGTGACGCGGGGAACGCGTGGCGTAAACGATCCGCGTTAGCCCAGGTAGGGACGAATGCAACCTACCTTGGCAGAGCTGCGTGGCATGATCTACCGTCCGTGAGCGCGTCATTTTACACTCCTGCTCTTGGCTGGAAGGCCGTAGCGTGCGATCAGAGGAGAGCGTGTTGCGTATGTCGCATTGCCGCGTTCCTTTCTCCGTTTCAGATGCGTGAGGTGCCCTCAAGGGGGCTGAGAAGGGCGCGCTCTCAGCCTGGTGCCGGGTTTACGGTTGTAACGGCGTTGAATCTCGACGTTTCGCGCGGCGTTTGCGCCACGCGTATCGGCTGCGGCCGAAGTTGATGTAGTCACCCCACTGTACCGAATGTGCGACCCGTGTACCCCCTGCCCCGACGAGCTGTTTAATCGCGCCAGATAGTTCCTTCAGGGGTTTGAAGTTGCGTCCATGGTCTTAATGACCACGCACCCGCAATGCACAGGCGTTGGGTCGACAAAGACCATGCAGGGGCTCCTTTTCCAGGGCATTGCTAGAGTTTCTGAGCATTGGTTTTTGGGACACGTTACGGGTCGCTGATTTGTGAAATGCCTCGCAAATGCTCTAACCAGTGCGTATGTACCGACAGCGTTTCCGGAGCCTTTTACACTCTGTGACGGTGCACGTCACGCTTTTTAGCATAATCCTATCATAAAACGTGCGAACTCGACTCGGAACTTAAAACATAAGAGCTTTCTTACTACCTTTAGTTAAGTTACTTGGATTGTTGACCATTTTGTGTCGTGTCAAATTCAGCTACTTTAAGCGATAAGGTGGCAAGGTTAATGCAAAGGATGGGTTCCTTGTTCTGTAGGAAGCCCATCGTGCCTTGCAAAACCTTGGGATGGCCACTAAAGGCAGCTCGAATTAAGTGGGTACAATGCATTCACGGATGGTTGTTTGTGAGAACTGATCAGCCCCCATCCCCTGAGGCCAGAAAGTCACAGCAGCTGTGTGCCAAGAAACAGTTGGAGGCGGCGGGGGGGGGGGGGGTCCTGAAACTCATTAGGAGGCGAGATGGGCGGAGGTCTCCATTGATGTTTGAGCAGGCTGCACGGGCTGGTCCCTTTCGTACATATCCACAGTGCCACGTAGCCATGCGCTATGATTCTTTTCTTGCGTATGTTTTCACATCCACTCAGGCTTGAACTGGCGCGGGCCGTGCTTCGTGTTTCGCACAGTAAGGCATTATGCAATGCAGACACGATCAGTCATCGTCACCAGACTTCACCTCTAAAAGGAGGCTATCCGTGCAAGCGTTGGCAGCACAGTTGCAAATCGCACTGGTCTTCCACACGATTGCATTCGATACTAGACAACACAACCGAAGGTTTCTCTACTCAATGGTGGACACGGGTCAAGGGTACTCCTTGGTACACCACCCCGTCCATAAGATCCGAGGCTGACCAAACCAGCCGCCGAGTGGTGTGGCGTCTGGCTGCAATAAGTCCCTCGCCTTCATGTGTTATGCGCTGACCGCGTGCCGTGTGTCTCAGCTTCTCTACGCTGCGGACGTTGAAGAAGTGGTCTCTATCTCTCGCCCGATGTTGCATAAGGCGAGCCAGCCCTCTTCACACTGGGACGCCATCAGTTGGGCGAGTTCGCTGCGCTGGTCGCCGGGTCTTTTCTGCCACTTGTTTTGGTGTCGGTCCCACTTATACGCGAGCTGGTGAGCGACACTGTGCCGCATTTGGAAAGCGAGCTTGCCGGGTCGTACTATGCCTGTTTGAGCGATGAATCTGTAGACTGATGAATAAAGATATGTGCGCTTAGGGCCGCTTTGCTGGTTATGGTGGTTTGGGGCTTGGGGTTGCTTGAGCTGTTTGAAATGGTGGTGGCGCTGGTGGTGGTATCGAGGCTGTAGCACGCTGGCTGGTTATCTGTTTGCCACTGGTTGGTCTTGGGAGATGCGGTGCGCTGGAGCTTCGAACTGCAACATAATCACATCTTTCTAAGGTAAGACAATTCCTACTGGCGGCATGGTGTGTTACACAGCGGATTACATGTGCCTTTTGCTTTTCCAATCTCACTTGTTAGACTGCGATTGTCTCGTGGTTCTTTGGTGTTGGGCCTTGCATGCTGGACGCTCTTTCCCGAAGGTGTGCCAGGCTGTCTGCAAATGGTGAATGATAAGCTGAGGGCGCGGCTGCTTTCACATCAACTCCATATACCTTAGGTCCTTCGTGCTTTTCGACGCCTAACGACGTTTTTGAGGGGGTTGATGTAAGGCGACCTATACCACCTGCACGGACCGCCTCAGGGCGTGTCGGACTGTCCCAGACCCGTAACTCTGCCGTACTTCCCACAAGGCATCGCCAGGAGCCCCAGCGCCCTAACCCCTCGCCCTGTCGTCCAGCAGGCGGCGCGACGGCGTCCTGCAGCGATTGCGCGACTCCAAGACGCTGCCCATGAAGGAGCGGTACCGGCCGCTGCGCACGGACGAGCCTTGGGAGGACTAGGATGATGCAGGGGACGACCCAGGCGGCTCGGCCGCCGGCCGCCTCGACTACGGCGGCACCGCGGCCGCAGACGAAGAGGCGCCCACACAGCGTCTCGCCGGCGCCGCCGTCTAGGCCGGGGTGTAAGCCGGACGGTGCCGACGGATGTCCCGTGTGAACTGCGTGCAGCAGACGGCAGCAGAGTGCGCGTCCGAGACTTTAAAAGCTTTGACCGACGCAGAACTTAATCAGGGCGTACCCGTGTCGCCCTGCCAGCGGTACCTGATCGGAATGACCCCTACCGGACGTTGCCGTGGCATTGAGCCCCGAGAAGTGGTGCGGCTAGACATCTTCACGACTGAAGCAGCGCGACCAGACGCTGCACGGCGAGGGAAAGCACAGCTTCAGCTCAGACTTCTGACGCATCAGCGCATCATCTGTCCCATTTGTGGTGCCCGTTCACCGCTCGGGGAGCGAACCACGAGGAACCCTCGGACCCCAGAAGAGACGGACGACCAGGCCGATGACGTCAGCCGCCGCAGCTCAGGGCTTCCCCGGTGCGCGGCCCTCCCTGGCGGACCGTCGGCGACCGCGAGTGGCATGTGAGTGACAAGTGAGCCGCCAGGTTCCGGGTCACACCCCGACTGGTCATCAGGAGGGCAACGGGCGGCCGGAGCACCTCACCAAACTCGCCGCCCGTCAATGAAGTTGGCCTTGGTTCGTTGACGTGTTCAGGGACGGTGCATGACTATCAGCTAGTTGTTTTTAAAGTTGGCAAAGCGGAGGGCGATGTCAATCGCGGCGCGAGGACGACGGACCTCGCCGCGTGACGACATACGAGACGTGTGATAGGAGGTGTCTTCCGCCGGGTTGGTTCTGAGTGGAGCCAGCCCTGTGATCTCAGCAGCGAGACATGCCGGAGAGTGGTGCGATTGTCTGCTCTGTTCAGTCGGGAGGAGCCGGGCCAGGTGTTTTCTCAGCTACTACTGACCTGACGGGGCCAGTGCCATTCAGCGGGGAGGGGTGTAGGGGAGGGGGCACATTGCGATCGCCGATGTCGACACGCGCAGTTGCAATGAAGTGGCGCACGGTTGGCGCCTCACTCGTGGTGATGCATGCCTTCTGACCGTTTGTTTTGAGATGAGCTGCGGTGATTTCCGAGCATGTGTATATCGAATAGCTGGCGCAGTGGTTAGAAGCCAGCAACAATATCACAGTATATAATATGGCGTACAAGTCAGAGCATGCAACTGCGATGTGTCAAACGCATCGCCTTTAAAGCTATAGTCAGTAAGTCATCCGTATTCAAAGCGTGTAAGAACCGTTCGCTCATGCATTCAGAGGTGTCCTCTTAATTCGAGTGTTCGACGCACATCACTATTACCAGGACACCATGCCGTACTTCTATTTATGTATGCAAATGTGATCAATGTCCTGTTCGCATAACTTATTCGGATTAAATGCACGTGTCTTTCTGGCGAGGATCTAGTATTGCCGTCACTGGGCGGTCACACACGAAAGGCCGCTGCAGCCTCTTGACGGAGTCCATTGGTTTAACCCTTCCGCCTCAGGTATGCGTACACTCCAATCCCACGCTTCAACTGTGTATTGGTTCTGAACACGGGCACATTGTCAGCTAACTCGTGCAGTGACCCCCGACAGCATACGCCAGCGACCGGCACATTGTCAGCTAACTCGTGCAGTGACCCCCGGCAGCACGCGCCAGCGACCGGCACATTGTCAGCTAACTCGTGCAGTGACCCCCGGCAGCACGCGCCAGCGACCGGCACATTGTCAGCTAACTCGTGCAGTGACCCCCGGCAGCACACGCCAGCGACAACCAACTAAGCGAACACAGAGAGGAAGAGTCACCGGGGAAGCAATCTTCGAAACGTAGAATACTGAGGACCGTGTGCGAATCACCTAAAAGAGGCCTCACAAACACAAACACATGAATAGGTGGCTTCCCAAGCGGGATCCAGCGAACCGAGGACGATGCAGTTTCTAAACATTCACGTGTCTATGACAGCGTCGAGCCTTGATCGCGACGTCACATTGGGAGGCCTTCGTATCACCTTTCGCCTTTCCACAACATTGGTTCAGGTGTGACTGGCGCAAACAATGTAAATGACATCGAGACCAGCACCTCGTGACATCCTCTGCACCGTGTTTGAGGCGCCTAACCGTCAACCATGAACATTCCGAGACCAACCACCACCACCGCCAACCCATCACCACTCCCAGAGGCCGCCACCGATGGGAACCCGAGGACGAGGACGCCGACACGCCAGGACCCCTGACGTCCACCTGACGTCCACCACCGCCCGACGATCTGTCACGGTTCTGCAGACCACACCTCACCCGGCGTCACGCGCGACGCACGACTGACACTAGTCACCCATCACGGGTCCTGCAGAACATCACACCTCGCCCAGCGTCACGCGCGACGCGCGACGCACGACTGACACCGGTCACCCATCACGGGACGTCACGAGGAATCTGCCAAAACAGCTGAATCGCCAATATCCAATCTCAGTGGTCTCTACCGGGTGCTCGATGCATACAGAACGCAGCGCATGGTTTTGAAATAGTTCTGAGCGCGCATGCGCAGTGTTACCTCAGGTCCCGTCGCGATATCTCGGGGGCTCGGCATTTCATTAAAAAAATGTTACAGATACCCGTGCTTTCTGAGCCGAAAATTCACCGATCCACGTAGTTTTTGCGATTCTACAATGATTGTGGCCATTACACGCACTTTTGTAGGACAGTTTGCACACGCCTTTGTAGAGGACAGTTCGGAAACCTCCGAACGACCGCCCTGCCGATGCCACCACCACCAGGTGAGCAGGTGAGGTGAGCAGGTGAGCAGGTGAGCAGGTGAGCTCCGCTGACCGATCATCTCTGACACCAAAACATCGGCCTCTCTCTGGGCTGGCCCGGTCACCTCCTGGTGGAATGCCACTGGAACACCCCTTGCTGAACGGTGCGCCGCAGGTGTTAGGTCCCTCGGTGGACGAACTGAAGCCGCTGAGCCGTCGAGATCCGGTCTGTCGATCGGCCGGCTCAAAACAGACCTACTTTCGCTCTAGCCGTGACCACATACCGTTACATTTCACAAAACAAAAACGCGGCGTTTAGCGCAATTACAACGGAAAATGGGCGGAGAGTCTTGCCACAACCGAGATGGTGTTCCCGCCTCCTAACATTGCAGACGTCTAAAACGCTCGCTGCCAAAGCAAGAGGCTCGACTGCCTCTGCCGACCCGACGATGTAGAATCTAGGTTGCCTAAAAGGTTACCGGCGGAGGGCACTTGTCTTTCTGGGGTGGATGAGAGAATGAGACTTTAAAATACAAATTGATGCGAAAATATTACGGCATTTTTATGACGTATTCATTCACTTGCTACGATTTCGACGATGTCAAAACTTTGCCCATGCTGCTTAATGCCTTAATTGATGTTAACTGCGTTAAGCTGAAGAGAATACCACGTCGTCACGTCGCCACACGTCACGTCGTCGTAATCGCCACCAAACTCATCTGAGGATCTGGCTCACTTTACAACCGATTAAGTAACGAGACCATCACAGACACAAACCCTGAACTCGTCAAATAATGGCGGCACGCAACCAACAAAACAGCAAAACATACTAGCAAACCATGCGGGACAGTTCCAAACCAGATCCTAGCGTCTACACATGTTACAAATGTTTTCTCCAACATTTTAGGCAAAATAAATGCTGCCGGTAACAGCGTCGATGACGGAACGTACCGCGTCTTCTGCAAAGAGGACTTCATGAACCCAATGCCAGATCTTCCCCTTCGTCGCGGAAATGAAGAATCCCCGGTTTGGGGGGGACGGGGGGGGGGGGGGGGGCGATAGCGGAGTCGCTTCCATTCTGCTCAGAGTAGCATTGGCCACACTGGAGTGACGGTCCAGGTCTTTTCGTGTGAGCTTTTAGGACAGACCGGACCCCTCCAATGCCTCGAGTTGTCTCTCGGTCACTTCAGAGTGGCTATCGAACACAACTCTGGTCCAAAGGTCGACCTCAGGTGGCAACAGTCTGAACAGGGGAAACCTTGGTCAGTAACAGCGCAGAGATCTCTGGAAATATTTGCCGGAAACACGCTTTCACAAGATAAATCGGCTGGCTGCAGGCATTAAATACTACCAAACAAGGGCTCAATCACGGCCCGAAATGTTATAAACAAAGCTGACATGTGGAAATACGCTACCATTCTTTAGGTATCTACCAAGCCGATGCGGTGAAATAAGTTCTCCTGGGGTCATAACGGGTCAAGGTACTACACACTCTTACCTAACCGAGCGTGCAGGCGCACACACGCCAGGGAAAACGGCGTGGAGATGGAAAGAGATGCCAAGCAGAATTCTAACTACCGTCAAGCGCCAGAAGAGGCCGTCCACGACGGCCTGCACTTGACGGCAGAGGCACAGTGTTTTCTTAGCGGACCGTCGCGGAGCGTGGCGAGCCGGGGTCGGCGACAAGACCGCGGCGTCTGCCGAGCTCTCACGACCCGGCGCCGCCGCCGCCGCCGCCGGGGCCGGCCGCGCGTGCCGACGGCCGTCATAGCGAGTTGAACAGCTTGGACACCTCGGCGAAGATCTGAGGACGGGGGCGTCTGATTTAGTGAGCATAATAGCGCCTGACACTGAGGACACCTGCAGCCAGGTGGAGCGGGGAGTGTCGGGTCATTGGAGCCGCAATCTATCCGGTCCAGCGCACTGGAAGACCCCTCGGCTAGAGGATAGAACAGCGAGCTGAGTGAGCTGAGTGAAATTTGCACTGTCCAGTCAAGAACGAGAGCGACGAGAAGAGGCGAGCACCGAGAGCAGGGCGGAGAGAGCGCCGCGTCACGATCTGACCGAGCATGGTCTCTTCAAGAATGGCATGACTGACAAAAAACCTATCTGGTTTTTACTCACCATACTTAAGAATGCAAGAAAATGCGAGCCACAGACACACCTTAAACATGTGACTATGCCATGCGACATTTGCTCACAGATCCGAGCGCGGTCTGCGAATGTCACGATGAGAGAGCGAGATGAGTCGCTTCCTGGGCCGACGCCCGGGCCAGCTGATCACGCGGGCTCACCTTGTCCGCCGGCGGCGAGGCATCGAACTTCCTGACCAGGTTTTTCTTGTCGTAGTACTCGATGATGGGCATGGTGCAGCTCATGTAGGTATCGAGTCGCTTGACCAGCGACTTCTCGTTGTCGTCGGCCCGGCCGCTGCCGGCGGCGCCTCGGGACAGACACCGCTGGACGCACACCTGGCGGACGGCGCGGGTGACGCGGTCAGCCATCAGATCGGCGCTCACTCGTGTGCGGCGCGGCAACGCCGAGACCCAGCCCAGTGCACACCTGGTCCGTCGGTCAGTGGTCACGGCAGCGTTCGCAGGTACCTACGGTGGACAACTGGGGAATCAATCTCACGTCCTTTATTTGCTATTCTGAAATTAAGTTTGAGCTCTCCTGACAAAAGAAGCGAAGGGGGGGGGGGGGGGGGGCGTTTCCAGGGGATGTTGCCGCCGAAGACGCGCTAGTCAGGATTCTCCAGGCGTCGCCTGTCCACGGACAACAGGTCTCGGGGCGTGGAACCCCGAGCTGGAGATCCATTGCCATCTGCTCCGACACGGGCCAGGCTATCGCGCCACTATCACACCTCAAACGCCCCTGTAAAACAGGCACCGCACAGCTTACGCCAGAGTACGGGCCCGCGCACCGGTGTGGGCACCAGGCGCGCCGCGGCAGGCGCTCACGCGAGCGAGTATCCGCCGGAGCGCACCAGGGGCGGGGCCCCTCTGGTCAGACGAAGGCCAGCCGGCTAGAAAGGCAAGTGTGTTGAGAGAGCTTGAGATCCAACATCAACGACGTGTGAGGAGGTGGCAACTAAGAGCAAGCCGATTGAAATAGGCACACACCTCTCGGGGACAGTCGAAGAACAGCACGCAGAGGATGTTGGTTTTGTCGCCCATCTCCTTTTCCCAGCCGTCCAGATTGTCTTGGTTCCGAGGAAAGCCATCGATGAGAAACTTGTTCGACCTGCTCTGTTGCATCGCCTGTGAATGAGACAAATCCGAACTAGGGTAAGGTGAAAAACGGGTGGTAGTCAATCAATCATCTGAGGTTTTTACCACAACCTGGACACCAGCCAAAATATCCGGCAAGTATTTATCATTTTTCCCAGGCATTAGCCAGCACAGAGCTGAAGTGCACGACGTGCAACGTCGGCCAAATGCATTGCGATGAAAACAGGGGTGTAAAACACAACACCACCCAGGCTTGCGTCTGCCTGAGTAGACAGCAGCACTGGCCTGCGACCAGGCGGACCGGGTCGGCTGCCGGACCCACCTGCTCCAGCAGCTTGCAGGTGATGGCGACCGGCACGATGTTGCCGTCCTTGATGTACTCGTCGATGATCGCGCCGTACTTGCTGTTCTCGCGCTGGTGTTCGGCCCGCAGCAGATCCCCGGCCGACAGGTGCACAAAGTCGTACTCCTCCGGCCGGCACAGAGGCACAGGTCACGCACGCGCCAGCGAGCGTTGGCACGCGTCGCAGCGCTCCGAGACGGACGGGTTGCTGAGTGCACGGCGTGACGCAAGACGGGCTCGCAAATGCCAAGCGCGTGCCAGCGCCAAGAACTGACCGAATAACACACTGCACATGCCGTTTATACAGCACCCAGGAGCTGGGCATGTCATAGAAGATTGTGGTAAAGTCACTCCACCATATACACTTGAGCAGCGCCCCAAGACTGCCTGGCCGGTTCCGTGCACGTCCTTACCGCGACGATGCGGGCGCACTGGGTACCCTTGCCGGCGCCGGGCCCGCCCAGCACGAACACGACGTTGAACTTGTTGGACGACATGGCGGACGTGACCAGGCTCTTGAATCCGTTCAGCAGGACGGTCGCCAACAGCATGGGACTCTGCGGAGGAGCAAACGCGCCGGGGTCAGGCCAAGCCGCCGCGCGCCGGGTCATTATAAATACGCCGACCCACCGCACGCAGGCGGCGGGCCGACCCAGCAGCCACCTCTAGACAGCAGGCAGGTCGAACGACACTGCCGCCGGCGGTGACGGCAGACCAACCCGGTCTCCGTCATCAGAAGACCCAGCGCCGGACCCTCACGAGTTCGGCACGGGCCACCTGCTGCGCGGCCGAACCGCACAAAAGCCCACCGCCCGGCGGATGCCCAGCCGAGCCGACGAGCAACGGGACAGCAAACACGGACGCCAGGAGGCGATCGCACAATGCGGGCTGGGCACGCGCAGGACGCGTGCCGACGGGCCGTGTTTATGCGCAGCCCTCACGGGTCGCTGTTTACACGGCCGCGTGCACGGCTGGACTGGTGACGGCGGCCGGCCGCCACTCGCGATCGCAGTGTTATCAGTTGGACTTGGGCCGCGATCGTTCGTCATTGGTCACGCCACCGCCCGGCGGGGGCAGTGGCGACACCGGCTCCGGATATAGGCACTGGGGACAAGGACACCGGGCGAGGGCGCAGCCGGCCGGGGCCATATCCACAGCAGCACACGCCGCTTCTGACCGGGATGATTTATTCGAGACGTGTGCATGACGATGGACGAAGCGATTTGGTCATGAGAACATCAAAACAAGCGATTCACGGTCCTGTTCTTCTTGACGTAAGGGTCGCCAGCTAGATATCACGGGACATCATAACCAAATGATCCACTTCGACAGCTAGCTGAAAACGAGTGAAGAGACACCGCCAGCATAGACACAAAATCGGGCACTGCATACGATTCCTGTACGCATGAGCACCGGAATCGTGAGGAACAAGGGGAAAACAGGCCAGGACAAGTCAAACTATACGCCTAAAACCAAACTACACTACCGACTGAACATAAACACAGCCGACCACCACGTCGTGCAGTGTAACGCCAACGATATCATGCAGCTCCACGATCCGACTCTTAACCCAGGCGCAGCAGAGCACGCGAACATTGTTTGCCAGTATCGACAGATGGGGGCAGTGAATCGGTCACACCCCAATCACAGCGGAGCCCATGTGCGCCCCTCTCCACCGTCAGGCACCCAAAACACTAATCCATAGTGCTCCAAACCGCGCCAACACTGATCTAAAACGCTTCGACGGGCAGAATGGACACGGTCACGGGACCCATCTGGCACAGAATAGGAACAAGCGCCGTAATTCTTTGCACTATGGCTTCGCCTTGTTCACTCAAAGATTTGGTTTCATTTTCTTGTGTTTGCTTTCAATCTCTTCATCAGGAGTTACGTACTTAAAATACGAACACAGCATTTTTTTACACTACATTACCATCAACCTCCGACGCAGGCCGCGATAAAACTCCCACTCACGCTTGTTCCCATCCCCTCCACTACCCCCGCCACGGCGGCCGAGTCAGTCATTGTCCGAGCCGATCAGCCGGTAGTACTCGTCGTTATCCACCTCGATGCGCAGCGGCGGCCGACCTCGCTTGGCGCCGGCGCGCCGGCTGTTGAGGCGGGCGCGCAGGTCGGCGCTGCTGTTGCGATCGGTGCGCCGGTCGAGCAGCGCCTCGTCCGGCTCCGACTCGCCGCCGCTCAGCTCGTCCCCGCTGAAGTCGCGCGTGATCTTGATGTTCACGGGCTTGTCGGCGGCGGCCTCGGCCGGGTCCAGCGTCAGCTCGTCCTCTTCGTCCGCGCCCTTGACGTCCTCGTCCGAGACGTCGTAGTCGAGCCGCAGCGGCGACGGCGGACGGCGCGCGCGCGCGTCGGCGGCACTCCGCTCGGCGGTCGTCAGCTGGGCGTTGGTGCGCCAGCGGTCGGCGCCACCCAGCCGCGCGCGCAGGTCGCGGCCGGCCGGCCGCACCGACGCCGGCCGCCGCCGCTCGTCGTCGGCGTGCATGCGCATGCGCGGTTGCTTGAGCCGCACGCGCCACTGCTGGTCGTCGCTGTCGGCGCTCGAGCTGCTGCTGCTGCGCTCGCGCTTGCGCGGCAGCGGCGCCGGCGGCCGCTCGGCGCGCTCGGCCAGGCGGCGGCGCAGGTCGGCCGGCTTGCCGCCGTCGCGCAGCAGGTTCAGCTCCGGGTCGTGGTCGAAGTCGCGACCCGGCCGGCTCACGGCCTCGGCCGTCGCCCAGGTGGCCGCAATGCCGCCCCAAGGGTTGGCCTTGCGTAGCTGCGGCGCCGGTGTCGGCTCGTCCAGCGGGTCGCCGCGCAGCTCGCGCCGCCGCCGCTCCGTCAGGATGCCGGAGACGCCGCGGTGGCCCGGGTCGCCGTACAGCTTGTAGTACTGGCTGCGCTGCTCCGCGCCCGGCAGCTTCTTGTCGCCGCGTGTAGCGAAACGCACAAACAGGTTCTGCGCCAGCCGGTGCGGTACGCCCAGCCGCCAGCGGCCGGGCGGCAGGGGCACGCCAATGTCGGCCGGCTCCACGGCCTCCTCCTCGCCGGCCTCTTTCATGTGCGAGTCCTCGGCGCCCTCCGCCGCGCTCGAATCCATGTGGTCCAGCCCGACCAGCAGCGCGTCCGGGTCGGGCGGCGGTGACGACGGCCGCGCGGCGGCGACCGCGATTGGCGAGCTCAGCTGCTGCAGCGCCAGCAGCGGGCCCTGCTCGTCCATCCACACCACGTTGCAAGAGTCGTCGCCGACCCACTCCACGTGTGCCGGTCGATAGCGCGCGAAGTAGCCCATCACGTCACCGGTGGCCATGGTCTCGGTGCCGCGCACGTGCAGCGCCTCGGAGCGCCACTGTGCCGGTCCCTCGCCCGGTTCAGCAAGGCCCAGGCTACGGTAGATGGCACGTCGCTGAGCGGCCGCCGCCGCGTCCTCGGCCGGCGCCGGCACCGGCGCCGCCGTCGCGCCGAACCGCTGCTCCCGGCGGCGGCGCGTCTCCTCGGAGGGCGGCGTCAGCGGGCGGCCGGCGGCCGGCGGCGGCGGCGCCGCCTCTGGCTCCGAGTCCTCCAGCTCGCCGTCCTCCATCGAGGCGGACGACTCTCCGGCGGCCAGCTCGTCCTCATTGTAGTCAAGCTCAGGGTCGGCGTCCAGCGCCAGGTCGTCCATCGCGCCGGCCGACCAGCGCGTTCTCCTCTTGCTCTGCAAAAACCGGAACACAGCTCAGCGGGCGCTCCGTCTTCAGCGGTGGCGAGACACGGACAAGTTCTCCCTTCAGCGGAGTCCTCCCATTCAAGCCCTCTTCGGAGGCCCGTCTGGGTGGGCAAACTTAACACGGATACATCCTCCCTTCAGCAGAGTCCTCCCATTCAGGCCCTCTTCGGATATCTGGCTGGGTGGGCAAGCCAAACACAGACATGTCCTCCCATTCTGCAGAGTCCTCCCATTCGAGCCCTCTTCACACATCTGGCTGGGTGGGCTGGAGAAAGACAGGCACGGCCTCCCCTTCAAGTCGTCTTCTGGTACCCAACTGGATGGGCATGCAGAGCAACTGACCTGCACCAACAAAAACTTCTTTGCAGTCCATGCTGTCATCATGACAACATGAATAGGATGTAGACCCATCTCTCATGTTGGCACATTTAATTCATTCATCATGCCCTGGAGTGGGGACATGAGTATTGCCATATTCCCTAGTAGCACAACACATTTACAACATCTGGAAAATATTTGCATTAACTGCTGATACTTTCCACATGTTGTATGTGCTCAGAATGCTGGCATTACAGCTTCTTGTACTCCTTAATCATACTCCTTTTTTACTTTTGTACTCCTTAATCATATCTAATCATACAAGTGGTGTAACCAGGATTGCGCGCATGAAGGGCCAGACCAGGTAGACAAGGGGCATATATCAAATCAAATCAGGCATAGGATGTCCTTTCAGACATAGCAGCCCTACTTCATTGGTACAGGAATCCTGTTTTTTTATCTTGGGACCTCTTACAGGTCAAGAGCCCATTTTGATGCCTCAATGACTATTTGGAAAAGCTTTTGCAAGATATACAGAAGTCTTAAACTGTCAATAATTACTGGCAACTTCAGATTCATAGTCCCACGCCCGCCCCTGCCACCGCCTTCAGGAGGGGGGGGGGGGGGAAGATGGCCAAAAAGCCTTCCCTTGGCTAAATCATGGCGCACCATACCTCTCCTCAACAAATCAGTGTCATATGTATTCATTATATCATATATCATAGCAGATAGAACACAGCTTTCTCAGCACCCTTGTTATATGGGACAATGAGTGTAAGTTGTCCAATAATGTACATCAGTAAAACTATTGAACTCTGAACTCATTAAAGGCAATTTTCAAAAATTCATTGCACATGTCAACTCTTTATTTATGACTGGAAAATGGGATATCATTTTACAGGCAGCTATATTTGGTACAAAATGACCACAGCAGTTAACCCACCAAAACCCCCAATAATCAACCAAAGGCTGGCCAAATTACTGATTACACAATTTCATGTCATTTTAGGCTTCATTACACATTTTCAAACAAAGTGCAAACTACTAGGACATGCAAGAAAGCTAGTGATATCAAGAGGATGTGACCTAAAAGTCAGAAGGTACATGATGCCCTTGCATTCATTTTCAGTGATTCTTAGACTTTTTTCTAGGGTATAAACAAGGGTCCCCCTGCATTCCTGCATGACAAAGTCTTGCAGTTAACACCCTGTTGCCCCTTATACCAGGGATAATACCAGCTTATATTCCAACAATGTGACATGAATCTCACTTAGCATGTCTAAGCCAATAAGTGTTCCATGACTTATAAATACAGACATGGAATCTAGTAAACATGATTAGCTGATGACAATAAACATGAAATATAAAATGTCATGCAATATGTACCCATAAACTTCATGACATGCACTCATGCTTCCTTGCCTAATATGTTTAGAAATATTATTAATTCCCTACCTTAGTGCTGGACTATAAGAATACATGTTACATCAAACGTACCTAAAGCAGCAGCAAGATGGGCACACATCATGTGTGTGATTCCATGCCAAATCTACCCATAATTTGAGGCCATTTGATTACTGGAATGGAAGCCTGACAGGACCAGGACCAAGCCATGTGGCCTTTTATCATTCCATATCATCATAATGTAAGGTAGGGTAAAATCCTGACCACCATTTCAATGCACACAAGCTGCAGATAAATCTGAAAGGTCAAGTTTGCTACATCATCGCCACCACTTTCAGTGTGCAGATAGGTATTTTTTCAAGGAATTATGGCATTGCCCAGGTATACTTGAAAAAAACTGAACACTCTTCACTGGCAAAACTCTGAAAACTAAGCCTTATTAGACATGTCCAGAATTGTAAGCATGCATGTTCCAGGTTTAGCACATTGCTGTCATGTGAACACACAGTTCAATTGATGAATATATTGCAAACTGACCTTGACACAGAAAGTCAGTCAGCACCCAAACACAAGTGCTGGCCACTGTTGAAGTGATAACATGGCCTATGGTTCTTAACATATCTTCTCTTTTGCTTATCACCCGCATCACATGCCTCGGTCAGGGTGTACTTTCCTACCTCACATTAGAAAAAATCATTGTACACCATTTGTCGTGTTTAAGGCAAGACATATTGTAAATAATCACAGAACAGGTAGATTCATATTTTTGGGGATTGGGTGGGGAATGTTAAGTAAAATGAGAACATGGCGGCTAAATAAAAGCTCACTATACAGCACCTATATATGGCATGGAACATGGATGCCAATGGGATGCTGGGTTGAAAGGGATATAGGGTGGGGAGGTTAAGTTAACCTAACCTAACCTAACCTAACCTAACCTAACCTAACCTAACCTAACCTAACCTAACCTAACCTAACCTAACCTAACCTAACCTAACCTAACCTAACCTAACTAAGCTAACCCAGCCTAACCTAACCTCCCCACCCTATATCCCCTTCAACCCAGCATCCCATTGGCATCCATGTTCCATGCCATATATAGGTGCCATATAATGAGCTTTTATTTAGCTGCCATGTTCTCATTTTGCTTTACATTCCCCACCCAATCCCCCTGCAACCCATCATCCAGTTGGCGTCAGAGATCAAATTTCATGGATTCTTGTTACCTTGGCCCAGTACATTTTTATGGTTCTTGATGCTGCTTGATGCGCAGTAATGTTGTGACCGCGCGCAGTAATGGCGCCGGTGTCGCGGGTGCTGTGTATGTGCGGCGCTCGGGAGCTCGCCGTCGTAATTATAAAAAAATTGAAGGTAAGAGCATGAATCTACCTGTTTTGTGATTATTAACGATATGTCCTGCCTTAAACACGACGAATGATGTGCAATGATTTTTTTGTAACGTTAGGTAGGAAAGTACACCCTGACCGGTAAGACACTGATTTCTCATCTGAAGACTCCAAAGATAGAGAAAAGAATACACACCTTTTGTTCTCCGGCCTGCGGGACCAAGTATCTTGAGTAAGTGCGATCTGTTTAACAACACTGTTATTGTCACTGTTTTACACTTATCGTTTTTTTCGTATAATTTCGATTAGAGGGAGGTAACTCCACCGCCCCTCGGAATAAATCCCAGCCTCCAACAACTCCTACACCACGGACAACCGGCTGTCGCGTGACGTAAACCGTCGGAATCGTCGGAATCGTGTTTTGTGGTGCGCCGTTTTCGTTCCTCGAATTCGTCGACAGCTTACATTGCAAATTAAAAGACTGCCTGAATTTGGGAGACCAGTGTCCTTCGCAATGTTTTTGTATCGGTAAGTAAGTTGCCAAAGTTCATTGTGTTCAGACGGCAAACCATTTGATTATTCGTGAACGTATAACTCCTAAGCCATTCGGTGTAAGAGTATAATTTTTCAGGAGTGCGTTAGCTTTTCTTGTGGAGCTTTCTGATTCATTTTTTACCATCTTATAGTACTTGTGCAAAATTTGTACCACAGTTCCTCGTGGACGTATAGCTAGGTCATGCAACATTGCAGTTCTAGTCACTGTAGATAAGATTTTCCTATGATATTAAACGACGACACAAAGTTGCAACAAAATCAGTCTACCTTTTAGTTTCTTTGAGCTGCATGGTTGGAAAAAGGCAACACGTCACCAAATCATAAAGTTTACAGGGTGCGAAATATGTTTCGAGTTGCTACGTATACTGTTGGAGTTACCCTGCTATGGTGAAGATTAAAACGTGATTGGAAAATGACGCTCCCTACGTCACGATGCTTCGTACCTTCTTTTGTCTTATTTTTGCAACAAATAACAACGACGTATTTTGTGATCTTGCGTCATACATTTTTCACTCCTATCCTAAGAGCGCCTTCCTTCCGAAAGGAACTGTGTTTAGAACTTCCGGAACGTTGATCGCTGCCAAGGTCATAACAAGGATCGGAAATAAAACGTAGGTGTCTGCGAGGTATCACGTTCTGGCGCTCAACCCGATTGAGAATTAAGCTCAAGACGCTGTGTGGGGCTGAGGGAGAGTGAGTTTCATGGCAATCACAATCGCAGACAGACACAACAAGATTGGTTCCAGATGTGGATGCCATCTCACCACATGGTGTCCATGTAGTCCATCCGTTGATTTGGGTATCATCTTGGTCTCCCATTTGATTGTCATTGGGATGAAGTGTGTTGAACATTAGGTGTGTTTCTTTGCGGCTGTTATGCCAATTTATCCACATACAGTCATGCCTCTTTGTAAGTGGGCATCATATTTTTTTTCATCTGTTGGGAGTGGTGTGAATGTCATGAGGTTGTTCAGTCCACCAGGATTTCAACAGGACCCTCCTCATGATATTGTTAAATGCAAAACCTGCTTCAATGGAAATTATTCTGGGAGGAAGCCCACATGATCATTGTCAGCTCTGACTGCAAATATCACCATAAGTTAAAGCGTAGTTGTGATGCTTATGTCTGTGTTAGGGGGGGGGGGGATGTGGCTGAATTCTGAAATCATTTCAAATTAGGCCAGTTCCAGAGGCAGGTCTAGCATATACACATTCTGAATTTGTCACAAGAACATTCAGAAGCATTTACTGTGTCAAGAAACAATTGTTTATTATTGTGTCAAAAAACAGTTGTTTATTATTGTGTCAAAAAACAGTTGTTTATTATTGTGTCTTGCTATTGGTGCACATATAAGCTGTCTAGGTTATGGCATATTGTGTCATGTAAATCTACATTTTATCAGTTAAGAGTTGATTTGGTTGACTAGCCCTGACTCCAACTATTAAAAGGTTGAGGGAAAAAACATAAATAAATAGACATAATAATACACTTTCCTTAACATAAATCTAATGGACTACTGGCTGGGATAACTTGCTACACAAGGCATATTTTCTGCATTTTCTGGAAAGAATAACATACATAGACACGCTTATAGCTCATCATGCTGTTACTGCAATTAAATGTTGCTTTCTATATCTGCTGGTTAGTTAATCACTAAAATTTGGATTTGGACATATAGAACATAGTTAGTTGATTTACAAACTTTGGATTTGGACATATATAACCAGAAAGCAGTGTGGGAACAATGGAGAACTTGTATTGTTACCTTGCCTGTTGTAATAGGAGCTTGACACACAATTTGGCAGAAATGTGACTAGGCTAATGTTTGTTGTTTGAGCCAGTGTTTGATGTGAATATCAGTTTCAGCTACTCCAAAAAATCACTCAGAACACGACACAGCATCAGCAGTGTGTCTGCCCATCTCCTTGCAGCCTGTAACTGGCCTGATGTCCGCTCGCCGACTGCTGTGCGCGGCGGCGGGTCTGGTGCGGCTGCTGCCGGCGGCGCGGCCAGCGATGCCGCGGCTGATCTCGCGGCTCGCGCCGCCGCCGTCGCCCGTGCTGACGGCGCTGCAGCGGTACGGCCCGACGGCTCGGCTGGCCACGGCCGCCTCCGCCGCGTGCGCCGCGCAGCGCGGCCCCCAGCCGCCGCCGCCTCCGCTGCCCGACGCGAAGAAGCCCATCGAGCTCGACCTGTCGGCTGTGCATTCGAAGCGACGCATGCAGCGCAAGCGGTCGGTGGTGACGGACGAGGCGAGCGCGCAACAGCCGACTGAGGAGACGGTGAGCCCCTGGGACCACACCGAGCATGGCGGCGTGCCGGACGACTTTTGTCGGCCTGCGAGCCGGCCAGGCTGCGGCGACGGCTTCTGCTTGGCCGATGTGTGTGTGTGTGTTGATTATTGAGTTCATTTTGTTGCATTGTTTGTAGTGCACCATTGGCCTTCTCCTGTAGGACATAGAGTGCATAGTTGGGACACTGGTGTCTTGTTCTCTTGCAGCGCGCACAGACAAGAAATGGGAGAGAGACGCTTATGTCTCATGTGTTTTCATCAGAGCTTGACATACCTTCGTACCTACCGTCGTATCAAAAACTGTCCTCTTCTAAAACCAAGAAAAGATACAAAGTAAGCACTGCCTGGTTGTATTAGTCATCTGCAGAGCACAAGGCCTGGACACAAGCCCATAGTGTGTTCCTTCACCCAAGCCATGGTATTGATGTTTTAAGTCACTGGCATCTGTATTGTAGCAGCGCAGGCGCCAGAATTTGGCTGCCTTCTTTCCACACTGCCATTTGCAGGGACTCGTCTAAGGAACTTTGGTCGGGTATTGCCATGCAGCTACACTGTCCTCAGTGACCAGTTCTGCACAGTGTATCACATTAACTGGATGGGCAGAAGCCACGGCTCACGGGTTCGGCCCACATAGTAAAATGTTAGACGAGTCCCTGGCCGCTGGGAGCATGCCACACGTTTTTCTCATATCGCTTCTTGGTGTTGTAGTATACTTGGTGTAAAGTATGCTTTGTAGTCAACCATGTGTGCTGGCTTGCACTAAAAAAGGGGAATAGTAAACGCGTTTTGTGTGCGCTTTTGTGCTAGTAAATGCGTTTTTGATAAAGCACATGCTGGCAAAATGTGCTAGAGTCGCATTTGCTGTCAAGTCCAGCCCTGACAGGAGGCTGGTGGTGAATGTGGAGCCAACTTGTGGTCTTCATGTCATGCTTTGGTTGAAAGTATGAATCTTGCAGTGGCAGGTTATCAGAGCAAGAAAGTATGTGACGTGAGACATAGCGAAGTTGGTTTTGCAGGAGCCTTAGCATACACAACAGCTGCCAGCTTTGATTCCACTTCGCTTTCTTTTGCAAGTGGTGGAATTGTTTTTACCATTTTGCTAACTTGTTAGGGTAGAAAAGCCCTTTTTAAATTGACCTTTAATAACGTTTAGTTTCGACGTGTCCCAGTCGCGTTCCAAAAGCGGTATTGGTGCCGTAATCATGAATTTTCAAAGATCTGTCGGTTTCTCGCCCACGATTTGGATGCCCTTCTCATCGCAAAGCGTACAGTCTGGGAGCCGCGTAGTCAGGCTTGTCGGTGTCATCTGCGGCTGGGGCATTTTTTATATCTGCTTGCTGCGGGTTTGGAGCGCCGTTCTCGCAGACTTGGCGGCACCGGCTGTACCCGGACACTGCGCCGCCCGCTGACTCCAGCCGTACCGCAGGACATGGAAGTGGTGGCGTACAGCACGGCCGAGGAGTACTCGCTGGAGGGCCTGGTGCGCGGTCTGCAGGAGCAGAACCTCTACCACCCGTCGGCCATGTCCGAAGGTACCGTCAGCCACCACACCCGGGGACGAACCCTCCCGGCTACCGTCCGAACCTCCCGACGTTCCCGGGTCATCCTGGAAACAAAGCGTCCGTCGACGCGATGACATCGCGTTTACGTAAACGTCAAACGCTGATCGATAGCAGATTGTACAGGTCAGTCATGTCGCAAGTAGCGAAGTCCGCCCCCAAAATAGGCGCCTTCGGCCCGCCATCTGTACGCTGTCGTGCTGTGTAGGCGCGGACTGCGTACTTCGTCCGATTGGCGCCGACGCCCATTGGCAGAAAGCCAGCGCCATCGTTGATGAATGCATCACGGATTATACGTGACGTCCGTTCTGTGCTGGCGGCCAGCAGCTGACGCTGCTCGGCACTGCTCGCCCACCGCGCCCCGCCAGCGCGCCGGGAGCAGCTGTTGTAGGTGCGTTGGTGTTGCGGCCGGGGCCGCCGGTGACCGGCGTCCGCCCGCCGCCGCCAGACGTGCACGACGTGCTGCACGTGGCGGCGCGCTACACGCTGGGCGCCGAGCCGCGCGAGATCTACCTGTTCCGCGAGGGCACCGTCGTCTTCTGGAACGTTCCCGAGCTGGAGCGGCGCAGCGTGCTCGACTTCCTGCGCCAGTTTGAGGAGGGCAGCTACGACTCGGCCACGGTGGAGGAGGAGTCGGACAGCATGCCGTACTCCTACACGGAGGTGTTGTGAGTACCGCAGCCACGCGTCCGACTTTCGGTGTGGACTTGTTCAGCATGTGAAAATGTACTGTGTTGTAGAGCGCAAGCGTGGGTGGAGAATGCTGTGTGGTGGTCGTGGCAGCACCTGCGCCAGCTTTCATCAAAATAAGTAATTTTAAAATGTCTTGATTGAAGGACGTCCGTAAGGGCAGCTTGACGCCGCCAGCTTTCCTCACCGTCTAAATGAAAAGTCCAACCTTAAGCGTAAGTCATTCATTCATTCATTCATTCATTCGCTTATCCATCTATTCACTTACTTACGCACGCACTTATTTGTTTATGCATTCGTTCATTCACTTGGTGATTCGTTTGTTCGTTTGTTCAAATGTTTTCAGCTGCCGTCGGTCTGTTGCAGCTGTTTAGTATATTTACACGTGAATGGGTCGAAGTAGTCTGTTTTCTAGTCGTTTGACGCCATTGACCCTGTTCTGTGTGCGGCAGTAACAAAACGCGTCTGGTGAACGGCCGCATTCTGCTCAACATGGAGGGCTCCACTGACCTGGAGAAGTACGCCTTCTCCAACGCCATGGCGCTCTCGGTCAAGCTGGGCATCTGGGAGTCGGCGCTGGAGACGTACATCGACAGCATCAAGCACGTGACCGAGGTAGGTGAGACGTTGGCGCGCGCTCTGTCGGTGCTTCTCTGCAAGATTTAGGGGTGTTTGGATATAGGGAAAGGGGTTCTGCACGCAGAACAGATGATTCGTGAGCTTTGCCTACGCGTGTAGTAACTTTTTGGTCCAACTCCGAGTCTGGATGGCTCCTTAGCGAGCCGCCAGATGCGCACATGCGTTCACCCGTTGGGCCCGTTGACGTGAGCGGGTGACGGTTGACAGCGTTTGGTAGGCTAGTAATGGCCTGGACAGTTGAGTACCTTTCAGCCAAGACCACCGTCTGACTCCATTGCTCTCGTGCTTAGGAGCTGAGGAAGGGCGGCCGGATCATCATGAAGAAGGAGGAGGTGTTGAAGAAGAACGGCGAGCTGTTCGGTCTGCGCCATCTGATCAACCTCAGCTCCGACTGTCTGGACACGCCCGACTTTTACTGGGACAAGGACAACCTGGAGAGCCTCTATCAGAAGACGTGCAACCACCTGAACATCGCCAAGCGAACCAGGGTGAGAGGGCGCAGAACACGTGCATGGGTTTCCTCGAGCAATCACCGATTCCGCCGGCAGGGGTGGTGAAAATGCTGGTGACATATATGCAGCCAAGGGGTGCGGCACGGCGTCTGCCCGAGCTGTGCGCATCTTTATAAGTCACGCACCACATGATTCTGCACCAAGCTGCAGTGCAGAGCAGTACAGTGGAATGCGCCACAGTACAGCACCCTCCAAAAAAACTTTGTCTACGGCTCACGTGGGGCAAATGAGCGCGCTGACTCTAATGCCATGTCAATGACTGCACAGCTAGTACCGCACGGCCGCTGGTTTCGCTGTAGACTGGACACACGCAATATTCCAGTATACCCTGAGCGCTCGGATGCGCAGCTGCTTTGCCCTGTTCCGCGTTGTAAATGGAACGCGACCTCGTGCTCTGTGCTGACGGTCCGTCCGGTGCCGCTGGCGGTGATGATAGCGATGATGACGCGGACGATAGCGCTGATGATAATGATGATGATGATGACGATGTCAATTCTTCTTCTTCTTAGTTTTGTTGTTATTCTTATTCTTATCATGAAAACGATCATAGAGATCATGATTTGGACTTTAGGATGCGCCGACTGCACCGGTCATTTGGCGCCCATCCGCAGGTGATGAACGAGAAGCTGAACCACTGCGTGGAGCTGGCCGACCTGCTCACCTCCAACCTGCAAGACCAGCACCATGTCCGGCTGGAGTGGATGATCATCGCGCTCATTATGGTGGAGGTGGGCTTCGAAGTGGTGCACTTCCTCGAGCGGTATACCTAAGGGGGCCCACCCCGGACGGCGCCTGCGACGCCGGCGGCGGCCCGGATGGACTCGTCAAGGACGCCCGGACCTCACGACTATCGATGCCAAGCTGTGGACCTTCCGCCCAGTGTGCGGAAGAGGGAGGGGGCGGGGGCTGATGTGCTCGATGCGTGCGGTCTGATGATGGCTCAGTGTGCTGTGCTGTAGCGAAAAGCCGTCTCCGCATGGCTCCCTTTGAAGGGAGGCGCCGTGGTGGTTGCGATGTCACGCCCGCCCCTGCCATTTGATGAAGGGTGCTGTATCTATCCCACTTTTCATCGAAGCGTATGTGATTTCCGTCCTGGACATATCAAGCACAGCTTGTGTATTGCCAGTGCACCCGTCGGGCCGAATCGTTTGCGTGTCAACTGTGATAAATTCAAAGTCGGTTTTGTGAGACCCTGTTAGAGGAACGTTTTCATCTTTTCCGGATATTCGGGAGTCAGACATAAGCGCATCGTGCCAGCTGCCGCGGCTCAAAAAGACATCTCTGAGGAAGATGGGGAGATATATAGGTTCGGGGTGCCAGAACATGGTTGATGCGTGTGCCGTGCTGTCGTTTTCATGTTCACTGGAGATCTGTGACGTCATGTGACGTCACACCAGCTACCCACTGATGTGCGCACGTGTCCTGCGGACCGGCTGGCAGTCCCGGCAGCCTTCAAACTGTCAGTCGTGTGCCGCCAATCCGCCGCCGCCTACTGCAGCGACTGGCGATTGGTTGTGGCCTGACGTCACCCCGACGTCATCGGGGGCCGGGGGCGGGCCCCTGGCGCTGTGACGGGCTTGGTCAGAGCGGAGTCCGACCGCCCTGCGGGTCACGATTTAGGGCGTGTCTTGCCGTCGGGCGTGTACACCCGCGATGTGTGGACAAGCCACGCGCGTGGCGACATGGCGTGTTTGTGGTGATCGGGGTGCCTCGTTTTGTTGGGGTCTACAGTTTGAGTCAAGTGCTGATCTTTAGTCGACACGCCACCCCACGGCCTGTTTTTGTATGGGTGGCAGTGGGGGGGTGGCAATACGTTTTCTAGTGAAATATCGTCGAATAAATCCAGTATCGATGTACTGCGTGCGTGCCACTCTGATCCTGGAGTCGCTAGTGCTGATTGCGCAGCTCGGTGTTGGAAGAACGGAACAAACGAATGGACCATGTAAGAGTGGCCGGTTGCTGCAGCCCTCCACGCAACAGACTCGGCTCCGACCGCCGCCGCCAGCGCCAGCCGTGGCGCTGCTGCATCCGGCTCAACACCGGCGCCCGCTGCCGCGTCCGGTTCAGCACCGACGCCCGCTGCCGCGTCCGGTTCAGCACTGACGCCCGCTGCCGCGTCCGGCTCAGCACCGGCGCCCGCTGCCGCGTCCGATGCAGCGCCGGCGCCCGCTGCCCGTCCGGTTCAGCACCGACGTCCGCTGCCGCGTCCGGCTCAGACCGGCACCCGCTGCCGCGTTCGGCTCAGCACCGGCGCCGCTTCCCACGTCCGGTCCAGCACCGGCGCCCGCTGCCGAGCCGCACCGGCTCCCACCGCCGCGCAGCCGCCCGTCTCACGGTCTGGGATATATTGGATCACAGGACAGTACACGCACAGTCGGGCTGGCCGGCGGCCGCTGGTCGCCAGCACGCAGCGCTGGGCGCCGCGACGGCACTCCACTGCATGCGAGGTCAAAATGGCGCGCCCCGCCCGCGGGCCGCTGGCCGGCCACACACACCGCGGCGAAACCGGCGCGCGGCGGCAGTGCGCCGCGCACGCTACATGCTCTACGAAATCAGATACACAGCGGCCTACAAGTGGCCAGTAAGTAGATAAATGTTCAGATATCACACGTCAGGTAAATCAGCACCGCCGCTTATATATGCTTTTAATATATATCTATATGTAGGTAGGTAATGGGTAATCTCAGTGGGACGCCGCGAACTCAGGAAGCCGTGGCCGAGATTCTGCGTCGGCAGCGGCTCGAGCCGGGGGGCGGCACCAGCTGGCAGCTGGCAGCCAGCGCCACCCTGTCCGCCGCCGGGCCCCCCAACTTATTGCACGACAGGGTCAATGCGGGCCAGCGGCGTCTGGGTACCATGACACGGGCGGACAGCCGTAACAAGAATAGACAAGGCTTTGATTCGGCGTGCGGCAATAAACGCTTAAATCAATCTGACATAACTGGCACGATAAGCGAGCATGGGTCGGCGCGGCAGGCTTGACAATCATTTGTACTAGCACATGAACGCAAAAGAGTGCCGACCTCCGGGTCGCACTAGCTGCTAAATGATATCGATGTGAACGCCGATTCAGCAATTAACGCGTGACACCAACACGACGCAGCCTACACACTCAACTGCACGTGCCTCCCGCGGCGTGGCCCGAACCGCGCCGGCCGCGGTCCGGGCCGTCCCAGACTGAAACAGGCGGCCAGCTGCCGCCAGCGCCCGGCCGCCCGAGCGGGGCGGCGGTGGCCACGGTGCGCGCGCGCGCGCGCGCGGACCGGGTGTCGCGCGCTGGCAGGTGGGCAGCGCGCGATCACCGCGCCGCGCCCGGTCACATGACCGTGCACACCTTCTTGAACTCGGACTCGTACTCCTGCTGCACCTCCTCCTTGTTGACCGGCTTCCCCGTCACCTGGCCGAACACGCGAGGGTGTCACGGCATACCGAAGCCACGACCGCGCCAGTTCGGGTCATGGCGTGCTCGAGCCACGACCACGCAAGCACGGGTCACGGCGTGCTTGAGCCACGACCGCGCCAGTTCGGGTCACGGCATGCTGGAGCCACGACCGCGCCAGTTCGGGCCACGGCGTGCTGGAGCCACGACCGCGCCAGTTCGGGCCACGGCGTGCTGGAGCCACGACCGCGCCAGTTCGGGTCACGGCGTGCTGGAGCCACGACCGCGCCAGCTCGGGTCACGGCATGCTGGAGCCATGACCGCGCCAGGTCGGGCCACGGCGTGCTGGAGCCACGACCGCGCCAGTTCGGGTCACGGCGCGTTCGAGCCACGACCGCGCCAGGTCGGGTGGCGATGCGCTAGAGTCGGCATCTCGTCTGAGCCGCTGACACCGCACGACGGCAGAACGTGAGCCCTTCGTCACATCACGCGGCCACACGGGGAGAGGGAAGACGTGGTGATAGCATATGACATGTGAAGACATGGAAGCTTCGACATGCGAGATTCCTCGAAAACATCCAGAAAATGCTTCCATTAACACATGCGACGATTGCTTACGTATGTTGCGCAACATCCAGACAATGCTTCCATTAACACATGCGACGATTGCTTACGTATGTTGCGCGGGCGGCAGGGCGGGACGCCCTCTCAACTGAAATGTCCCAAATACAGGGTTCCGGCCGAAGACGCTCCAGTTCCTGGGCCTGAATGCACAATCTAAGACCAATGCAATGCAAAATTTTGACGCCAGTTCATGGTCTTGTGTCGAACAGGACCGCTAGGTCAAAACGTGGTCAACGCCGGGTCAATGTGGGCCGGCCACGTTATCGGGTTCAGATTCTCACTGGCAGCTTGCCGACCGCTGCTGCTGGTTAGTGGTTGGCTGTGTGCATTCAATGTGTGGTACAACGCAAGGGGTAGGCCCTTTTCTGCCACAAAGGTGTTAGATTTCCAGCACTTTTGAAAACAAATAGCATGACCACATCCAGGGTGAGCTGCTTAATCGTGCTCCGGCCTTCTCTGACAGGTAGTGGTGAAACATTCTCGTTAGCATGGATCTATCGCACGGACGTGACGCAGACAGCAGTTGCCGACGACCTGGGTGATTGCGGACAGCAGAAGGCCCGCATCCTTACCTTTGGCATGTAGCTGTCATAGTCGATGCCATCCCGTTCGTAGAAGAGGATGTAAGCAGAGTTGGTGTCGATCTGCGACTCTGGCACCTCCTGCAAGCAGAGGAAGTGGTGACAAACAGTGACCACAGCCACCATGCGGGTGGAACGATCAAACGACCAATAAAAAAACTGATTTCCACAACTCATCTTACCACCACAACTCACCCACCAAGTGACATGCTTAGTACCACTCCTCCCCTGCTTAGCAGTACAGCTCCTCTCCCAGCCCACTCGGACCGTCACATTAATCCCCGCCACCGCGCGGTCGAGTCCCGCCCCCTCCCGCTGCGCCCCGGCCGTCCGCTCACCTTGCACGAGCTGTCGTTGTAGAAGAACCACTTGCCGGCGTCGTTCTGGGCGTAGCAGACGTAGTGTCCGCCGCCCATGATGCCCGTGTGGCAGCTGAGCGCGTACAGCCGGTAGCGCAGCAGCAGCGGGTCGCGTCCGGACGCCAGTCGGTGCTGGTGGAAGTCCTGCAGCACGTCGCCGTACATGACGGAGCCGTTGCGGATGCGCCCGCGCGGCCCGGCGGCGGCCGGCAGCGGCAGCAGCGAGCCGCCGCCGCCGCCGCCGCCGGCGTCCTCTGACGACGAGAGCACGTCCCAGTCGAGCTCCGGCGAGTCGGCCGCCAGGTCGCCCAGCTCGGCGCGGTGGTGCAGCACCTGGCGGGGGCACGCGAACGGGTCAGCATCTAATGCGCACGTACGCAGATCTGCGACGGTTCGGCACCCTGGGCGTGCGCCAGATACACGCGCACCACGCTCAGCCCTGCAAGACGGTACAGTACCTGATGGGAAGGGGGGGGGGGAGATGTACGAGACGGATCGAACCAGGTCGGCATCTAGTCAACAAATATACCGATCAGTCTTGGAATATGCATACATCGGCCACCATGTGCCACAGACACTTTGGTGAGACGTGTATCTGAGGCGGCACCAAAGTTCAGAAAGCCATGTGCAGCGCCATTCGGCGTCATAACTGTTAGTGATGACGTACCCGGAAAAGGGCAAACGGGAAGGAATGGCGATATAGAGACGACATACTCAGCCCCCACACATGCGGACAATGGGGGTGAAATGTGACACCGCACACAACATCTGACCACGAGACAGCACCGAGACTGAAGCGCCGCCACTGACCGTCTGTCGCGGCACGGACGCCAAGTAGTCCGTCGGGTCGAAGTTGTTGAACGGGAAGTTGACCACCTTCTGCGACTTCACCCACCGGCCGCCCACCGACTGGAACCGCTTCAGGTGCACGATCTGAGAGAACACCGACCGGGTCCGTCACGGCAAAGCAGGACCGAACAGGCCGTGCGGTTGTCCTTCAGAGAGTGGTCAGCAGGCTGCGACACTAGTCACGAGGGCAAACCGCAAAAGGACGCTGCCATTCTCCCATTCGACGTCAGCAGCACACCGATCGCCACGACACATTACTGGCTGCAGTGGAACACGGAGCGACTCGCGGCAGATTCCACGTCGGTGGCGGGCGAGCCAGACGCACACGTCACCGCGCGGCGAGCGGCGTCGGCGGACGCACCAGGATGGGCGGCAGCCGCCAGATCTGTAGCTTCTTCAGCGCCGGCTGGTGGGTGCGGCACTTGGAGCAGTAGTACTTCTCCTGCTCGCCGAGCGTCTCCTCGCGGGTGAAGGCCTGCAGGCAGCTGTTGAGGTCGATGGGCTCCGTCTGTCGCTGCCGGGTCAGCGGCACGGACGGGTCCTCCAGGCACACCTGACGGCGGCCGACGGCGTCAGGGTCTCCACAAACTCCCGCTGATCCGACGCTGAACGGCGCTGGGCCGCACAGACACGCTGGCTGCTGACGCCAGACGGAGGGGCGACAGGTACTCCAGAACACGCTGCTGACGAGGGACAGGATGCATCCCGCCCAGACATGCGGACGGCGGGAGCGAGACGATCCCACTCGTCGGCGAACTGCAAATTTCAATCGTCGCTACCTCATCGCATCCCACAGACAACAACACGAGCACGGATCGAAAGGCCCTCAAGATGTCTCTGCGGGCGGACAAGGTCCAACACGGATCTCCCAGCCGTCCGTACATCCCTGCGACCCTCAGCATGACACGGCGGCGTCACCAGCACGAACCGGCGCCGGCGAGCTTCCAGCGCGCCGGTCGGGCGGCCGGACCACCGACCTTCTCCTGTCCGCCCAGGTAGCGGAGGTGGAGCGCCGTCGGGTCCCAGTCGATGGCCAGGTAGGCAGGCGCCGCCGACAGCACCGTGTCCGTGCACGGGATGGAGCAGCCGCGGCAGAACCGGTACCACGGGCACGACCAGCACGCCGTGCCTGTCTTGTTGACGCACTTGAGCACGAACGGGTACTTGTAGCCCAGGCTGTCGTCACTGCGGGGGCGGCGCGAGACGCCGGTGAGACGGGCGTAGGGCCGAGGGTTGACTTTCACACGCCTGGGCAACGTGCAGCGACACACGAGCCGGGCCGGTCTGACCGGCCACCAACGCACGTACTATGCATCACTTCAGACACAGCGCCGTTTCAGAGCCGAGGCATGCCAATGTTGCAGAGTTTACTACCAAGTCATGAACCCAATACAAAATAATGTCGTGAGGCTGATATAGCATGCAGTCGTGCACAATCAAGCACATTTGCCCTTGAGTTCTAATGGTCACAAAGTGACCATAGCTTTGTCCCAGCCTTACACAGAGTCCGTGGCAGAACCAGCCTACACATCTACGGATGTCATTGTACATCTTCCGAGACACGCACGGACCGGCTTGACCGGAATCCCCGGGCACTGTGAGCGAAACCATGGCCACGATCCAGACCCTACCCCGTGCGCGCGGCCTCTCACCAGTCCTGCGCGTGGTTGGCCAGCGCCACCTCGGAGGCGGGCGGCAGCGGCGAGACGAGGCGCGCCACCTGGGTCCAGACGGCGCGGTACAGCTCCGTGCCGCACACCACCAGGCCGCACGCCACCATGACCGGCAGGCCGAACAGCAGCGGCCGCGTCTTCTGCGCCGACAGCAGGTAGCTCTCCTGGCGCTCCATCTTGCGGTGGTAGGCCACCACGAAGCCCTTGGCCAGGTCGTCCAGGTCCAGCTGGCAGCTGATGCCCGAGGAGGCCGTGCTAGCTGCGTCCGAGTCCGAGTAGCGACCCGGCGCCGGCACCTCCTCCTCCTGCCACGACACGAACACAACCGACTTATGGGGGCCGATAAGCCGGACACTTCGGGAAACAAATACAACGATTGAAAAGAAGCTACTGATTTAAAACATTATATTTCCTTTCCCAGATTTGGTCTTGCACACCGCCACATCATGATATGCGTATTGGTCTCGCTACGATCCTTCAGAGCCGGAAAGTCACGAAGGTTCGTTTTGATATAGTTGAAAGTAGCCGCTGACAGTCCACCAATTAACTCCGTATCCGTTATTCCCGTGCTGCCGAGCGCCGGCTCGCGCCCCTGCCGTGAGCAGCGCGGCCTCCGCGCCGGGCCCGGACTCACATGCGGCACCTCGCCGTTCGGCAGGTGCGCGGCGCCGTTGGGCAGCGAGCGCTGGATGTGCGAGAAGCCGTGCTCGCTCGACTCGCTGGCGCCCGAGCCGGTGCGCGCCGACGCCGGCCGCTGCCACGCCAGCGGTACCTCGAACGCGTACAGGCCGACCGTCGAGCCGCGCACGCGCTGGTCGTCCGGGAGCACGCACTGCGGCAGGGTGGGGACACGGCGTCGAGACGGCGACAGGCACAGGCCGACGGCCGCGACACGGCGCACATGGGGGAGGTGAGCCGACTGTCAGGAGGCGGTCACACCACAGCTGCAGGTGAGCGCGACGCAACCGGGCACCCATCTGTGCGAAAAGGACATCGGGTGATTGGGTGCCACCTACATAAGCGATCTCCATAATGGGATGATGTTGGGCGCTTCAATGCGCCGACTTAAGCAAAGGACGCGCCCGGCCTACGTACGGTCCGACGGGTTCATCCGACCAGACAAAGCCCCGTCTCGTTGACTGCCAGCGGCGTCAGCAACGAAATAAAACAACCAAACCCCAATAGCGGATGGGGAGGGGGAGGGGCACCCAACCCGGCAGCTCCACCTGCAGATCGAACCGGCACGTCACCAGCCGTCCCACCTTGACGAGCGGGTCGGCCAGCTCGCAGACGAGCAGGCTGGCCTCGTTGACGCCCGACATCTGCTGCAGCTGCTGCTTGACGGCCGAGTAGCGGGCGTCCATGTTGAGCCTCAGCCCGTACCGCACCGGCACCGAACCGTCCAGCCGCACCACTGGCAGGGCACACAGAGACAGGCGTGGACACGTGTCGCAGGGACGCCGACGGACATACCGCCGCCGCTGCTCGGCGACGAGCCAGCAGTGGTCGGCTGCGCCACCTCGCCCGCGTTCGCCGCTCCATACCCCGGCGTGCCTCAGACAGCGACGGAAATACAGCAGTCGCCGACGCCTGTCGGTACACTGTACACCTGCCACAGCGCCACGGCGGAACGACGCCGTCACCCAGCCGCAAGGCTGCAGACCAGGCACGTGCGGAGCAGCGCCAGCCGTTTCCGTCGCCATCGTTTGCGACACCACACGCAGCTGCAGACCACGCGGACAAACAAACGCCTGGCGTCCCGGCTCTGCGAGGCCCGCACCACCCCCGAGCCCCACCCCGCGGCGCTCGGCTCGGCGGAGCCCCGCACCACCCCCGAGCCCCACCCCGGGGCGCTCGGCTCCGCGAAGCCCCGCACCACCGCCGAGCCCCACCCCACGGCGCTCGGCTCCGCGGAGCCCCACACCACCGCACGGCGCTCGGCTCGGCGGAGCCCCGCACCATCGCCGAGCCCCACCCCACGGCGCTCGGCTCCATGGAGCCCGGCGCCACCTCCGAACCCCGACCCATGGCGAGACCCATCTCCGTCGGCCGGCCGGCGCGGCTCGGCGCCCACTCACGGGTGATCTTGACGTGCGTGAAGTTCTCCATGGGCAGCGGCAGCGAGAGCACGTTGAACGGGTCGAACCGGACGCTCTCGTGGCCGCACTGGCGGCACGTCACCTTCGACTTGAGCTGGCCGTGGAACAGGTCCACCACGATCGACTTGTTGCGCAGGATGTGGTTCTCCCAGGCCTGAGCGGGCGGCGGAGCACGCGGTCAGCGGCGGCCGGGCCGGACGGCGCACCCACGGGTCACGCACGCGGTGTGTCGGGGTCAGGAGAGCCAGCGCGCTCCCCACACAGGGCCGGACGGCGCACCCACGGGTGACGCACGCGGTGTGTCGGGGTCAGGAGACCCAGCGCGCTCCCCGCACACAAATAGCAATGTGGACGTGCGACGCGAATTTGACGGATGAGCTAGTTGACTGATTTAACTAATCGACTATTTGATTGATTTATGTGATGAAGCAATTGCTCGGACGATGGTCCTCGATAATCGGTCAGACATGCTGACACACATACCAAAACACGCGAGACGAGGACCGTGGTCCTCAACAACAATTACAACAAACGCGATTACCAATAATGCCATTCGCCGGCCGGCCCCGGTGCTGAACACAGACCGAGTCAGCACACCGACAGCACCGGTTCGCCCACCTCCTGGGCGACGACGACGTCGGGCCGGCCCTCGCTGTCGCGCAGCTCGACGTACGGCTTGTCGTGCACCCGGTTCAGGTCCTCGTGCAGGCCGTCCAGCAGGAAAGCCAGCAGCTCCTGAGCGTCGTGCTGCTGCACGCCGCTGAAGCGCGGCGCGTACTTGCCGATCGTGAACTGGTGCGCGACGGAAAACACGGCCCGTCACGGCGCCAGGCCATGGAAGACGCGAGTGCGAAAGCCAGAGGGTGCGCGCAGTGCCAGATTGTCGCCCCGAACAGGCTTCCAACAGTGTGAGGCACAGAGCGGTCGGCAAAGACAGGATGCTGCCAATATCATCAAAACGTGCCGGCGTCGGTATAATTTAATTCACATATCAAGGCTTTAACTCGTATATGTGTGCTCTGCTCACGCGCCACACCTTCCGGAGACATACGCCGTGGCCGAAACGCGGTTGCGCCAGTTCCGACCACTCCATGCTTAATGTCAGGCTAGGGCTGATTAAAACCGGTACCCAGAACTCTCCTGAACGGGACCTGATGCACCATACCTGTTTACCGTTTTTCACACGCGGTGTATTGCAGAACACGAGAGACAAGACTTCGTGGCGCGTCCCGGTGGGGAGGGGAGTCCCCGCACCGGCGTCCTTACCCGCAGCTTGAGCGGCGCGATCGTCTTGGTCGTGCCGCGCCATATTTCCTGGATGAGATCGGCGTAGCAGAGCGCGATGTGGCCTTTCATGCCCAGCGGGTTTTTCCTGCAGGGAGAGGGCCGGCCGAGCGTAAAACAGCAGCTCCCGCCGACACACGCGCGGGGAGCGTGACATTCCACCAACATACAAACACACATGGCAGGAGCCGGCCCCGCCGCCAGTGGCGGGGCCGGCGGTCCGGTCCCGTGGTCGCGCGCGGCGTCAGACGCCGCAGATCAGGACGCGCGGCGGCGGCAGCAGGACGCGGTGCTGGGGACTGGTGCTGGCGCTGGCGCGGGCCATCGTGCTCGGCGGGACGCGCGGCTGCTCGGACGACCGGTGGGCGCAGAGCGGCAGCTACTACTACCCCATCTCCAAGGAGCTCGTAACTGCAGGCTCGATTGCGGGCTCCGAGAGGCTGTGTAAAGTGCTTGCGACAGGCAACACGCCGGCTCGCCAGCTGGAACTTATTAGCTGATTGTGGCGTTCAATTCAGACATTGCCCTTTCGCTGTGTCCCATGCCGGAACCGTCAAAAGTTTCCCGGGAATGTTTCATCGGCATGGCACCATTAGGCGGTCGAAAGCTGGCAGAAACACGTCAAAGCTTCACCATGCACACTGCCATATATACCAGTGCCCAGGCGCCCAATGTCGACGGCCGGGCCATCAGGCCGACTCTTCCGCTCGCGCGCGGCCACCCTGCGCCGCTGGCTGCTCTACTGGTCACGGCTGATGGCGGCGCGGCGGCGCAGACTGCCGCGGCCCGGCACGGCCAGCGGGGCTGTCGTAACGACCCGGCGGGCCGAGCTTTCCGACAAGCGCGCGAGAACGGGGACCTGACCGCGGCCACCGCTGGCTCTGTCTGTCCCGCGCGCCGAGCATCCCGCTGAGTCGATGGCTCGTGTGTACCTTATGCATACCACGAAATCGGAAATAAACCGCGGAGAACAGCCGTGGAGCATCCTGCATTAATTAACAGCCCGTAGCTGCTCACAGACAACGCGGCTGGTTAACAGACTGTTGGCCCTGATGCGGCCGACCTCGCTTCCGGCCAGTCTCCTGTCGACCAACGGCATCCGAAACATGGCTGCTCTCACGACAGTTAACGCACGTTTTTGACACGTCCCAGGGTGATGAAATATCGTTCGATTTTGCACTAAGATACGCCTGATCCACTGATGACAATAGCCTTCCAACTCTAACAATGCCCTCCTCCAAACTGAATGGGCAGTCTCCCTGCTGGCCAGCGAAACTTCTCGAAAAAAACCCACCTGTTAACCTCGTACAGGTGCATGTTCTCTACGAAGTACTTGGTGAGGGCGGTCGTGTTGCTACAGCACTGGAGCGCGGTGTTCATGAAGCACGTATTGCCCACGTTGTTCAAACCCGTCACACCCTTTTCGATCGGCGCTGAAAAGGGAACGCTATCATGAAGCATGGCACAAAATGAGCAGCGGCCACGCGCGAAAAATGAACACAGGACCATCGCAAGGAAATCCTTAACGGGCTTAAAGAAAACTTAATTACGGGCTCGAAAGATGCATATTTACAAACTTGGCCACGATTCTTTCATAGGTCTAAAAATACTTACAGATCGACACGCAGTACGCACGAGAATCCACCAAAAATCGGGCTAATGCCATCCACTGGCTGCCGCGAGTGGAGGGAGGCACCAGACGCAAAAAGAGGTCAGCAGTGACATGAGCGACCCGCTACTCGTCCAGCCTCGTCCGTCGCCTGAGTCCTTCCCAGCCGGTGTCTGGCGACCTGGACTCGCGCCTAGCCAGTGTCCAGCAATACTTGACGCCCTAGACTCGTACCTGGGCGGTGTCTGGCGGTCACACTCACGCCCAGCCCGTGTCTGGAGGCCTGGACTCGTGCCTAGCCGGTGTCCAGTAATATTTGACGCCCTAGGCTCGTACCTGGGCGGTGTCTGGCGGTCCCACTCACGCCCAGCCCGTGCCTGAAGGCCTCGCCTCTCACCGGGCCTGTCGGCACGACTCCCACCTAGCCGGTGTCTGGCGGACACACTCACGCCCAGCCCGTGTCTGGAGGCGTGTCTGGAGGTCTCGCCTCTCACCGGACCTGTCGGCACGACTCTCACCTAGCCGGTGTCTGGCGGCCTGCGCCCGGCTGAGGTTGGCGATGGTCGACATCTCCTCGGGCCATGTCTGGTCCTTGTTGCGGACCTCAATCAGCACCTGGTCGTTGTCGGCTACCTTGAGCTGCTCCAGCGAAGGCGACTCGTCCTCCCAAAGCACCATGTTGTTCTGGCGGACCACACGCACGCGGGAGTAAGCACGGCGCTCCAGGCTTGCTGCACACGTAGGTCGCACAGCCCTACACCCCGTACCCACACCAGCCCCCACGCCGAGCGAGGGCCGCGATCACCCTTGGGGAAGTCCACCATCATAAATACATAAATACAGATCACGTTCCTTTCGTTCAACCACTGTAACGAACGACCGACCGCGCATCACCAGCACCAGGACGCAACATAAATCCTCGTAAGAAGAGTAGCACGTGAGCCAAGACCGCACACCGCACCCAGTCACCCGCCGGCGGAGGCGCGCGCAGCAGCCGGTCCGGCGCGGCGGCGCGGCCGCCTGCGCTGTGCGCACCTCGTCGCGGATGTGCCAGAGCCGCGTGTCCTCGGGCCGCAGCCGGAGCCGCGAGCTGAGGAACTCGTACAGCTGACGCACGCTCGCCTGCCGGCTAAACGCCGCCGTGTACGCCACGTAGCGCTTGGGCGCCGCGCTGTTGCCCAGCATCGTCGAGTACGAGGAGACGTCGACTGCCGGACGGCGGGGCGTCAGAGACGGGACGGCGGGGTGTCAGAGACGGGGCGTCAGATACGGCGCGCAGGGCGCCAGAGCCATAGCGGCGGGGCGTCAGAGACGGGGCGGCGGGGCATCAGAGACAGAGCGGCCGGGCGTCAGAGACGGGGCGGCCGGGAGTCAGAACCGGGGCGGCCGGGAGTTAGAGACGGCGCGCGGGGGCGGCGGGGGCGGCGGCATATGTCAGTCATATCACACACGGGCCGTACTGGGGACTGGGGACAGGTCGGACTGCCGGAACGCAACAGCTCAAAGCCACAAACAGGTGCGAAGCAGGACACGGGACCGAACCTGGTACGTCACATGACTTCGGGTATGGCCGCGTTGTCACACATATTCTGAGGCTTAGTGCCAGGTTCTGCGCCACAGATGGAGCTAAAGCACAGCTGACGTGGTCCCGGTAAACAGGCGTTGGTCATACAACAATGCGTGTTTTTTCCAGGATCGATAGGCCTTGATGATGGGAGGACTGATGATACAGGTCGAACCGAAAGAAGCCGCCGGACACATGTTCAGCAGGAGGGCGGTTCGCGGGGGATGGCTGGGGCAGGCAGGGCGTGACGCCGTTTACGGTCAGGTCTTTTGCTTCTCTAAGATAAATATAAAACATATCGTCAACATAAGTCTACGATAACGTTCATCCGAGCACACATGTTGAGGCACAGTTACATTGTCCAAACGTCTCCCCTACAGTCAAATGACTTCAAATCATTAAACAGCTATATGTGGATCGTTCACGCCAAAACAAAGCGATGACTTCAATGTGCAGCAGCAATTCATAGCACCAGCAGCACGACGTCATTTCAAAATGCCTCTTCTTTGCACAATATCATAACGTGACAGCAGGTCAACAGGTGATGCCTAATGCCAAATGCCTAATGTGTGGCAAATATAAGGATACCACACCACGGCCGTAAGTCATGATCCTCAACAAACAAGTCCATTACAAATCGGTGCGTCCACCTGGCGGGGACGGGACATGCACAACTACCACATTATGTTCGAAACATGGCTGACTACGAGCAAATCAAACTATGAATTAGAAATGCTTTGTGCTGGGGCTTGGCTTTGACACCGGGTCCCTCCAGGGCTATTTAACACACCAATGCTTTTAAAAACAACACCAACAGGCTTGCTCAGCTGGTTCAGATCTCACAGTGCATGCTCGCCAGAGCTTGATGCTGACCGTTCAAGTGGCGTGTCATGACCACTTCAGCGGTGCCAAAAACAGCAATGCAGGTGTACACCTACTCGACCCTTACACCGTAACATTACTACGCTGTGTAAGGTGAACAACCATAACACCTATAAGCATGCCTATTTACATACACAATGGTCCAGGCGTTTAAAACGGAGATGACATGCTTAACGTGTCCTTCAAATCATGTACCGACTATATATTTAAAAACAGGGACACGACAGGAGACGAAAACGGCTACCAAGCGCAGAGGAAGCGCCAAGAAGACACCAACAACGCCTGCAAACAATACTCCACGCGCAGTAACAGCTACGAGAACGAGCTCCAACCCTCCCAGAGACCAGCCGAACCAGTGCCGGACTTCCAACACACCGAGCGGCCGTTCGCACGTCCCCACACCACATGCCGCCCGCCCGCCGGCGCCACATGCGTGGCAGCCACCGGCACCGCGTGCGTGGCAGCCACCGGCGCGTGCTGGCCCTCCCCGCCGCATGCGTGGCCGCGGCGGCCGCCGGACGGCCGGTCCGCACACCGCACACACACACATCTCAGGGAGGAGGCGTGCTGAGACTGGGTCCACCTCACCTAGCGGCACGCCCGAGTACCCACCAACGGAGCCGGACCAGGCGGTCTGGCCGCTGCGCGTTGCCGCCGCCTGGTGGCGCAGCAGGCGCAGGTTGATAGGGTACAGCTCGAGCTCCACCGACACGCCGGCCGCCGGCTGGATCACCTGGCGGCGCGAGGGCGGCGGTCACGCGCGCCCCGCTGGGGACGCATGCGAGGCGACAGCGAGGACAGGCACTGGGTCACCATCAGCTCAGCACGCTGCTGAAGGGTCACACCCTCGACGCACGCACGCATCGAAGAGCCAGGCACCACTCAGGACCTCGAACGTGGCGGGAGGTAGTAAAACCAGGGTCTGATCGTAAAAATGAAGACGAAATGACACTTGCTGGTGCGGTAGTGGTAGCCACTCCGCAATCACACCCAAGCCGCCGTGCCACTGTACCACCGCCAGAGCCAGCCCGGCCTCTCACCTGACACGGCAGACTCGGCGAGCCGCCGTACTACTGCACAGCCGCCAGAGCCAGCCCGGCCTCTCACCTGACACGGCAGACCCGGCGAGCCACCGTACCACTGCACCAGCGCCAGAGCCAGCCCGGCCTCTCACCTGACGTGGCAGGCCCGGCGAGCCGCCGTACCACTGCACCAGCGCCTTCCACAGGCTCTCCGGCACCAGCTCGAAGTCGCGGCCGCGCACCAGCGTCACGTCCGTCCGCAGCCGACCGCCCTCGCCCGTCAGGTTCGTCACCTGTCCGACGCGACCGTCGAGTCAGGGTCACCGCTCGTCAGACATTCGTCCCTCACCACCGACGCGCCGGACGTGCGGTCCGCATGACCGAGGAGCGTCGGCTTCGCGACCCCACGGGTTCGTGGCCAGTGCAATGTGAAGGACTGAACAGAATCGCGAAAGTCAGCGACGACTCGTCAAACACCACGCCCAGGGCGTGCAGCGACCAATGTGTACCATAATCGCCCTAGCAGATAACGATTCAAAGGCCACACTCTAGGACCAGGCCCGAGCCCAGTCTTCACAGCTGCACGTGTCCTCTGACGACCCTCTTCCGCGCTCAGCACCCGACCAGCCGGCGGCGCGCGCAGTGACCTTGTTGAGCGGCGGCTGCGTCAGCGGCGCGTTGTCGACGGCGCCGGGCCGAGGTGGCGCGGCGGCGGCGGAGGAGGCGGCGGCGGCGGTGCGGCTGGCACCCGCCGCCAGCTTGCGGCTGGGGTTGGGCGACGGCGACGGCGACGGCGAGGGCGTGGCGGCGCGCTCGAGCGTTGCTAGCGAGGCGGCCGAGCCGGCCGGCCGCGGGCCGCCGGAGCGCGGCCGCAGGCAGTCGGCGTTCGGGTTCTCCGAGAGCGTCTTCACGCTGGTCACCACCACGGGACTGTCGAGATGCGGGGAAGGCCGCCCGGTCAGCCGGGCGCGGCGGGCGGGCGGGAGCACGCCGCGGCAGGCGCAAGCTCAGGCACACTCGCTAGTCACAGGGAAAAACACTCCAACCGGGGACGCCAGCAAACCGGGGGCCAACGTGTCGTGCCAGCTTTAGGCCGGGTGCCTGGTGTAATCTAGAGGGTTGGATGACCGGGAGCGACGGTTCGCCGGGCCTCGAGCGGCGGCTCACCTGACGTCGTTGGCCACCACGGCGTCGGCCTTGCACTTCTTATCGCGGCTGGTGGAGCGGCTGAGCGTGGCGTGGCCCGAAGCGGTGGAGGCGGCGCTCGAAGCCGTCGCCCCGCCGCTCGACGTCTCGGCCTGGAACGGCGCCGCCATCAGCACCGGCGGACACACACACGTGCCGCGGCCCCGAGGAGTCGGCAGCGGCAGCCCCGTACCGGGCCGGCGCCGGTAACAACCACCGCAGGACTGAACATCGGTGGTACAAAACCGCACACACTGTGTCAGAGAGACATCTATTCCTGCCCAGCTTACAAGGTTTAATGTCCAACTCGCACGGCCGTCATGCCGGTACGAGGGCACTCACTGACCGGCGGGCGTCCCCCTCACCTGGTAGTTGACGTAGTCGGTCCATGCGTTCCACCAGGCCATGTTGACCAGGTACCAGAGCGCGCCGACCCGGTAGCCGAGCGCCTCCTGGCGGCAAAGCCAGCCCAGCACGATGTCCGCCTCCTCCTGTCGACTGCGCGGCCGCAGGCCCAGCACCACGTGACACATCTGCAACACGCGCGCAGGGTCACGTGCCACTCCCTGTTGTGTCCAGGGTGTCACCGTGTGACCTGTCTGCACACTACGGACCGGCACGGCGAAACACGCACGCAAAATCACGTGCCACTCCTGTTGTGCCCAGAGTGTCACCGTGTGACCCGTCTGCACACTACGGACCGGCATGGCGAAACGTGCACGTAAAGCGCGGACCAATATTATGAGGCACATCTACAACGTAAAGATAGGTACCACGTGACAAATTTGGTATCAGGTCATCATCTCATGAGAAGCCAACGATTTAGGTACACACGCCACGTAGCGCAGACGTAGTTTGAAAAGGGAAATCTCGTGTGGCATGGGCAAGACCAACATTGCCGTCAAGTGTCACATCTAAGAACGCAAACCGGAGCTGCGCGTCACTGCAAGAACTACTTCGCTTTGACACACTCAAGATCGTCTGCACATCAAATAAGATGTAAACGACTGGTGATAACGCAATCGACAACCCACATTCCCGTTCGTCAAATCCTTATCCTGCAAACATAATAAGCCACGACATGAACCAACATATAGCTTTTCTCAGCAGCTGTGGCAGATACAACAAACCGTAGGCCGTCTCCTCTTTAAATGCCACTTCTCCTGTTCTCGGCTGGAACATCGGTCGCACCTTATCTGGCGCTGCTCGAACCCCGCTCAACTCCGGTCCTTTCACTGCTCCGTCACCCCGGAGGCAACATCAGCCAGCCCCCTCCCCCTAATGCACGGCACTGGGGGCTGCAGGAGCGTGCCAAGCCGTCCAGCGCCGCAACGGCTGACCTAACGGTGCCACCACCGAAGAATGCTATTATGCCGCTACACAAAGTCAGCCACTCTTGCAAGGCTGAAGGCGACCGGAACGAAGCATACCAAAACGAAAGGATGAATCGCATCGATATCGCGTACTATCAACAGTGCATTTGCTAACGGAAAACTCTCTCTAGATGCCATCAAATCCGAAAGAAATGTGATGGCAGCAGCATGATAGTGATGCAAGCAACAAGCTTCAAATCCTAAAGGGAAAACTAACAAAAAATATGTTTAACGGTACTGGGTAATGTCGCACAAGACTATCATGAGCGATCGTTGTTCGAGCGATCAAGGGTAGGAGCGCAGCCAGTATTTGCGACGGGAGACTAGGATTTTGTTAGGATCTAGATCCAGCGCCACTCACAGTACCTGCACTGTGCCAACAGATTACAGACGTAACAGATACCGGCAGGTGCAGTGGATGCACCTAACGTGTCAATGGGCCATCAGTTGTTTTGCCGGGCGCTGGAACAATGTCTCTGCCGCGTACATCTCCACTCGGCTGTCCTCTAGCCTTGACATTAACTTGTCGCTGCTGGGTGCATGCCATTGCCTTGGTAGTCATGAGATACAAAGCCATAAAAATTGTCTTGATCTCCAGACAATGCAAGTATATCCAAAAGCGTCGCGCTGAAAAGCTGCGCTCGACGCTGCAAGAGTGAGGGGCTAAGCCCCCACTGCTGACTGCGCATGCGATCAGGGGTCACCTCAACACGGCAGGCCGATATCGCGGAATACCTCGCACGGCAACTAACGACGCAGTGCCCAGCCCGGCCGACAGCTGACTATTTCCTAGAAGATCTGCAAAGAACGAGGACGACAGCAAGCACTTCATTATACGTGCCAGGGCCCACTCCAACGAAGTGTAGCAAACGGCAGCTGACATGATATCGCGCACGTGCAAGGCGTTGCACATTGTGCGAGGCAGGCTTAAAAATACAGCATCAATGCCGCAACGAGCCCGAGGCTTCAACAAACTGAAATATCTGAACAGCATCACCGTCACCGTCAAAGACCAAACGGTGCATACCAAAAGACACCTAGCACTCGACGTAAAACGTTCACGATTACATTACCATGCTTTTAGAGGACGAGACGTCGTAAATCGCCGACATCGATCGGCATACATTATTTGCCAGCCGGCCTAGCAACCGTCGGTAAAAACCGCCGGCCACACCCTCAGGGCGCCGGGAGCGGCTATCTTATCACGAGAGCGCCGCACAGCAGGCGCCCTGGGCCGGCCCGTGAACAGCGCGGCGCGCGCGTCCTCCGCGGCGGCCCACAGTATTCGGGGTCATGCCCGGCGGCCGGTCAATATGGATCAGCGCGCCCGGCCGGCCGCCGCGGGACAAACAGCGGCGGCCCGGGGGCGCGCCCGCTCCCGGGCGCGCGGCACGCGGCGACTTATCAATAGCCGGGCGGCTGGCCGCGGCGAGCAGCCGATTATTCGCCGGCCGCGGCGGCGAACGTGACGCTGTTTACGGCGGGGCAGCGCGGCCGGCGCCGGCGGCCGGCCCGGAGGGTGGATAGCACGGCTCGGCTGGGACGGGAGCGGCCAGGCAGAGTCGCCGGGCGCCCGGGCAGGAGGGCGCTACGTGACGGCTCACCCGACGCCCAAGTCATCACCGCACCCCCCACAACACCTACCGGCGGGGATGCCACTGATAGGTCCCACCGGAGGGGGATGGATGGAAACCAAGTCAAACCAGACGCGCTGAGAACCCTTAGTTACAATAAAATAAGGAAAAAAACTCTACCGCTCCTCAACAACATCGCAAATTCTGATCCAGCGGTCTGTTGCAATTTTGGACATCGGCACGATGGCTCATAATCGACTATAATAATAGATAAATAATCGACCGTGCGGCTTTGGCGGCTTATCTCGTGTTGTGACGAGGGCCAGAACTGGTGGGTTCAAGATACGCCCGCTGATGCGTCCAGTTAATCACCAAAACACCCGTATTCGCCGATACAACGGGGTGAAGTTTAGCACGGCTGGCCATGTGTTGAGCAAACTACTAGGCGCAAGTAACTACCAACTTAGTGAATACTCTACCACAGCCCTGTGAAGCAGTGGCCTCAAAAATGTAAATGAGTGCGCGAGATCCCCGGAATCTTCCAGATCCCCTCCCCTAGCGGTACCTTCCGCCAATATTCAACGGAGCACAACTGATCCGCCGTGCCTGGTTCGCGACCCCGATTCAAGGTCGCTCGTCCGAGGCGCAGTCGGCGTGGCTGCCTCGTCCCACCCTACACAGCAGCCGCTGTCGGGTCCGCTGACGCCTCGCCCGCCGCCGCCGGCCCCACCTGGAACAGGAGGCTGGGGCAGTAGTCGGAGAGCGGGTTGTCCAGCGTCCAGATCAGGTACTCCTCCTGCGTGATGAAGGCGCCGCTGTCCGAGCCGGCCAGGATGCTAGCCACCATGCCGTCCCGCTCTGCCGAAGAGGCCGGAACCAGCTGTCAGTGGCGCGCCGCCGCCCCAGGCCGTTCGGCGCCGGCAGCTCCAGCTACCCAAACACTGCCGCCGGCGGCAGCGCAAGTAGCTGCGCGGCGCTGCGCAGCCGCGAGCTCGGTCCCGCAGCGCGGCAGCCGACGAGGCGGCGGCGCCGGCGGCTCCGGCTACCCAAACACCGCCGCCGGTGGCGGCGCAAGTGGCCGCGCGGCGCTGCGCCGCCGCGAGCTCGGTCCCGCAGCGCGGCAGCCGACGGGACGACGTGACAGGGCAAACCAGACGACATCGAGACACACTTGGAACAACTCAAACCCGTGGCCGTGACGCGGTGGGGGAGCTCGAGCGCAGGGAGAGAACGTCAGCCGCCGCAAAACCGGCCGCACTAAGTCTGCACGCTGTCCTGCCGCCTCCGGAGTGGGCATCTCCCACTGACGCCACGCGCGTACGACACGGACTCGGCGACGGCGCCCTCGTCACTGACCTGCGGCCGAGACCTCGGTCGACATGCAGTGCAGCACGTCCACCATCAGGCGCACCTCGGCCTCGTTCAGCCGGCCGTCGCGGTCGCTGTCGAACACCTTGAAGCAGACTGGGCCGGCACGGGTCGGGCGTCAGCGGCCGGCCGGCGGTGGCAGCCGAGTGGTCATGGCCGCGTCAAGTACAGAAAGGCAGCGGCGCGTCCCACATGACCGGGAAAGCGCTCCGTACCAGCAGCAGGTCACACATGAACTTCCAATGTAAAAGGTTATTTAGCATTATGTTTAATTCACATAATACGTGGCAGAGAATGCACACATTCGGTATATCAGATGTGTTCCACATTGCCATCGGAATCAATGCCCGAAGACCCCAGAGACCGAAGGCATTTGTGTGTACGCCCGGTTGCCGGCTGTACGCACATTTGTGTCGCTCCAGGTGCGGGCCGCGACAGGCGGCCGAGATGCCGCAGGCCATCTCCTTGAAGTCGATGTGGCCGTCGCGGTTCTCGTCGAAGGCGTTGAAGAAGCCGTCCAGCAGCGGCTCGGGCAGCGGCGGCGTCACCAGCGGGCCGAGCAGGTCGCGGTCGAAGCGGCCCGAACGAGACTGACCTTTCAGACTCCAGTACTTCTGCTCCAGCTCCAGAATCTCGCGCTCCTCCACTGTCACGCACGGACGGCGCCACGCCAACAGTTAAACACAATCCAATATAACAATCAAAACTCCTACGGACCCAGACATCACTACCTGACTTACATTAGAAATGACTGACTTAAATCAGCAACTGTTTTAAACAAATTATTACGTCATGGCTGTTCAACTAAATCCTTACAACGAAGCAACACAGCAAAACAACACAGCAGAGAACAATACCTGACTTACATTAGAAAAACGTTTGACTTCCATCAAAACTCATTCTATTAAAAACACAACTACTTCGTGCCTTTGCAAAAATCCTTACCACGAGTCGACAAATCAAAATAAAATGAAGCCGGTTTTACCGAAGCACCCACGTAACTATGCACTACACAATATTCAGTCGTCCACATGGCCTATGTAAAGAACAGTTCAGAGCGTTCAGACACATATTGTGATACAGGACATTCTATAAAGCACTTGTCGGTCCGCCTCCTTCGAGCGGCCTGCCTCCACTGATGCTCCAGCGGGAGCCGGCCGCAAAGGCGAGGAAGCGCGCGACCGGCAGCGGACGGTGGCGGCCACACTTACGGTGCGTGACGCCGGCCAGCGACTGATAGAATGTGGGCGTCTCCAGGTCGTCGGAGAGCTTGAGGCCCGGGTCGCGGGAGAGCAGCCACGTGCTGAGCTCGGTGGAGGCGGCGTACAGCTGCACCCAGTCGCGGTACTCGGGGTACCCCACCCGCTCCTCCTGCCGAGCGTGGGCGCGCGGCCGGCGGCGTCACCACACAGCGCACAACAACTCGCTGGGCTCCAGCGGCGGCAGCGCACGTGCGCCGCAGACAGCTGACACAGTCGCCGTGTACACAACACGCGGCTGGAGCAGCGACGGCCACGGTCGCAACCAAAACACGGCCACACAGGTCCAATCCACGGCCTTGGGAGATATGCGGCTACGCAGCCACAATACGAGATCACGGGGGTTGGCTAGCACGGCCACATAATCCACATACTTGATAATGTGAGCTAGCAGTACCACGGCCACACAGCCGCAACACGAGATCATGGGAGTTGGCCAACACGGCCTCACAGCCGTAACACGAGATCATGGGAGTTGGCTAACACTGTCACATAGCCCAACACCAGATCACGGGAGCTGGCTAGCACGGTCGCACAGCCCCAACATGAGATCACGGGAGCTGGCTAACACGGTCAAACAGCTTAAGACGTGATTATGTGAGCTAGCAGTAACACAAACGCACAGCCCCAATGCACGATAACTGCAGCTGGGCTCTAGCGTCATCAGTAGCCAAAACAGACGGCCGCGAAGAAATCCAAGCATGCAGTCCTGGCGCTGCTGGGCAGGTAGCGTGGCAACCGCAGCCGATCCTAAAGGTCATGGTGGGCACCACAAAAGTCACACCTGTCATAACACACTCGTCAGCCGGGTGAGCCCTCGGACGACAGCTGACGCGACAGTGACAGTGTCAGCACACACTGACAGGGGCAGCCGTGCCATAGGACCGGGCGGGCCGGCGTGTCTCATGGCTTTGTCCAGGCTGTGAAACCGCAACCCATTCAATCTGCCGTCTGACGCCTACGTTCAAATGCATCGGTCATCGCATATCATCTCCGTATAAATTTGTCACTCGCGAGTTTCATCATCACAAACGTTTTGCATAATGCACCGAGTGACTTGGTTTCGATATACATATGGTGACAGAGGTAAGCATATATTTACCTTCCCTCGCACTTCCATCCACGACAAATGCCTCAATGAATTCACCAGAAACTATGATGCACATCTAGATATGCATCCATACCATCACCTCTAGATATGTGATCCCTCGCTAATTAAGACAGCAAGTGCAACTGCACGGTAACAAGGGCGGCATTTAGTTCAACACCCCGAACGTTTGGCATGATTAAAATTTCATAGCGAATCAGACAAAAAGGCAGTGGTGTCAAGAAAGGAGACACAGCATTGAGTCCCCTGGGTTTCATTCATACGTTCATGTTTTTCAGGTATGTTCTACAGTAGCATCAACTGGCACAAGACCTTACTGACCATAGCCAAGTAGCCTGGCCTTCTATATACTATGCAGTATGCCAAAGCATAATCAGAAACCGGGTCATCATACTAGTACGTCTTCCAGTCTTGTCTCTTCACGGAAACACTGCAGTGCCTGTGCCCCGCATGCTACAGCATGCTGAAGCATCGCCCCAAAGTACCTAGCTTATCAGTCAGTGAACCTCAAACTATTACATCAGCAGAATACGACCGAGCTGCCTCACAGGTACAGTCAAGATAACGACCCGTTGTTGTGGCGCTGCTGACAACGCAAGGGATGTCGCACAGGTACCCGGCACTTATCTTCTGAACCCACAATGGGCAGACAATGGGCCTTTTCAAGAACTGCACGGCGCACAGGCCGTCTGGACCTCCGGCAAGGCGGGAGCGAGAGCCGCCTGCAACGACGTAGCTCGGAACTCGCGCGATATCCCACGACTAGCCCCATCAACGATGACCTCAAATGGCACTGACAACGCACTGTTGTTCACAAATTAAGTCCAACACAACACTCACCTCCCACATTATCCTCAACGTCCATCAGAGAGGAGAGATACCATCTGCCACAGCCCTTGTAACTCCAGGCACATTTCGCAGGCACAGACCCGCGACATGCTCGCCGCGGCACGCTACCGCGGTCGCTCACCGTTTTGAAGAGTGCCCTGAAGCCGTCCACGTTGGTCTTGCCCTCGCACTGCTGCACCACCTTCAGCATGGACGTGCGGGTGATGTACTGGCCGCTGTCGCCGGCGTACACGTTGAACAGCACTGCAACGCAGGCCATCCGCCAGTCAGGCGCGCCGAGGGCGGGCCAGGCGACTCCACCACCGGCACGATACCGACTCAAGCTCAGACGCGACAAACCGACACAGGGATCGAACACTTGAGACCGGTGTTCGCCTGTTGTGACGGGCGACAGCACAAGCATCGAATATCGCGTGTTCACCCTCGCCAACTTCAACGTCTCGCCGCCTTCCACAGCGTAGGGTGCTAGTGCCACCCTCCTGCTGATCACAATGATCGCACTTTTGTCGTGTCACAACAAAGGTTCCAAAAAGTGCGGCAGCTCCGTAAGTGATCTGAAGCTTTCACTCAGGCCAGTTTGCAGTATCCCTTACATCTGACCAGCCAGGTTGTGTTAAACAATATCCTACTGCACCCTTGCTCTCTCTACATAGCCCTGCACAGTGACCTCTTGGCTCTACATAGCCTCGCGCGCAATAAAACTGACCAAACGCGAACACCAGCCGTCCATCCGTTCTAAAAATACAACGAGGTCATCCGAAGTCACTGCATGACCCACGTGACCTTGACCATAGACGGGCTTCCACGCATGATGTTCATATATGGGACCACTGGTACAATGTGAAAGGTCTACCAACACCTATTTTCGAGGCTTCGGTTAACTCGTCCTGACACCATCGTGGTCTCAAATGACCAGCTCTTCAATACCCTCGCTATACGCCAGTGATTTTGACTTGAGATACACCTACCGTGTTTGAGCGAGAATTTCAAGCAACATCTTGGATTTGATATGTAGTGGCCTCGACCTCAAATAAGCTAAAGAAATGCCAAGAACAATGACATCATCTATGATCCCCCACATTCCGCACCACGTGAGCAGATCTGGTGCACAGGGGACACAGGACGCGTCCCGCTGAGCGGATCGCCCTCTATTTACGTCTGGTCTTCTCTTCGACGGTGCCCTTGGTGATGACCACCAGACCGCAGAGCAGGTCCTTGAAGCTGATACCCTTCTGAGCGCCGCTGCAGGCCGTGTAGATGATCTGCGGCAGAAGAGGCGCCGCCTCAGTGGCAGCCGCAGCACGCCCGAATAGGCTGGTGACGTGGCTGCCCGAGGCCATGGACGGTCACGCGCCGCGCCGCTCGAGCGACCGACAGCCGGGTCGGCACGCGCCCGTGCCGACAACCGTCACACTCACGCACAGAGACTGGCGGACAGCCGCCACAAGTACACAGCGGCGATCGGACGGGCGTCACACGTACACAGTGACTGGCGGACAGCCGCCACAAGTACACAGTGGCGATCGGACGGGCGTCATACGTACACAGTGACGGGCGGACAGCCGTCTCAAGTGTACAGTGACGGGCGGACAGCCGTCACGCGTACACAGTGACGGGCGGACAGCCGTCACGCGCACACAGTGACGGGCGGACAGCCGTCGGGCGTCCGCAGGCAGACACGCAGCTATCACGTGTTTCCGGATTGGTCACAGCTGTTGCACAGCCCCAGACAGCCACGCAACTATCACATGCCAGCCGGACACGCAGTCACCACGTGCTCGCGGACTGGCACATGGCCCTCGCACGTGTGCTGGTACGCAGCAGCCAAATGCCCAAGCCCAGGGAATGGCACAGCAGGTTGGCCAGTTGCACCGCCACGTCCGTGGGGCGTCTATGGCCACCCATCAAACCTGACATATGAGAGACCACAACAAATAAGTAGGGGCACATGGTTGTGAATGAGGAGGTCACACAAAGCCGACTCTGTGGCATATGAGCATGGGGATAGCACTTTATGACTGCAGGCGTCTTGTCTGACCCTGAGGGAAGCCTTGAGAACAAATTGAAGTGGTAACATTGGCAATTTAATCACAGTGAACCACAAAATGAAAAAAACATCATTGCTAGATGGTACCATGCTTGTGCAGCATAAGGCATAGCATGTAAGTATGAAAGTATGAAAATAAGTAAGGCATGTAAGGCATGTAAGTATGAAAAGGGAATCAAGATGGCCTCCTTACAATAATTATATACATGATATTCATTCAGCAAGCTTGATTTTTACTATTAAAAATGCAACTTACTAAACAAAAAATCTTAATTCCCTTTAACACACCATTATATAATGTAATGTTTCAATGGTTTCAAAACTACATGTCAATAGTTATGCAATACACAAAGGATTACAGTGAGGTAAATGTGTCATATGCCCACTGCAATTTACAAAAGCCATTACAAGAAGCATGGTCAGTCAGCCTGCCACACAATACACTGGTGGTGATGTACCTCAGCTTGGGCAGCAGGAACATTGTCGCCCAGCACATCGTGGAAGAATGTCTGGCGGCTGATGGCCCCGCTGCTGTTGCCCAGACGCTTGGCCGCCTCCCTCAGTCGTTTCAGGTCAGCCTCACTCACTGAAGCAAGCAAAAGGTAGTGAGTCCCATCACAAACATTTACTGTGTAATATATAAAGTTTGTGATCAATGGACAGCCTTCAAAACCATAATGCCAATGAAAGAATGAGACACACATAAACACAAAACCATGATCAGAGCAGTCGTACACAGTCATCATTATCAAGTACAACTCACTTTACATTATGAGTTCGCTACCCCACACACTGGTGAGGGAAGATGGCTAATTTTGTTCCTGTGAAGCATTACTTCATCACTTCTTCATTACATCTTCAAAACCCTGATTTCATAAAGTAAGCATGTGCACAAATTTTCCATATAAGTATGCAAAACAGAGAGTAAATGCAAAATCAGACTGCATGCATTGGCATACAAAGAGGGTTAAATCAAACAATAAATGGCCATGCAAATCTTGAAGCCAAAATATCATATCTCATCCAGATATCTGGTTGCATCTGGTATAATGTTGCATTCAGTTGTATGCCATGCTGCTGTCATATGGCGTATCCATGTACAACTCCCAAAAAGAAAATGTACAGGTTGGACAGGACACAGTGGCAAAAAAATCAGCAAAGTAGTTGGTCAGCCAAAAACCTAATATATAACATAGATGTCATCATGTATTCATGTTGAGGGTCCTGACATGTCATCACCATCAATTACATGTTAACATATCAACTTCATTATCATTTCAATAATTGCTATCCCAGAAAAAAAATAGCAGAGTTTGTAATGGGCTTACAACACAAGATTTATGTGATATTTCTTTTTCTTCTGAAGCAAAATGCAGTTTCTCAGGCAGTTATTTGGGAGCTGTCATTGATCAAACAATGCTCAACATGCAGCAATGCTACACATCTATATGCAGCCAAAAATGCTCCAAAAATAATATATGTAACCAGAAAATAATAATATACACAGGTCATTACACAGACATTCTAAAACAAGACTAAAACTATACTATACTCAAGTATATTTTTGCCTCAGGGTTATGGTTGATGCACAGGTAGTTGATGACAATGTATGCTGGTAGCATGCCATGGAATCCATCCATTATTGAGGATTAAAATGCAACATCTTTAGAAAAATATTGTTGATTAATGAGCATCATAATGTGAGTATTGCAATTAAAACCAGAATTTTCCATGCCAATGTTAAATCATAGGTATAAAATTACATAAGAATGTTCAAGACACAAAATAAAACAACATGAACAATCCACAATATACAACTGTCTCCCATTCTGGTGGCCACCATCAAGATATGTGCTTGACACAGGTTATTTCATGACAGCTAGTCTTGTGGCTTTTTTACAACAAGGGAAATGCTTTAATCAGGGCAGCTTGATACAAATCAGTCTATTTCATCAGATTTAGCCATATTCCTAAAACCCTTTTTAACACCCGTAGATGTCCATATTCAATGTTTATAACTGGTCATTCGCACATCCTAACTCTCAGCTTAATAATACCATTATAGCACATGGGGGTAAGCAAGTTATCTACCACAAACTCAGACAAATGAAGATAATCAAATGTGAGTCTGCTAGTATATGACAGCATCCACTTGGCGGAAAGTCCGCAAAAAATACATCCAATGCACTGGAAACCCACATGACACAGTACACTGAACCTGGACCTGACACTTGCCTGTGCCAAACCCATGCCAAGCAAAATTGTGCCACAAAGTAATGGTTGACTGAGGACCAAACTCTGATTGCTCATATTTGCTGTGCACATGCACTGACATTTTGCTGCGATGTTACTGCTGTACAGACTTGATCAACATAATATTTTTTGCAGTCAGACTTACAGGCTGCAACAAGATATGACCAACACTTTGCCCGATGTGCCTACATAAATGAATTACACACATAAAAATGAATTTTTTCACGCAAAGTTTGACATAGAATTCACCAACCTCTTTTCACGGCGTCTTCGTAGGAGATGCACGTCAGTTTTGATTCTCTGCCCCCCATGGCAGATAAGTGATGTCGTTCTAGCTTCACAATCCGTATCTTCAACAAACCGACTGCATCGCCATCCCGAAAGCATACAAGGTCACATATAAAACAGCCCGAAAACCTTCCACGTGAACATATCAGGCCCTCACACAACCAACCCACACCCCCTTCACCACCACTCAGCTCCCGACTCTCAATTTGCGCCGATGTTGGTGTGGTCGCTCGTCGAGCATTGGCCTACAATTATTTGTTTTGATAAAAGAGAAGAGGGATCAACGCAGCCGAAATCTCCAAGTCTCTTGTTTTCTATACTTGGAAACAAATACAGTGATGAAATCAAAGTATTACGTTCATAATTCTCCAGCATGTTCCTTTAGATCTATTATATTTTCTCGGTTCATATCCAAAAGCTATAACAACTATTTTGCACGGAAGAATTTGATAAACTACTAAACAAGTACCGACTTATACGGATAAAGCTGGAAAGCTGCCTTCATCACTATTTACTACGCTCTCGTGATTGTAAAATTGGTCAAGGTTGCAGTTGCAGACACCACTTTGGGATATGGACATATATATGACGTCATCCTTCTTTTTCTAAGTTTTGTGGTTATGACATAAAATAAAAAGATAAAAAACTATGTAATTTTTTTTTAAAGAGTAGCGTTTATTTTTACATGCCTTTCTGTGCCTTTAAATGAGCAAAAAATGATCCTATTCAATTCTTACATCAGCTGGATATGCTTGACGCTCAGATAAGTTGTAAGGCGAAACATTTGCAACATGTGCGTCAATAGCTGTATGCGGAGCTTTGGGCGTACGCAAATGCAAGGATATGCTCGATGCGTGGTCGTTCGCGACTCACCAGGCTTACCAGATTGGATGAGGCTGACGTGAAGAAGATAACAGTGTGTTTTGCCGTTGATTCGTGCGTGATCCGTCGTATTGAAGTTCGTCAGTTTGTGCTGCATGCAGACCACGGGGAGTAGTTAGCTTGTACGAAAGTTAATTTCGGGATGAACAAGGGTATTGCTCTCTATGCAGCAGACGATGCGTCTGCATTCTTGGTGCGCCTGTGCGCATCTATTTGTAGGTATTCTGTCGTGCATGGTAAAATATGCCACTTTGGTTGTGCATTATTTGTGTTCATGATGTGCTTGTGACATACCGCCAACTATTTTAGTCATGTAGTCTGGATTCACTGGACATGTGGTAGGATGGTTTTCCAAATGGAGTTCTATCACATGAATTGAAAAAGAGTAAAACAGATCAGTGAGTATCAGCTTTATTGAGTCCTATGTGACTTGTTTTATCTCAGTGTAACACCACTTGTATGAGACTGTGGTGATGCATGCAATATCATAATCCTCATGCTTGCCATATGCCCATAGACATTGGAGATAACATGCCCTGGAAGACTGCTTAAACAGTGGACAGCATAGCCAAAGAAACCTACTAAATCACCCACTGGAATGCTCAGTGTTTGCTACTGTTTGGAAACCTTGGCTAGCTGCTCATCTGAAAAGCCACCTGCTCCATGGTGCTGTTAATCTACTGGCTGATATCTGGGTCCTTTGACCCATTCTCAGCTGCATTTGTGTCAGACAAGATATGCTCAAACTGAAAGGGGCATCAGCTATACCATACAAGGCATGTGGTTGGAAGACTGCAAAAAGTACTTGCTATTGTGAACATGTCTGATGCAGGAGCACTATTCCTGCAACAGTTTTAGCACTTGCATGCTTTAAATCTGACTTCTTAGAGCCTGGGCCATAGCCTTCACTAATTTGAGCATGCATAAACCTGTAGTGAGAGGAATCCTATGGTTTCAAAGGAAATGTCTGAAAAAATGCCTCTTAAAGTATTATGCATCCATAGTCTAGCATGAGGTTCAGTGAATAGATACTATTTTTCCATCAGTTTCAGCGCACAGGTTCGCTAGGGACCACACCATACCACATCACTAACTTACCTTACCAAGGCCATGCCAAGTCTGAGTGTCACACATCAAACAAAATGGGGCCCTGTATTTCCATAGGTCATCCTCTAAGATGAGGAAGAGGCAGTTGTGTTGCTTATTGCGGTATAACACACATCCCATTCCAAGCATAGTCCCCTGTGATGAGTTCCTTGTCACAAGGAGCTCCCTGTCACAAGGGTCCCTATATGACAAGGAGCCCTATGTCACAAGGAGTCCTCTGTCATGAGGGGCCTCTTGTCATAAGGAGCCTCTTGTCACAAGGAGCCTCCTGTCACAAGGAGCCTCCTGTCACAAGGAGCCTCCTGTCACAAGGGGTCCCTGTTACAAAGAGCCCCTATCACAAGGAGCCTGCTGGCACAACAAGCTCGCTCACACAAACAGCTGTCTGTCACAAAGATTATCACCAGCCCCCACCTGTTCAGAAACCAGTGTACGGTGCTCTTATTTCTTGGATTCGTGCCTGAATATGTTTTCTGGTGTTTGTGTTTTTTGGGTCAGTGCCAAGTGGGGTGAAGTTTGGGTGTCATGGCCATAGGGTTATTGTAGAGTGTTTAGAGGTATATCTTCTGTTTCAAATTCTAACTGCACTTTTTTATTGACAGATGGTGCTACATGGGTAGGCACAGCTCAGTGTGCAGTATTGAAGCCAAATATTGAGCATCATGCCTTTTGAAATGGCAATAGCAGGCAATGTCACATCTCACTGTGCTCAAAATGCACTAACAGATGGATTTGGGTGGTTTATTCAATTCTTGCTTGCTGGGCTGGCATTTGCTTCTCTCATAAGTAAGTATGTGTCATTGTATGTTCATGGGTTATAATCATTGCATTGATTATGATCCAACATGTCTTGTTCATGTATTCACCCTTACCACATTTTGCATCCATCTTTGAACACTTACTGTGATACTTTGAACATGTGCAAGTTGTGTGTATCCCCATTTGTTTAATATAGATCAAACTAAAATGATAAAATGTGGATGACCAGATAATGGTGACAGCATGACATTCAAGGGGCTAGACACTTATAACTTTCCACTATCAAAGAATATAATATGGTAGATTGCAATCACATATGTATTGTCAGTATCATTCTCAAATGTTTGAACAATGCTCATTCAAGCAGTGATATCAGCCAAGCACTGGAATGGAAGCCTCACTATAAGATAGTGCTGCTTTGGTAAAACAGTGCAGCTGACTGTGAGTGTCTGGACTATGATGTGTCCGGACGATGGTGTGTCCGGACGATGATGTGTCCGGACGATGGTGTGTCCACACGATCGTGTGTCCAGACGATCTTGTGTCCAGATGATGGTGTGACCGGGCGATGGTGTGTCTGGATGATGGTGTGTCAGGACGATGTTTTGTCCGGATGATGGTGTGTCCGGGTGACAATGTGTCCGGACGATCGTGTGTCCAGACGATGGTGTGTTCGGGCGATGGTGTGTCCGGACGATAGTGTGTCTGGACGATGGTGCGTCCGGATGGTGGTGTGTCCGGATGGCGTCGCCCGATACTTCAGTTGTTTTGGTGCATGGAGGCGTGATCTGCCACTCTTCAGGGTAGTCACCCGGCACGTGGCACGCGTTTCAGTCAAGCGGTTCTGCGAGCCGGAACACGAGCGGCGCTCATGGCTCATCTGGTTCTACGACACATCCAAGCAGGGTGTCGGCGCCATGGTCGTCCACTTTGCCAACGTCTACTTGGCCACCACATACACGGGGGACCCGTGCACATGGTAACGCCCTGGCTAAGACGTTATTTATTTTTTATTCTTCCTAAGATATATTAGCTAAGAATTATTTATTCTTCCATCACATATTATTTATTACAAATCAGCTTCCCTCATTGCAGTGCACTGCAGAAACAGGGAGACCTGTTTGGTCTGAGGAGTATGACATGATGAATCTCTATGTGCACACAAATTGGGCTCCCTTAAAGCCTTCAAGTGGCTAATGCGACCCAAATGGATGTGGGCTCGGTAGATCTGATGTACACAGCCGTGGAGGGGGGTCTGGATTGTCATTTTTATATTGTGACGTTGTTTTAGGTACATCATTAACTTCCTGCTGGACTCCACGGTCGGCTTAGTCATAATTTTCATATGCGTGAGAATATGCCAGCATTTAGCTGTTCAGAAGGATTGGCCCAGCATCAACTTCGGCGAATACGGTGAGTGTCTATGTAAGAAAGAATGGCGATGCCACTTAGGGATTTATTTTATTTCGATAGCACGTCGTGGATGGCTGGTCGAAATCTGCCGGACAGGATTTTCAGAGGTCCTTGAGTCAGCAAGTTTCCAAGATCACTTAAGAAGATTGTACAAGCTTCTCTATTCTAGTGATTATTAGTCGTCATTGTTACGTCGGCGGATTTGTGAGTGGACCTAAAAAGACGGATCCTAGTTTTCACCGGACATTTTGGCGAAGTTGAAAAATGCATGATGGATCCCACAAAATTAGTTCCAAGGTTAAGGACGTCTTAGATTTTGGAAGCACACCTCGCAAAATCGGATGGGTTCTCTTTAAGCTACTAGTCAAAGTATGTTCTAGCCCGCTAGTTGCTTTGGCAAAAGTTTCACTCATCTCCGATCCCAGTTGATTTGCTAACGTGTTCAACACGAGTCCGGGGATATTTTGACTTTGGAGGATTCCAAAAGCTCCTTTAAACCTTTGAATGTGACGCCTTGCCCCTGTTTGGACCTTTGCAGGGGTGCCACAAATCGATAAGTGATCGTGCTATCTGCTACAGCCCTCGAAACCTAGCATTGCGAAGTTCGCTTTAAAAAATCAACCGCGTGTTCAGGTGGCTGCTGTAAAAGGGTTTTGAGAGCTTGATGTGGCAGAAATATGACTTAGTCTTCTAGATTTAGACAGCCTGATTAGCCATTTAGATTTGGACAACCAGTTGGATACTTATTGATATATATATATATATATATATATATATATATATATATCGAGACTATTTGGAATACGAATGCCAAATGTAAGCTTCGCTTTATTTGGCATCAAAGTCGATCCTAAAGCTACCAAAATGATCTCTGGAAAATCTGCTACAATGTAGGACATACATCCTGAAACTTGTAAAGTTCATCTGGACGGATGGAATTATGGTTTCTTTTGCGCCCATTCCAGACCGATCGAGGATCCTAAAGATTCCTCAGCATTTTCAGTGAATCCTGTGTTCTGTGTGGTCTGTGGTCGAAAATTCCCGACCAAAACCCCGTGTCCACTTTTAGGATCGACGCACTTATTTCATCAACTCTAGCTGGACATACGAATGCGTTAAAGAGCCACACACGTCAATAAGCGAAACGGGAAGAAATAACAGACCGGCCTCGCCGGTCAGCCGCCCAGCGCTAGACAGCCCGCCAGCGAAGCAGTTCTGGCCGTGGGTGTTACCGATGGTGTACTCTGTGCGCGGGCCAGGCTGGCCGCCGGTGTCGCAGGGTCCGACTGTGCAGCAAACCGGTGACTCGCACTTTACAGGCAGCCCGACTGTGCGGCGGCGCAGTCGCGACTATGCAGCGCGAGTACAGACCTGTGCACGTACAGTACACGTCATCATCGTGACCGGTGGTGTACGTGCTTCAGGTAATCCGCCGGTGGCGCAGTCCTGGCTGGTGCAGTCGGTGGTGTACGTGTTCATCATGATCCTGGAGAAGCTAGTGGTGTCGGCGCTGATCCAGCTGGACATCTGGGACCGCGTCAGCCAGATCATCCTGTCTCCCATCACCAACCCGCGCTTGGAGCTCGCCATTGTCGTGCTCGTCATCCCGTTCTTCGTCAACGTGAGTACATTCGCATGGAGGCAGGCCGGGTGGCGGAGCGCACAATGAAACTGAAAAGCACACCCGAGACCCGCATGGCCCAATCGGTGACGTGATCACGGCGGTGAACCTGGTGAGCACTGGCTTACGAATCTCGTAGTTCGTGAAGCAGTACTTTGGAGACAATTTCGGTGAACCCGCCTTAACAACACCCGCGGTTACATAGGGCAAGTTCGAATGATGATTAATTTTCAGGGACTAACGACGGAACCGAAACCGAAGATTAGAGAACGATGGTACAAGCTGTTTGTCAATATGATATGAGTTTAAGGTTGTCGCGATCAAGTTTTTCGACCATTGTGGAAATGACTGGCTTTCTGTGTCGCGGCGGGCCGGTCATCAGCCGTTGCCTCCGCTGCAGGCGCTCATGTTCTGGATCACGGACAACTTCCTGATGCGGCGCCGGCCGGGCCTGGCGCGCTCGCCGGCTCGCGGTCGCTACTGCCCATACCAGGACAAGCTGGACGACGACGAGCAGGTGCTGCTGATGGAGAACGGCCACGAAAACCTGCAGCAGCGCCACCCCAGCGGCGGCGCCACCGTGACGTAGCGCGCCACCGGGACACCGGCCGGATCTAACGCGCCATCTGGTGACCGTCCGGCACGAGATATGGCGGCGCCAGACGAACGGCGTGTCAGCGGGGAGCGCGCGCCTGTGGATTGGGGTCCTGGGACACTGTGTTGGATGTCTTTCACGGATGAGTATTTTTGGCTGAGCCTTGCCGTTGGATCCGTGAGGACGAATTTCATAAGATGCGACGGGCCTCCTGGCCCCGTACGATGCCTGACCAGTGTGATAGTACGAATGTGCACTTGTGTAGTATATGCAGCGGGATGTCAGCTCTTCGCTCTTTAGGAATGAACGGCACCAACAGACAAGCTGTGATGGATTCGTGGTGAGAACCGCACGGTGCTTGCGGACTAGCGCGTCCAGTCCTCTGTTTGCGTAAGTGAACATTTTCCAATCGATAATGTGCCGATGCCCATGATCTGCCCTTCTGTCATTGGCAGTTCCATCATTTTTAGGCACTGGTTTGAGGTGTCTTTACATGTTAAGCCCTATCGCCAAACCTTGAAATCGTCTTTTGCTCCAGTAGTGGGACACATTGCCCAAAGCAGATGAATGGAGCATGGGCCCCGCCAACCGATTGTATCCGAACTATCCGGATGAAATCTTTGCGGCATGCTGCTTGTACCCGCTCCACCTAATCTCGCTTTAATCAGCCATATCGGGCCGTTTTCCACGAGGTCGCACCACGGGCTAGTGCACGTTTGGCCGGCTTCATTGCCGGCGGCTGTCCCCATCAGCCTGCGTGGGCCCCTCCTGAGTCGGTGGCTATGGCAGTCAGTGTCGCTGTTCTCCGTACTATTATCAGCTATGTTCTCCGTACTGTTCTCAGCTGTGTTCGCCGTACTATTATCAGCTGTTTTCTGCGTACTATTCTCAACTGTGCTCTCCGTGCTATTCTCAGTTGTGCTATCCGTACTATTATCAGTTGTGCTTTCCATACTGTTATCAGCTGCGTTATCCGTACTTTTCTCAGCTGTGTTCGCCTTACACCAGCTGTGTTCTCCGTACTGTTCTCCGCTGTGTTCGCCGTACACCAGCTGTGTTCTCCGTACTATTCTGTGTTCTCCATATTATTGTCAGCTGTGTTCTCCGTACTTTTCCCAACTGTGTTCTACGAACCATTCTCAGCTTTGCTCTCCGTAATATTCTCACCGTTGCTAACTGTCACGAGGGCAGCGATGTTTGCCAACGGATGTAATGTGATGTTTCTTCGCCGGCGGTGTCTTTTACATCCATGTACCAACATGTATCTATTATATTTATGTACATATGATATCGAATGACAATCGGTCGTCGGTCGCAAATGCCATCAAATTGGATGGGACTTGTAGCGACTAAGTTGATACGGGTGCGTACATCCTGTCTGGTTACGTCGCGTCTAACTCGACGTTCGTGCGCTGCTCACTCCTGTCTGTCTTCTCTGCATGGTTTGTTATATGTACCACATTTAGGCCATTGACCACGCTGTCGAAAGTCTCCCACTGGCAGTGGTTTGCGGCTATCCATTAGGCCATTCTTGGCTCTGCACGAGCCAAGACAAACTCGTGGCGCGTAAGTGGCCGATCCGTGCATAACGCATGTCCCAAGTCACAGCGGATAGACACGCTCGCTGGCGGGCACGACACCGTTCCGCTGGAGCGCACGTACTCCCAGACATGTCGCGCTTGTCGCGTGGTTGTCAATGACGAGGGAGTGCGAGTCCTGCGGCATATCTGGTACTAGTCGATAATCCGCACCTATGTGAAACCAGATCCTGTGGTATTTATGCGCCCACTGTACCCGTATCATTGACAATCTTTGTCGGGGTCTTCCAGCAATAATGGGCGACTCAAGGGGGTTTGAAGCGGTTGGTAACATTCGTCTCATCGAGCATTTCTTCTATATCACATTGCTCTTGTGTTATCTGGTGAAATAGCCCACGGCTATCAGCCATACCATGAGACGCTGTGTTATGTCACAATACAGTCATATACCCAGTGGGGATATGTTCATGTGTCCGCGTGCTGACGCATGCTGCGCGGCTGCTGGACGTGATGGGGGGGGGGGGGGGGGCGGCATGAATGGAGCGCGGGCGGACGGCTGGGGTGACGGCCTCATGCCGTGCGACCCGTGATGCAGCAGCAGAAACTGACTCGTCAGTGTTGCATCACTTGTCGCTGCGCCATTATTTAAATTGGTTCAGATTTATTGGGCGTTGTCTTAGACCTCGACACCCTGGTCGAACTCCCCGCATGAACCGTTCAACGAGTCAATTACGTCTGACTGATTGAGGAGAGGTGCGCCATGAGTTGACTAACAACAATGCACCGGCGCCTTGGACGCAGACAGGCAGCTCTGCAGCCTTTCACTGTCTATGAAGGGCTGGTCATGTCGACTCTCGAACTCGCCAGGACGGGCAGATCACGTATTCCTGGCATCCAGCCAGTCTCACCCGCACTTCACGGCGCCGGCTGCGATCGCTACCGACATCGGCCAGGAGCTCTCGACGCCGCCGGTCATCCTCACTCCCGACCGCGGACAAGGGAACATATCCCCTGTCGCAGTCTGGGAGATCTTCCGAGACGGACCATCAGCTGGCCAGCGTGTGCAGCCGTCTCCAGACGTCGGCCGCGGCCGCCTGAGACCGCCGCCCCAGGCGCTGAGGGAGCTGAGGGAACTGAGCGCCTGAGACCGCCGCCTCAGGCGCCGAGGGGGCTGAGGGAACTGAGCGCCTGAGACCGCCGGCTCCGGCGCTGAGGGAACTGAGCGCCCAATGCCACCGCCTCAGGCGCCAAGTGAGCTGAGGGAACTGAGCGCCTGGGACCGCCGCCTCGGGCGCTTAGGGAAATGAGCGCCCAATGCCACCGCCTCAGGCGTCAAGGGAGCTGAGGGAACTGAGCGCCTGAGATCGCCGCCTCGGGCGCTGGGGGAACCGAGGGAGTTGAGCGCCTGAGACTGCCGTCTCAGGCGCTAAGGAGGCCGAGGGAGCTGAGCGTGTGGCGGCGCCGGTTACTCCCTCATGGTGGGATGAGTGGCCCCGCAGACCGGGTCATCAAAACTACCAACCACCGGCGGCCGTCGGGGATGACAAAAAAGTGCACGCTCTGCTATCATCGATAATGAAAAAACTCAACTAAATGTATTTCGGGCATAGCGGACAATGCCGGGATTCGGGATGACATAAACACGGCTTGCCATCCAGCCCACCTCCCCGTCAGAATCTGCCCTCAAGGTTAAAAGCCGTCTGCGGCATGTATTCGGTCCAGGGGAAGCGGTGGAATGCGCAATGTGCCGTGAAGGCTCAAGGACTCGCCCCAAAACTATTGATTGCCGTTGCCAGCTGCGACTGCGAGGCCAGCCGGGCCGACGCCTTTGATCGTGTTGCCAGTAGCACGCTGGTAGCTTCAGTTGGCCGCTCTGCAGTCAAAAACGGGCCTGGCCAGTGTTCTCCGCTCTTATGACGCAATCAGTTATCACAAAAATGCGTTGTGACATGTATTTATGACACTGAAGATTTTACCATTCAAAATGCATTTAAAATACACATATTGCAACACTTGCATTGCATATCATTCATTGGAAGCAGCTAACAGGCAGATGTAGCGCCACGAAAAGGGTTTGTCCTGGAACATTTGGCGTGATAAGCTCGTATGTCTAATGCCCATTGCAAATTGCTGACGCACAGCCTTTCACCCCTTGACACAAATAACGTGAAACAGTGACGGCATTACACCTGCATATGTGTCTGTGAGCGAATGGCGTGTCTAGCCTGCGCTTAGCTCAGCCACAGTACAACTTGACAATTCAACAGGACCTCGTGGTAACACCTGACGCTTGAGATCTATCAACGGGGAACACAAACCAGCACAAAGGTGGCAACATACAACATGCATGCAGCAATGCCTGACAACATCAGGTCAACAGATCACATTGAGTGCATCTTGCCACGTCATCCCTCCAACACCACGGCATCTATGACGGGCTAGCGTGGAACGATGCGGCGCGAATCCACCAATGGGGTCGCGCCGACGTCCGGGACGGAAGCAGGTTTCCAGTTTTGTACTACACATGGACGGCTGGTCGCGTCAAATGTCGAAAACTCGGCGGAACGGACAGTGCAGGCATTCCTGGCATATGGCCAATCTCGACCGAACCCCTGAGCCGCTGACGGAGATCACTACCGACATCTACCAAGATCTTTTGAGATCATCACTCGTCCCTCAATCCAGACCGCTCAAGCCATGAGGTAACACTTCACGCAACAGGCGAGGAAAACCTTTCCGAGACCAACCATACCCGGCTGCTGAAGTCTGCTGCAGCAGCTGCTGAAGTCTGCTCGAGACGCCGGCAGCATTCATCTGAGACCAGCGTCGGCGGCCGTCTCAGGCGCTAAGCGAGCTGACCTCGTGGCAGCGCGCAGCCGCCGCCGCCGGCGGCAGCGGCCCATAGCCGGCGCAGCGGTCGGCCGGCGAGTCGAGTCGGGCGGCCGCCGCCGAGCCGGCCACCGACAGCGCCGTGTCGAGCGTCGGCGAGCGCAGCTGGGCACGGTCCAGCACGTCGCCGCTCGACACGGACGCGTCCACCATGCACGGCTTGGCGGTGTCGGCGGTGCGGCGGATCTCCAGGCCGCAGCAGCGCACGCTGCTGGGACAGGCGGCCCGCAGGGGGCAGCAGCAGCGCGCCCGTGCCGCGTCCGGCCGCCGGCAGCCGACCGACGGCAGGCGCGCCCACAGCGACTGCCAGGCCACAGACAAGTCAGGGTGGCAGCATTCTGACACATCATCATGCAATTGCTACATAGGCTGTGCAAATCATTAACAAAAGTGACCTTAAGGTAACCCAACCAGTTTGAAAACTCATCAATGATCACTAATTTCAGTCAATGTGGCAAAAAGGTAGCATGCAAATGGGTGTCACAAAATCTTCACGTGATAACAAATCTTTGGGTCACATTACAGTCGACATAATGCATTTAGTGCACCATATCACCAATGTGGTCAATGTGGCACCATTAAACCCAAATAATCAGCCTGACTCAGCCTTTTCCAGCTCACACCTACCATAAACATACCAGGCTCAATGTGAGTGGAGTTTAGCTGAATTATTGCCAAGTTCATGAATTTGAAAGCAGAGCACAAACCTTCAAAAAGGAAGCTTCCACTTAAAATTGTTGAGCTTAGCATAGCCAAACCAAACATAGCATTTGCATCATCACAGGACCACAACAATAACTTGCTTACCTCCAAATGCAATCTCCAAGCCAGGTGATCAGTTTTTGATGCTTGGCTGCAGGGAAACTTAAGAACTGTTGTTGGTCTTGGCCACAGCATGAGGCAATCACAGCAGTGAAGAGATTCCAAGGTATCCAATGGTCGCCGATTTAAGATGACTTGCCGCATAAACATACCTGGCAAGAAAATGAAGGCATTATTTTTGAATTGCAATGTATCGTGATACTAGGATCTGTATATATGCAAATGATGCACCAGACACAAGTAATTTGTGTTGCAAAAGGGGATGTGCCAACAAAATTAAGTCCTTAAGCACATTTTCATAGGTGAAAATGATGGTATTGATGGGCTTGGTTGACACAACCAATATAAAAACTGTTGAACACAAGCAATGACACAGCTAAGGTTGGAGTTTTTGGGGCCATGCCTCCCTCCCCTGATGATGACAGGGTCTCCTGAGGTCAAAAAGATCTCACACTTTTAGATTATCAGGTGCATTTTGAGCTCCTAAAATATCAAGCTGATGGACCTCATGGACCACGTATCCAAATAGGGCCTTGAGCTAGCAAAGTCCTCCGAACCCAGAAATATAGCAACAGCATCCCTATAACAACAAAACACTGCTGTCTTGACTAAAAGACCCCCTTGGACTGAATTGCCCATTTTGGAAGCAAGTCCTGGCTAAACCACTGAACACCAGGCTCAAATACATATCTTAAAGCTATGGTAAATGTAAGAATATTGATTGAGCAAACATATTGACTAATCTGAGATGGGACACATCAGTCTTGTTGCTAGTATAGATCAGGTTGCAAAAGGACCAAGTGGCAACACCAAGCTGCATTTATGCTCCAATAAGTTGTATGATCAGTCATAACTGCATGCTTTGAAGAAAGAACCTCCAGCATGAAATCAGTCCAAAACAGATGGAGTGGGTAAACCACAGGGGTTTCACTTACATATGATCACTGCCAATCCATACAGTATGATTGCAATGCAGAAAATTGCTGCAAGGGGCAGTCCAAAGAATGAAGTGCTGGTATTTTTGGCTGAGCCATCAAACACTTTTCTCTCAGATTCCCCTGATGCATCCATCCAATTGAATTAGGCTTGTCCTCTTCTTTGAAACATCACAGCTTCATCTGCAGGACAGATATATTTGTTAGACCGTGAGTTCTGACTCCATGTAGTTGGCACTAGGTCATAATAAAAATCAACCATATTTTCACCTGGTGATCCAAATGAGCTATTGCCTACAGTGAGCTGGAATGAGTGACTCCAAGTCTGATTATTGCTATGAACAAAGCACCCCAAGTTGCACTTTGAATTGGGCTGATGAAAACCCAACTGTTATTCTTAATCCAACAATGTATAGCATGACTGGAGCTTGAGAACCTGTTCATTACCTTTTGTTGAGCAATTTGACTTTGAGTTATTATGGATTATCAGCACTGTGCTACATTTAACAAAATGTCCTTGTGATTTCTTCAGACAAATAAAAATCAACACCATTCTCTTCTCAACCCCCCCCCCCCCACATAGTCTTACAAGACTACACCCTGAACCAAGTATAAAGATGCTGATGAAGCTTCAGTCGCCTCTAAATAAGGAATGAGCTGCTAAATTTACCCAAAAGTTCAAGGAAGCAGAAGGCCCTATAAATGCATTACACAAATGACCATGTAATCACAGTTGCAAGATGTTTAAAAGGTGCTGTAATGTATTTCACAGATACTACGAGATGCAAGCAGCAAACACCAAATTGCTTGAATAAATGTCGTAACCACCAAGTGCGATGCGTTAAATGCACCAGTGTAAACCCCTTCAACCCCCTCAACGCCAGCCGACACCTACACCATTTAAAAAACGTTGCTTTTGAGATCATTCACGCTCAAATCACGATCTTCAAAACCAAAGCACTCTTCATTTTCTGTACTTGATACCTTACGTCGGTGCCATTGCAGTTCATTTCCACGCAACAACCATAACAAACCCCACGTTACACAACACGGTCATAACATGACGCCCCCATGGCCCTGAAAAAAATATGTATTTTGACACGGATGTTACAAAAGGCGTAAAACCGACTATAGACAACCCTGCACTAATTATTTATATTGCGGCCCGTGTCTTACGTGAGTTTTTTCCATTTAGTCAATATCACGTTGATACTGCGTTAGAAAATAATAAATAGAGCGCTACATTATCTTTATGCATGAGAAATGCACAGTATCACAACCGCACGTTTCAGACAAGCATTTTTTTGCAGATAAAACCCTTCTAGAAAATGTTGATATCATCGGGATCTTACTTTCCGACCTGCTTTTTTTAATTGAGCTCAGTTGATATGGATAGCTGTACAATCAATTTAATTAAGAGTGGATGGAAGTGATGCAGCAATAAAGGTAGCGGCATCCATCTCCGGACAAACCGAGCATTGACGCTACAGCGTTTGAATAAAGAATGGACTTCATCTCTTGAGTTTTCGACATTTTGCATTGAAAGTTTGAAAGAAAGGCATTTGCCAGGAAGTAAAGGAGTTGTGTCCCGCAGAGGTCTCCACTCAAAACATTACTATCTACCATGCTACATTCGGCCTTGTAAAATCGATGTGTCAGACCGGGAGCGCAGCCAGGAGTTTCTTAACGGGGAGAAGGGGGCGGAGTTCAATGAGAACGCATCCCGATGTCAATGTCTGTCGATGTCTTTCAGGAGCTATCTATGGTGAAGAAAAATATTAGAATGAGTCAGCAACCCCTCCCCATCCCGGCTGTGCCTGTGCACCAAACAGGATACGACATTCGAAACCCTGCGATTTGGAGACCCGTGAATGCTAGCAACGTTGATGTAACGTTGGGTCACATGATGACGAGAACGTTGGTACTAGTCACTGTCATTTCGTCATTACTGAGTGTGATGGCAACTGGGTAAGGTTTTTATTCAGGGCATTAATTTGTTTATCAAATGTCTTTCTGAAATGAACTCCTACGGATGGGGACGAGCATTGTAGCCAGGCGCGAGCTCCTTTGCGGAGAGGTGGCGCTCAGTGGCCACCGCGGCTTTCGACCTATCTTCAAGAGCTTCGTCATGGTAGCTTCGAAGCCAGCCGAGGCCGCGTCTGTGTTGAGTTCCGAAGAGGTCGACATGATGGCCAACAGGCTCAACTGCCACTTCGCTGCCGTAGACGCCCGCATCGCAGCCAGCCTGCGGAGCGCGGTGAACGCTGGCACCGAGAACCCAGGACCGCCCACCGTCTGCGTCGCTGCCTTCCTGTTCTGACCTGCGGCGCTACTAGAGCTGCCGCGATGTGTTCAGCGTATGAGTACATCGCAGGCAGTGGGCCTGGATGAGGTCCCACTCCAGGCTGTGAAGGAATGTTTCGTCAGTCGTCGGTGCTCATCCTTTAAAAGTCGTCAATTTATCTCTCGTGACCAAACTTTTTCTAGATAGCTGGAAGACGCCATGAGCTGTACCGGGTCCGAAGTCAGGTGATCCGGCTGTATCGCCCAACAAAAGGCCCATATCTCTACTCAGTGTGTGCATTCTAAGATCTTAGAAAAGGCAGCTGCACACAGCTCACATGATGTCTGAATGCGACAGCGCTATTGCATCTGTCCCAGTATGCCTGTAGGCTGCGCCATTCAACCGAAGATGCCGTGGTCGCCGCAGCCGAACGCCTGCTCGCCAAAACGTGCGACGGTCTGGTATCGTCGGTAACGACGATCGATTTTTCAAAGATATTCGATGGCATTGACCACGGTGTCACCCTTATCGAGCTGTCTTAGTAAAGCGCTATCGGTGTTGGATGGTTCAGGAGTTATTTGAGTGGTTGAGGGTAGGTGGCGCATGAAGGACGCCTCACTCTACCCATGTCATGTGATGTGCCTCAGGGCTGGAGCACCGGTCCAACTTTGTTCATTTTGTTTACCAATGGATACATGACTCATGGCTGCCTCATCTCCTACGCTGACGACACCATGTACGTGGACTGCACGCCACCTGACGGACCGGGTCTCGCCGATCTCAAAACCAGGCTGGAATTTACTATGCGTGATCTTCAGAACTGGTGCAGTGCCCATTCTCTCGAAATGAACGGATCAAAAACTGTCTTTATGCTCGTTGATTCAAAACGAAGTTTATAGTCAGCTGACTTTCAGTTTAAAGTAAACGGTTCGACTTTGCATGCCTCAAGTAGCATCGAAATTATCGGCGTCATAGTTGATTCCGGTCTGTATTGGGTGCCCATATCTCGAGCGTCGTGAAAAAATGCAATGGTATTCTCTTCAGACCTTCTCAAAATTATCATCCAGGTGCACGTGTTCCCTCACATCACATACTGTCTGCGCATGTGAGGTGGGGCGACCAGGAATCAGCTACACAAAATTTAAAAAAGACAAGTTAGCTTTGCCGCAAGGAGTAAATCCCGGTTGTAAAACGCACCATCATAGAACTCCGACTTTAATTTCCGTGCATGACCGAGGATTGAGGTCATGGTGGCGCACCACGAAGTGATTCAAGTGTTAAGGGCGTTAAAGGAGGCAGGTGCGCCTCACGAGGTCCGCGCGCTTTTTGTCCCATGCGCCTCTGTTTCAACAAGTGAAACGCGCGCCTTGGATAGGGGTAGTCTGCACCTGTGCAGACACCGAGTGCCGTCACACAGAGGGCTTTTTTGCATCGAGCCGCAGCTGCCTGGAAGCCGCCTGTCACCGTACGTCTGTGATGCCACCACGCTGAGCGCGTTTGAGACCGTCATACACGATGTGATGTTAACCACTGACGACTGATCTGATCCGGCCCGCAGTGCATTGATAGGTCTGTTTGGGCTCTTTGTCCATTGCATTGCTCGTATCATTCACTTGCATACCTTATGTGTGTGCCTTCTTATACTACACCTGCATGCAACTTAAAAAATGACCTTGACCTGAGACCGTAACAGCCAACATGTGGATGGTTTTCAATAAGCTAATATTGATACTGAGTAAAACCCCAACAAGATAAGATTTCTTCGATATTTCAATTAATTGTGAAGACGACACCGCGGTTATTTCCGGCGGGATTTACCCAGTTACTAATGATCTTAAACTCTGGCGTCGTGATCTTAAACTTTTTTGGTGTCGTGACGTCACCAAAAGCGTGAAGTCACGACACCTCACACCTGAACACATAGCACGGTCAGATAGTGTCGGATGGCCAGGGGAATGAGCTTCTGAATGACATGGGTCTTCCGACAGGAACTGTATACCGGAGCTGATATGTGAATACAAACCGACTCCTGAAGCTTCTTTCGCTTTTTTAGACACTTATTTCCACTTGCCATGCACGCGTTGCGTCCACGTATCACGCAATGTCGTCTGATCGTGACTCATTGCTCCCTGTTGGTGACCTCTGAAAGTTATGATTGTCAATAATTGGACAAACTGATTCGAGAATAACCAAAATTTCGTAGCAGCACGCGGTGTCCCTTGAAAAACGTAACTTCACTTAAAAAACTGCAATATTTTTTGGTAACTTCAAAAAGTTATAGGTTTTGTTCGTGCATAGGGCACCACAGCCCCCAGGTAAAAATAAGGCAGCCTTTATCTCTATGGTTTTTGAACGAAAATTCGTCCGTCCCGGTGGCTCAGTTGGTTAGAGCGCCTGCCTCCCGATTCACCCACCCGTGGCGGGGTGGGCTCGGGTCGCTTTAGGCGCTCGCTATTTGCCCTTGACAGGTATGGCCTGCGGCTGGTAGCAGCGGTCGCGCTAAAGGTCAGTTGACGTCAGAGGGCAGGACGGACCGTGCCGAGCAATGCGGCACGTTAAGCTCTCGCCACTAAATTCTGCCGTTGCCTGGAATTGCGCGATCGGATGGTAGGGGTCAGGGCTCACACAACAAGCACTGCTTAGCGTGAGCGCTGATCCCATAAATCCATCCATTCAAAGGGTTCCGATCGAATTTTAAGAATAAAAAAAAACTTATTTTCGTCACTGCATCGCGACGCATTGTTTTCATCACAAGTGGTCCGTCAGGTGCGAAATGAGCAGCTGTTCTTGACGCTCGTTCCTATCACGTTTTGGTCCAGCGTCAGTGACCTGCGCTGATTGTAAGCGCCCGCAGCTTTTCGAATGACACGCTTATAAACTACAATTTTGGTACACCTGTTTTAGAAACATTTGTTCGAGGTGCTGAATATTGGTGATCCTATTTGAACTTGTGACGGCCACAATGTTCCATGCGAACCTTCGTTAATGAGCGCAGTGCTACCCTGACAAAGACTGCCTGATCTGGAAGAATATCGAGTGGTTCGTGGCTTTGACTTTCCGCTTGGCTCCCCGAAAAAATCATACGAGAAAAATGCATCAGGTAAAACGCCGTACATCATACAACCAATGCGCCATTTTTCTGGCACCTTGTGTTTTCAGTGTTGCAAATGGTATGTGTATGCATCCGGAGCCAGTGCCGGCTTCCGTGTGTCATTGTGATTGTAGGCATTAGAGCCATTCGGGAGCCGACTGCGTGATTCGCGCTCTTCTGCACACAATGTATTGTTTGGAGTTGTCACTGCTAATATTGATACGAATACCTATGCGTGATATCAATAGCTGCAATGACAAGAAGGATGCTTACTGCAAAAAAAGATGCAGAAGTAAGCATCCTACTTGACACACTCTCAGCCCCACAAAAGTAAGCGATTGACCTTCAATTGTAAACCCTCAAATTTCTACTTAAGTTGGAAAAATCGTTATTGGTGCATTTCTTCCGAACTGAACGTCTTGTTTTGCCATAGGAATGTACGAAACTTTAGCAACGTCCTACAATTGCCCAAAAGTGCTGAGCTCTTATGAACATTTAAAATGCTACTTACTTTCAGTGGCATTCATGCGTCGCATGACATATTACGGAGGAGTGACGAAGCATTCGTTCCGTTTCATTGTGATTTGTTTCCAACGAGTGCAGCTTGCTTTTTCAAGTCAACCGCGTCAACCGAGCCCGCAACATTGCAAATTCCAGGTTGCAAGGACTTCCGCAGTCGATCGAAGGGAGACATGTTGACGAGTCAATCCTTCGCCACCGTCCCGAAGTGCAGCAAGCGTCTCTGGACCACGAGCCGTTGACACGCCGCCTCGATTCGGCCCTAGTACAGATGCTGCGCTGTAATCGCCCACTCCATTCCCGAGCGTGTTTTGGCGGGAAGGATAAGCCTGCGACCTCGGCGTAGCTTGACCGATTGATGTCAGTACTGTGCGTAGGATGAGTGCAAACAGAGGAAAAGTTCCGTGTAACCGTGCTCATTTTGACAGGAAGATAAGAGCAGGTGTATTGCACGCCTAATCTTTACCTGTTTACGCATTGGTTGTTGGGATTGGCTTGTAGAAAGCGATGAACCAACTAAAATGTGCAGTCACTCCAGTGCCTACCAGATGTGCAGCCGTGTCAACGATGCTTTGGTGGGGCTGTTCTTGAAAACTGTCTCCTCCTGCAGAGCACACTGCTCCGTCACATCTCGCTGCGACCGCAGGCAGATCACAATGTGGAGCGCATGATAATTTATATGAAAGCTTAACGCCGAACCCGTGCAGGAGTTATTTAATACGCAGCGGCCAGCTGCATCAAATGGAGCCGGGCAGTTACAACTTAACGGCGCAGATTATCCAGATGGAAACGGCAATTAATAATAGATGTAACAATTAGATACATTTTAAATAAATATCTCAACGCGGCCCGGTCTCCACACCAAGCCTTTAAACATATGAATTAGGACTATTTTGGGATGACTCCGGGAAGCAATTCGGAATATTTACTCAATGTGTTGCCGAATTGTGGAACGTCCTACCACCGTTTCGGTGGATAATACGCATCGTTGCTTCATCTCTAGCGTTCGCTACTAACCACATTTAAGAAACATGTGATAGAAAATAAACCCGTGTAAATCATTTGCTGTCTTTCACGACACACAATTTTAAGACGAAGTACTGCCTGTCACCGTGTCTGTTTTCGCTGACTCGGCACCGTTGAACCGCATAGACCAAGCATCCAGATCTGCCTCCCTTCCGAATACCCTCATCGCAGGTCGACTGGGGCATTCAACCGTGCCCGGGGTGGCACATCCGACAGCCCGTCGCGCCCCGTGAGTCCGCGCGTGATACAAGCGCGCGGCGCCTGCCGCCGGCCGGCCGCCAGGGCGCGCTGACCACTGACATTCAAGACGCGGCGCGCTCGAGGCGACGGCGGCGCGCGCCGACGCCGTCTCACGGCGGCGGCAGGCCAGTGGCGATCGGCGCGCGGGGCTGGGTGGGCGCGCGCCTCGGTTCCGGTCCGCCAGGGCCACGTGAGCGGCCCCCTCACGGGTGGACACAGCGTAGACCTGTCGTGGCGGGGAGCGGACGTCCTGCGAGCGCCGGCGGCGGTAGGTGCGACTGTCAACGGCGGGGCTTAGAGCCGCCGTCGGAAGAGCGGGTCGACACAGAGACCTCGTGACATGTCGCCGCCGTTTAACATTTGCGACGAACCGAAGACGTGCCGCGGCGCGGGTGCGATGTCGGCCGTGGCGACGTCGCCCCATGCCGAGGCGGCGGACAGGAGCGGAGACGGCATCATGCCGCTCGAGCCGCGGCCGTTCCGGCCCTTCAAGACGTCCGAGGAGTACCTGTACGCCATGAAGGAGGACCTGGCGGAGTGGCTCAACATGCTGTACGTCCTGCGCATGACGGCGGAGAACTTCATGGAAGTGCTGGAGACAGGCGTCGTCCTCTGCGAAGTAAGTAGCGGTCGTATAAATCTCATAGTGCTGTTTCGTGGTGTAATTAACGCTCATCTGTGCCGCAGTGCGCTATACCCATGATGACAATTTAGTAACGCGCTGGGTTGGTTGATTTCGGTAAATTGGACTACTGCACCTATATCTCACTTGCGCTTCTTACTATTTGAAAAAACTGAGATATTAGAGAAAGAGAGAAGTGGAGAAATACAAATATATAAGGGTAAGGAGAAACTGAAGAAACGTTTTTTCGTTGTCAAAGTTGGAATCTTACTAAGATTTCACGCAAGTTACATGCCCATACCCACAGAACGCTATTTTGACATATTCAAGTACCGCCGACATCCACGACCGGAGCTGAGGTCTCAAAGCTGGACCTTTTCGTGGCGACGGGCGTAGCGGGGCTTGGGAAATGTAGCGAATAACAACCAAGCCCACGGCCGAATGCACATGACCGGCCCACGGACCGATCACCATAGCCACGCGACCGCGGCGTTATCGGTGTGACACGTCACGGATCGGTATGGGTCGTGACGCCCTGTGACGGCAGCCATACGCCGACGTGGTCACACGACTGGAGCCCCGCCCCGACCCCGCCTCTGCCGCCGGTCTCGACGCTGCCGCACGGTCGGCGACGCTGCAGAGCCGCATTGTCTCCGCCGAGCCAGCCGCTATCGGCCATCGGCAGGATTTCCCGAGACGGTCGTTTCGCTGTTCGTTATCGTCCTCGTGGCGCGTGGCGGCTCCATTGTTTGCGGCCCCCGGGTTACAACATTGTAAAAGGCCCGGCTGTGATAAATTGGGCCACAGTCGCGAAATTCGACGCGTTCCGTCTCAGTCCGCCACATGTGCTCGACGCAGTGTCGTCACCATGACGACGCCAGCGACGCCGCCTGCACGCCTGCCGATAGAACAGGTGTCGGCGCTCGCTGCCGCCATTTACGCCTCTGTGAATTCATTTGCGACAGTTTTTTTGTTTGTTGTGGTAGTTTGTCCTTGACATTGATCTCAGGATGGCGGCTAATGAATGCGCGAGAAATTGTGACTTTGGCTCAAGCGCCGTTCCTGCTGAAAGTTGTCGGCATTGCGAACTACGTGCTCCTTTCCGAAATGCTAAGTACAGCCTTAAATGCGTACAAAGCCCACTGTCTGTTTCGTGCTGATTGTGTTGGGATCAGGGTCCTACGAAGAAAAGCTTTTGGCAGAGACCATCCCAAAGGACTACCTCCAGATCAAGAGGCAAACTGGATGGCTCGTCAAATAGTACCGAAGGGTTTGAAGTGCGTGCAACGTCACGGCGCGGCATGACACGGGACGGCTACCTCAGCCAGTTGCCACTTGAACGTCACTGCTGAGTCACAACGGCATTGATTCGGATTGCGAATCGCACCCACATCTCTGGCGCACCGTGCAGTGGTCATGCGCTTCGCCGCCGTCGGACTGCAGGCGCCAGTGCCACAGAGCGGTCTCGGCAGATCCGGTCGATCGACGGGCACCGCTCGGGCCCACTCACGAACGACGACAATCCGAAACGGAACTGCGCCGAACGGGCGGCTCCAATCCTTTCCCGACAATGGACGCCTGCGGAGGAGGACTAAGATCACTGGCACGCACTGAGCCCCGCTATCACGGCCCACATGGAGCCGCGAGCCTCACGTCCGGTATCTTATCTTCGGGTCGCGCGTCACTTCCTTCAAAGCGGGCGGGAGGTTCACTGTTCAAGAGTTGTGGCGACGATGTGCGCTTTTTCCTCGCGCGGAATGCGTGCTCGACCGTCGTCTCCGCGACCATTGGAGCGGCGCCGTCTCGGGTATCAGTGCGCACTGGGGTGGCGGGTTCTCAACGTCGCACCGACAGGTGCCACGTGTCCCGCGCTGCGCCATACACCAGCGAAAAGGCTGTGTCGACTCCGCCGGCCGTGGTCTCCTTCTGACTCCCCGTGTTGCGTTACGTAGCTGCGAGCGATGTGGGCAGCCCTGTGCTGGATTTGCACCGTTTCCTGCGGCAATAACCCGGCATTGGAACAGTCGGCCTAACTGGCGGTAATGATGATGGCATATGGCGCTTCAGGCATTGTTGCGCAAATTGGACCCAGTTGTTCAATTTTTTTCTCTAAACGATGCGCGCTAGCCAGCTCTTAGTTGCTAGTGCGCATCCCTTCCGATTCGCACGTAGATACGAGTACATGCGTACGCGAGGAGGACGAGGATGTTGATACCGCCATGGGGCTAATATGAGCATGCTAGGGCATACGAATGCTATGTGATTCGTGAACATCTTTTGGGGCCTCCGCATGACCTTGTGTCAGCGAAACACAACATTTGTATCGGTCGGGAAATTGACTACTGATGCGACCAATGAGATCCAGTTTCGTCAACTGTTTCCTAAATGCTGATAAACGATTCAGTAGGTTATTCATGCGATTCCTTTAAAAGCTCGTTAATCTACATCAGAGATTTAGCACGGAACAGGTTCTGGATATGATTAATGGTGGTAAGTGGAGATGTATGCCACTTACCCTGTCCCAACGAACTCATTTGCTTCGAATGTTAAAAATGGATGGCACATTTTTATAACATAATTTTTGGTACACAGCTAGTAAAGTCTTATAGTGCCGATCTTGAGCTTGTGTCAGAACGGTTCACCTCCACGGCCGACGACATCCACCGCCGGTAACGAGTAGCCATAGCGAGTTGGACCACAGCATGCGGCTGGCGTCTGGCGAGTCTTGTCTTGCGCTCGCGACGAGCCTCACTGTTGCAGACAACGTCGGTCGCAGGTGCGCCGTTCAACCTACAGGCGGATCGACTCACTGGCTGTTAATGATCTGTGAATTACAATCAATCACGAACGAAAGCTGTTCGCCGCCGCTGCAAGCTATGAGATGCCCTCGGAAGCGCCCGTGTCGCGCGGGCAGCGGACACGATGAGAACGCTCAGGCGCTGCACGCTCGTCCGTCTAGATTACACAGCACGCCGAGCATGTCTGACTGCCTGGCTGCAGACCGCGGCTCACGCTTCCCAGCCGTGGGTGACGCAGGACGGAGCGGCCGGCGCCGCGAACGGCCGTGCCGTCCGCATTTTGTGGCGAACGGAAAAGTTACTGCTATCTTAAGAAACGTTCTCAAGATTGATGGTAGTTGAGATCGTTGTCATCCCGTCGCACCGCATTCCCTGACCAGGAACCCAGGGAGTGGCACCTTCAGGCCGTGCGTCACCCGGGATCGCTGTGTACCTGAAGATTTTTATCTGCGCCGACCGACGCAACTATACGTTGCATCGGAAAATTGTGAATGATGTTTCAACGCACGGTGTCGGAGTGCCGCTTCCACTCGACAAAGAGCGGGCGTAGCTGCATACCACGGCCCTGAGGGTACTTGCTGCAGGAATCTGAGCCGTCTCCGTAGATGGCCAGCCTTTGTCAGTGCCGGGTTTTGTTGTCAGCTCAGCACGCGCCCCTGCTTCTGCGACCGGTGCTACAGATCCGTTGCGTTGAGTTGTAACACTCGGCCAGCGGAACCAGACGTGTATCGCCGCACGAGCTCACCAGCACGACGCGACCCTGGAATCGGCTCTTGCGGCGTAATTAGTTTCCACTACGTTTTTCGAGTTGAAGGAACCCCGAAATTTTCCGTGGTGGCCGGAACTGGCGGCTTTGTAAATTAACTAGCTTTGCGCTGAGGTATGCACGTGCTCTTCGACCATGGATCTCACGGCGTCGAACGACAGCGGAATAACGCCTAGACTGAAACCGTCTGTTCACACTCCATTATGACGGAGTTGGCTGTATGCCATTTAGGTGGAGATTGGATCGGACTGAACAATAACACGCCAATGTCTACCACTCCTTAATATTTCCGGCGTAACTTCCACGAAGGGGTTGCATGTCCAGCCAGCCGAGTGCGGCACATGTCCGAAACGTTATGTTTTGCCGCAGGCTTATCTGATGGCCTGGCACGTTACTATGTCGCAGTGCACCATTCTGTGGTTCCAGAGCTGTCCGTTCACTGTCCGTCCTTTCCTCCAACTTACTGAGAGTCCACTGAATGCGTGCTGTTTGTCCACCCCGCTGTTCCGCGAGTTGTCCTGAGCCATTTCTCCCGCTGCCATCGTCCACACTGTTAAACGTTCACGCATGGATGGAGGTGTGGTAGCCGCAACACCGACTTCCACTAAAAAGGTCTAATTTTGACGTTCATTCATTGAAAGAACTCTATTTCGACATCGTTATCTCGCTGCTCTCGGCATCCTTAACTCGTGCGTGTATTAATGCTGACCGTAAAGCTACCTCCCCACGCATGCAGCCTATTCCTCCACTCACGTCATCTCCCACTCTAGCGGACAACTCGCTCGGCTTGCCCTTCTCTCCGCTGTTCATGTAATCTCGCAATGCGCTGACCTTACTGACTCTCTAAGCTGACTGCTCCCGCGTTTCTGTATTTGTCTAAGGCTCCATGTTGTTGCGCTCGCTCCCCGCTGTCCTCAGCGTGTGCGTATATGTGGATAATCGTCCCGGCCACCGACCGCCCTGCCGCGTTCTCCTCTCTCCCTCTCTCGTCTGCGCCCGGCTGCCCTGCTGACGGTGTTCTCCGCCGTTGCAGCATGCCAACAGTGTGCGCCTGTACGCCGACCAGTTCCAGTCGGGCCACCTGGCGCGCAGCGGTCGCCGCTTCTCCGTCGGCTTCCACGTGCCCAGCTGGGAGGTCAACTACAACCGACAGGCGCGCGCCGGCTCATTCTTTGCGCGCGACAACATCTCAAACTTCATCCGCTGGTGCAAAGAGCTGGGCGTGCTCGACTGCCTCATGTTCGAGACCGAGGACCTGGTGTCGCGCAAGAATGAGAAGCACGTGATTCTGTGCCTGCTGGAGATTGGTCGGCGCGGAGCCAAGTTCGGCATGGCAGCGCCCATGCTGGTGCAGTTCGAGCAGCAGATCGACCGGGAGATCGCGCGCGAGCAGGGCGGCGTCGCAGCGGGAGGAGAGGAGGGAGAGCTTGACGACGACGAGGAGGAGCCGACGATGGTGTACGGCCCCACCCAGCAGGTGGTCACAAATGATCTGAAGAGCCTCGACGAAATGGTGAGTACCGGCCGGCGGCCGCCGCCCGCCGCCGCCCGGCTGCCTGACGGTGGCCGGGGAGCGCTCGAAGCGAGCTGAACGTTATCGCTCCGTGCCTCCAATAACAGCACGTTTTCATATCGACCGGCTTATCCGACGCTCTTATGTACCCTGGGCCCTTCTCTCCCATGTTTGCGTATTTTCTTGTTCCTCTCGCGTCCGAGCTGAACAGCGAAAATTGGCACAGACTGCCCCCAAAATACTCCGACAAACGGGTCTCCCGCCGGATTTTGCCTACTTTCCTCTCAAAGTTAGGGGAGGGGAGGGAACTGGAGCCCAGTTTGGGAACTGGCGCCCCCCCCCCCCAAACTGGAAAATGAAATCACACTCCGCACGTGACATTTTCGTCGCGCCTCGCTGTGTGCCCCGCCTGCATCACGCCTGAGTTTGCTGTCGTGAGCGGCACGCCCACTTCGCTCGAAGATTGCTCAGTCGCGGCGCAGTGGTGGAGAGGCGCTCGAGATCGACTATCGCGGCGATCGTCGGCTCGCCGCCGCCAGGCACGTCTCTCCGGTCGAACAGTACCGGCGCAATTGAGCCAATCGTGACGCCGCTCTCGCTATCTCTGGGTAAACGCGCGCGCAAACAGAGCCGCCGAGTCCTGATTCTGCTGGGCAGACGTCACCGCTGTCGGTGCAGCTGTGTGCGGAGAGCACGGGGACATGCCGGTCGGCATGTTGCGGCGCGGGGGGGGGGGGGGGGGGCGCTGCGCGCGCCGCCGGGGTGTGTCCGCCGACAGGTCCTCAGCGTCACGGTGCCCGGTTTGCCCGGCGGCCGTCCGGCCGGACAGCGGCTCTGGTTTGCCCTCCAGCCTGATAGGCGGACTGGCATCCAGGCGGGTGCGAAATGAGAGATGTTAGACTGAGTGAGTCGCCTTATTATTCGGCCGTGGGCTGGAATGGGCTTGAATCTACCATACCTGTGTGAGCAAGCTCTTGTGCCGGGCTTGACTCTCCGCGTTCTTTCAGTGCTGCAGTGATGACACGTGATGTTTGATCGGGCGCGTGACTGGCCTCAACGAGCCAGCAGTCAGAAAACAGTTGATGCCTGTTCGAAGTGGGAGGCATATCAAGTGAACAAGTCGTAGCTTGTTGGCGCCAGTCTCAATATTTGATTACCCTTCCATCCGTTATTCAGTATTAACACAGTTTCTGCTTATTGGTACGGAAAGGTCACGCACATAACAGAGCACATTCGTGAAGGTCGTGGCTGTCTGTCGCAGTATAACAGCTCGAGCTGCCGACCCTTATGCTATCTGCAGCGTCGGACGGTCCCGTTAGCTGCGGCCCCGGCCGTCTATTGACTGAGCTGGGGGCCTCCGACCGGCCTCGACTCGGCCGGGCCCCCGCCGACCGGTTACCCCGCTAAGTCGGGACAAATTTGGCGGCGCGTCCCTGCAGACACCAGCGGCGTCGGTGCGCAGCGCCGGCGAAGTCGGCCCGTGCGTGGCGGGGAGGCGGCCGAGCGCGCCGCCAGCGCCCGGACCGGCTGTTCGCGGGCGGTACCGGCGGCGGCCGCAGCGCTGACCTGCTGCGGCGGGGGGTGAGCCGCCGGCGGCGCTCGCGGAGCGCAGCCTGGCCCCGGTCCGGGGAGGGGGGGGGGACCGGTTCTCGGCGGGAAGGTCGTCGTGGCGTGGTTGTCCCGACGTGCGGCGTCACAGTGGCAGTGTTGTTGGGCGCCGCGGCGGCGTCCGGCGCAGCTGTGGCCCGCCGGAGCGGCACAGCTGGCGCTGACCTGGCCGCTGAACTCGGTGGCGCACGTGCGCCCCACGCCCAATGTCACGGCGACGGCCGTGGTGTAAGTGGCGTACCTGCCTGTTCAATTGGTCTTGCACCTCATTATTGGTTTCCTAGTGAGGTGTTTAGGCTGCTGATTGAAGGCCACTGGTCCCAGTTATCTTGCTGTAACGGTGGCTTTCCGTGTTCATGTCAGACCGCTCCCCCCAGCCATCGCCCCAGCATCTCTTGCCCCAGTGTTCAGGCGGACTCTGCCACCATCCAGTCGCGGCTCACCGATCTTTGCAGGCGTTCGGTGGTCGTAACACCTTCCCCCATCTCTCACGCGATCGTGGCGTTTCGGAGCTCGCCCAACCGTGGCCAATTCGCGAACGATCGCACGTCACTCATCCAGCCCGAAGTGGTTTCCTGTCATCCCCGTGAGATGATTTGGAAGCGTTTCGAAGGTGATTTGTCTTTTTGCGCAACGACCGGGGATACAAAGCAATTTGGAACTTGTGCTGACCGCAGACCACCGTGGGCCATTTTCATTCTTTCCCAGACGGTTCGAATCCAGCCAATCAAGTTTCATAAGACAGCTTTGTTTCCACTATGTCTTGTGACCTAAAATCAGTTAAATGAATGGCCGTTTTTGAAATCACGCCGCCGGAGCCCCCCAGGGAATGTGTGTACTAAACCGCACTTGGGGATTTAAGTTACTCGGCTGTACAAGCTGTGGGACCCAGACAACCACAATAAGGTCACGTGCGGCCGACAGTAGTGGTTCAGTTCAGCGCATGACGTCTGTGCAGTGCGGAGCAGTGCGCCATTTTCCAACACTTTCTCCTCCGGCATCACGTCCGCGCCGTTGCCGCCAAAGTGCGTAATACTGCAGCCGTGATTGATGGCATGCGTGCAAAAATGGCTCACTTGGCTACTGAATACTTACAGCCGGACCGGTTCCGTTCTATGGAAGGCGCGCGTCCGCCGGCCTGATGAATGGCGGCGTGCAGAAATGACCCCTTCAATGTCAAGTCGCCTTTCATGCGCCGAACGTGCTGGCTGCACGGCTTGGCACTGCCGCGCCGTGGGACGTTCCAGCCGGCCGTGACGCGCTCGGTCAGGCCCGCCGAGCCGCCGGCTGCACGGCTTGGCACTGCCGTGCCGTGGGACGTTCCTGCCGGCCGTGACGCTTTCCGTCAGGCCCGCCGAGCCGCCGGCTGCACGGCTTGGCACTGCCGTACCGTGGGACGTTCCAGCCGGCCGTGACGCGCTCCGTCAGGCCCGCCGAGCGCGCTGGCTGCACGGCTTGGCACTGCCGTGCCGTGGGACGTTCCTGCCGGCCGTGACGCGCTCCGTCAGGCCCGCCGAGCCGCTGGCTGCACGGCTTGGCACTGCCGTGCCGTGGGACGTTCCTGCCGACCGTGACGCGCTCCGTCAGGCCCGCCGAGCCGCTGGCTGGTCGGCCGACGCTGAGATCGCCCGGTCGCCTGCCAAAGTCGACCACGGACGTGCACGGTTAGGACGGGTTCCGCGACCTGCGCTCGGCCTGCAGACGATAGGAGCTGGCTGGTGGTGGGGACAGCGGCGAGCCGGGGCTCACTGGGTGGTCCAGCCCGGCGGGCGGTCTCTGGCTGGATCGCCGCTGACGGGGCCAGCCCACGACTCGTCCCCTCCTCGATCCGTGTCGCGCGGCAGCCGGCCGTCCAACCTCGGACGCGTCGCTCCGTCTCGGCCGGCGTCGGCTGACCCGTCTCGCCGGTGTTGAGTCAGCACCCCCACAGCCGTCTGGCAATCAGACATCGCGGTCCAAGCGCGGGAACCGCCGCTGTCGCGAGTGCGGGAGGAGACGCGCGGGAGCGTCTACGTCGTGCGGAGAAAACCGGCTCAGAAGTCGCCCTCTGCACTGCACGAACTGCCCACTACGCTACTCGCGGGCGGGGCTAATAAACCGAATGACCCCACGCGCAGCACCGACGACGAGCCGGTCACGGAGGAACGCGCTGCTGGGTTCGCGTGTCTCAGTCTGACCCGGTGAGATGAGGCTTGAGAGATTAGTCACGAAGAGACCGTCGGCGGGTATCAAAGTCTCGTGCGTTGTGTGACGATCTCCCATCGCTGACTGATGAGGCCCTGGCCTCTGCGGCCGGTACCGTGATGCCGCCCCTTCAAGCCCCTCCCCCTCCTCCTTCTCTCCCTTCCCAACGAGTCGAGTGGGTCATGCCGGGCCACAATGGAGCGGTGAGCTGCGGTCGGGGCGGCGGCGCCAGTCCGGCGACCGGCGCCTCTCCGCGGCCCGGCCTGCTCAGCGTCCTGAGGTCACACCGCGCCGATCACAGCGCCTCCCGCAACTCGGCGCGCACGCGTGCTCCTCGCCGGTGCCGGTCGCGCGTGGTAGTCTCACTCCGCGGAGGCGCGTGTCTGAGGAGCCAGCCCGGTCGACCTCTGGACCCGACCTCTGGACGAGCCGGCCGACCGACCGGACCTGGCGCACGGGCGTCACCGCTCCGCCGGCCGCCAACAGCCGGTGACACTCCAGCGGTCGGCGCAGCCTTCAGCGGCCGACGCGGCCTTTGGCTGCTACCCGCCGCCGCTGCCGCCGCCGCCGCTCGCTGACATTGACCGCTCGGCTGCAGTCGTCCCGGCGCCGGCAGCCGCCTGCAGGGAAGGCCGCGCCGGGTCGGCCGGAGCGAGCGGTCTCACTTTCTACGGCGGTCGGTTCCGGTCCGCCCGCCCGTCGGCAGACGCCACAACGCGCTCCGCCCGGCGACCGGCCGTCATTGCAAGACGGCCGGTGTTTTTACCCGCTGTTTGTTGGCATTGTTGTGATTGTGCGTGCCTGCTGCCCGGTTTACGACTCCGGCCACCCGGTACCGGCGGCCCGGGGGCGGCAGTGTGGGTGGATGACGCACGCACTGTAGGCGCATAGGCGCGTCTATCACGCCGGCGTGGCACCGCCGCGCCCCGCCCGAACCCGTAACCGTCGGCCCCTCGCCTACCCACATATCGCTTCGCATCGGTCCCATTCGCTTTTTTCGTTGCAGCCGGCTGGGGCCACCGTTTGCCTTGGATTGCCGCCGATAACGTGCAGTGTAGACCGTGCTGGCCGGGCGCGTGACGCCGGTCGGCCGGGCTGACCCAGTTATGGTCACTTGCATGTCTTACCCGGCCGGCGTGCGGGCCCGTCCGTGGCCGCAAAAATTGACGCGTTTTCATAAAAAAGCGCAAGGTCTGTGAATGAATTTAGCTACGGCATTTCCTTTGGCTGCGAACGTGGTCCGCATACACTTCGTTTTTAGGGCGCGATCGTGATAAGTATCGGAAAATATGTGATATGGAATACAAAAGATGTGTTCATGGTGATGAGCGGCTGGTACGAGCTCTAATCCGTCAAGGCGCCCGCATTTTTCGGTAGCTAACCATCTGATGGAGTCCATTTGCGTCCATTTAACTGGTTCTAACCAATGACAACCCGATAAGTAGTGTTCAGGGCAGGACTTCAGACGAGTGCTGGTCGCTGACGACAGCGCCGATGTCGGCTCGGAACGCCCCTGTCATCCCCTCCGTGTCGCTGGGAGCTGCCACGGTGCGCGATCAGCCGTCTCCCACAATTCCCCGCCAGAATGCATGAGCCACCTGGCGGGTTGACCTGCGTCCCACCGCGGCGGAGCCCCCCGGCGGCGAGAGCGCCCTGCATTCGTTGAGCCTGCGCCGCCCGCTCGGCCGGGCCTGCCGCCGCCGCTGGCCGCCCCGCCGCCATCCAGCTATCCTTCGGCGGCGATTAGCGGCGAGGGCAGCCAGCGGCCGCTCGGCGGCCGGTATTGGCCGGGAGCGCGATCCTGACGCCGAATAGTGGGCGATCCCCGCACCGGCCAGCCATGCACGACGCCCGCTGCACGGCGTACCGCCGGCGGGCTCACCGGCGCGCAGGACGCGGCGCGCGCTCACTTTGGCGGCGTTCGGCGGCGCCGGCGGCGGAGCGGCGCGGCGCGGAGGTCGCGACGCGAGGCGCGGGTGCAGCGCGGCGCGGCCGCGGCCGGTTAGTGGCGCGGGGGCGCGGCAGCCGGACGCCGGGTCAGCGGCGGCGGCGATTTTCACCGCGCGCCACCCGGCAGACAGGTCGGCGGGGGCAGTGCCGCCGCGGGAGCGCTGACGGACAGAGGTGCCGCCGGCCGGCACGGGTGTGTGGTGCGCCGCGGCATGGAACAGCCGCCATGGGTCTGGCCTCGCTGGTGACGCTGGTGCTGGTGGTGGGGCCGTGGCGTGCGGCCGCGGGGGAAAGTCGCCCCCGCGCCGCCACCGTCGGCCCCGGCGGCGACCCTCGCCGCAGCGAACCGTTCTACGCGACGCTGGTGGTGCCACCCGCGGAGGAGGCTGGCCTGTCTCCCGACAACAGGCAGCTCTCGTTCGTCGCGCAGGGCAGCCTCTACAACCTAACGCTGCAGCCTGCACCGTCCTTCGTCGACCCGGACTTTCTCGTGCTTCACCGCTACGAGAACTTCACCTCGATCGCGCGCGCCGGCGGCGGCCGATCGGGGTCATGTTTCTACTGGGGCGAGGTGCGGCGGACGGGCGGCACGCCGCAGCGCGGCTGGGCGGCCGTCAGTCTCTGCGGCCGCCCGCTGGGGCTGCTGCAAGTCGGCGGCCAGAGCCTGGTGATCGAGCCGCGGTCCGGCCGGCGCGAGGCGCGCTCGCCGCTCGCCGGCGCTGTCCTCGGACCGCTGACGCTGCGCCGGCTTGCCGACCGGCTCGAGCTGGCGCGTGATCCCGACAGTGACCCCGAGGCTGACCTGGACCGGAGTTCAGACCCGGGCAGTGACCCTAAGGGTGACCTGGACCGGAGTTCAAACCTGAGCGGTGACCCTAAGGGTGACCTGGACCGGAGTTCACACCCGGACGGTGACCCCAAGGGTGACCCGGACCGGAGTTCAGACCTGGACCGTGACCTGGGTCGTGACACCAGTGGTGAATCGAGCTGTGATCCCGACTGTGAGCCGGACGGAAGCGAGGAGCGTAACGAGGACCGTAGCCCGGAGGCTGAAGAGGATGTGAGAGAGGACCGCACCGGCCGGCCTCGCCGCGCCGTCGCTCGTCACCAGCTGACCATCGAGCTGGCCGTGTTCGTCGACCTGGCGCTGCAGAAACAGATGAAGGACCTGTATGGCGAGCACACCGACAACGAGATCACCCGCTTCGTGATGGCCATGGTGAACGCCATGGAGCTGCTGTACGACGACTCGTCGCTGGAGCGCAAGATCCGCTTCGTACTGAAGCGGCTGGAGCTGCTGGAGACGGCTCCTGCCGAGCTGGAGCAGCAGCGCGACATCAACGCCTTCCTCACGAGCTTCTGCAAGTGGCAGCAGCGGCACAACCCAGCGGCGGACGAGGATCCGCTGCACTGGGACCACGCCGTGCTGCTGACGGGGGTGGATCTCTTCACGGCGGCCAAGACGGCCAACAAGCGCGAGGTCAACCGGCAGGTGGTGGGCTTCGCGCCCGTCGGCGGCATGTGCACCGCCGCCAGCAGCTGCACCGTCAACGAGGGCAAGGACTTCGAGTCGGTGTACATCGTGGCGCACGAGATCGGCCACAGCCTGGGCATGCACCACGACGGCCAAGGCAACGCCTGCAACGAGGAGGACCACATCATGTCACCGACGCTCGGCACCGGCAAGAACACGTGGTCCACGTGCAGCCGCGACTACCTGGACCGGTTCGCGGCTGCGCGGCAGGCCGACTGCCTGCGCGACTGGAGCCTGGGCGGGGGGTTCGCGGCGCAGCGGCCGTCCTCGCTACCCGGCGAGCGCATCGGCGCTGACGAACAGTGCCGGCTCAAGTACGGGCCGAGCAGCGCGCGCGCCCGCGAGCAGCCGCTGAGCGAGGTGTGCGTCAACCTGCACTGCAAGTACGACCACCACCGCTGGACCAGCCACCCGGCGCTGGAGGGCACCGCGTGCGGCTACGACACGTGGTGTCGACGCGGCCAGTGCGTGGCACGCGATGCCGCCGGCAGCGCTGCGCCCTCGGCGCCAGCCGATGGCGGCTGGAGCCAGTGGAGCGAGTTCTCACCGTGCGCCAGCTCGTGCCTGTACGGCGCCGACGGCTCGCTGGCGGCGGGCAGCGCCGGCGTGCGCGAGCGCTTCCGCCGCTGCAACAGCCCGTACCCGCGCAACGGCGGCACAGAGTGCACCGGCGGCGCGCGCCAGTACGAGACGTGCGACGCGACGGCACTGTGCGCGCGCGCCGGCCGCCGCACTGTCACAGAGTACGCGCAGGAGATCTGCGCCAAGGCGGCGCGTGGCGACCGCAAGCTGTCCGGCCGCGGCATCAGCCGCGTCACCAGCAACGCCTTCGACGCGTGCAACATCTGGTGCGAGCGGCGCGACGCCGGCTTCGAGCGGCACCGCCAGTCGTTCCCCGACGGCGTGCGCTGTGCCACGCGCCACACGACCGGCCTGCGGCCGCAGCACTGCGTCGACGGTCGCTGCCAGGAGTTCGCCTGCGACGGCGACTCGCTGTTCGCGGCCGGCGCCGACGCCGGCGGCAAGTGCGGCCGCGCGCCGCTCGGCGCCGCGCCCGACAACGGGTTGCGGCTACCCGAGCCGGTCGGCTGGGCCGCCTGGCGCTCCTACTCCCGCTGCCGCTTCAGCTGCACGGCGCCGGCTGAGGGTCTGGAGTTGGTGCAGCGGCGCTGCCGGCGCGCGCCCTGCCGCGGCCTGCACAAAACGGTGCGCCACTGCGCGCCGCAGCTGGATGGCACCGACTGCGTGTCGCTGCGCACGCCGTTTGAGTACGCCACAGACGTGTGCCAGCGCTACCGCGAGAAGCTCAGCCTGAGCCAGCTCTCGGGCATCGGCATGCAGCTGGCGGCGTCGGCCGAGGACCCCGACCGGCCCTGCACGGTCACCTGCCAGGACCGCGACGCCTCGCTGCGCTTCTACCGCGTCAAGGGCCGCGAAGGCTGGTTTCCGTCCGGCATGGACTGCGCGCGCGGCCGCGAGCAGCGCACCGCCTTCTGCCTCAGCGGCAAGTGCGTCGACTTCGGCGGCGACGGCACACCGCTGCACGACTCCAAGTACGACTACGCCTTCCTCTTCGAGTCCAGCTTCCGCTTCCACCGCGTCATCCGCGCGCTGCGCAACGGCACGGTGCCGCGACGCGGCAGCGTCGACCGCGCCTTCATCGAGAGCGTCATCGCCGAGCTGCGGCTGCAGGAAGGCAGCGGCGCCGCGGTGCCACCGGCTCAGCGCTCGCGAGACATCAGCGCCGACGACATCGACATGGGCAACCCGCTGCTGCTGACCGAGCTGCCAGCCGACTTCCCGGCGCCGCCGCTGGCGCCCGTGGGCAACGAGCTCGGCCACGCCTTTGCGCTGGGCGAGCCCGGCCGGCGCGTGGAGCCGCCGGAGCCGCCGCGGCCGCTGGAGCTGCCACCGACGCCGGCTCCGCGCGGCGGGGGTTGGGCGCGCGCGCCGCCGCCGCCGCTGCTGCTGGCGGCGGCGCTGGTGCTGGCGGCGGCCGGGCGGTGAACGACCGCGGGCGCTGGCGGTGCGCCGGTTTCGCCGGTCACTCGCGCAGCGTTAGGTCTTGGTTACGCGGTGCTGCGTTCCCCTGGTTCGCGGACGAGCGGCCGGTCTGGCGGCTTCGCCGGCTTCGAACCGGATGTTTTAGTCCGCGCCACCCCAGATCGCAGATTCTGTCAATCTGACAGTCGGTTGGTTGTCGTCGGCTGGATTCCGACGCATGTTGTAGCAAGATAAGGTAGCTAAGTGTATCAGAGCGCCCGCATTTGGGCTTGTCGTCCCGTCCTAAGCAGCTTTTGCACGCTTCTTATCGGCAGGCCACAATCTGGGCACATTCCTCGTGGCTCGGAGGAAATACATCGGGCCCCGGGCGGCTTAGACCAAGACGCAGGTGGTTGTCGGCACGTAAGACTGATGTCTGTGATCTTACCCGCAAGCACTCGCTGCCATTCACGCCAGCATAGGTGTTCGCAAAAAGTCTTAATTCGACGCCATTTTGAGGCTGCGTTGGACAACGTGCCAGTGCTCAGCGCGGCCAGCCCATCGCGTGAAGCCTTACCGGTCACGACTTCGTTTTGACTGATCCGCATTTGTAAGGACGGTGGAGGGAGTTTTTATTTTATTTTGAGCCCGCTGAGCCTAGCTGCACGGCGATATGTATAGGCATTACTACAGGTGAAAGTTCCAGATGGCTTTGGGCGGTTGTTGGCTGCGGATGGTAACTCTCTCAGGCCTTCGGCGATATAACGGTTAGTTTTATTGCCGTCTATCAACGGAATGATGGTGAAATCTTGCTAAAAACAGGCCTCACTACCCTCTAAATTCTTCCGGAAGTCGTACGATCCTCTCAGAGGCGGGCTTTTAGCGCCGTCGTGATTTATTGGGCGTTAGATGTAGACCTGTGTTATCTGGAAACTGGCGCAGCCGATCTTTGCGGCCTGTCTATACCGACAGTTTGAGGAGGCCGCCGAATGGCTGGACATAGGCCCAGCATTTCCCAAAAGCTTCGAACTGCGTGCGATCTGGGAGCGATCTGCCAAAGAGTCGTGCTGTCGGACGCTTGTGAGATGGCCGTGATTTATCGTCGCTATGTGATCAGTGCGTTCGACGACGCGTGTCCAGCGGCCGGCCGGCGCCGGCCTGCGCTGCATGATCAACACCGATGCAATACACGAGTGAGACGGTGGGTGGCCTACGGAGCCGTCTGCGACGACAGCGCACTGGCGGCCGTCCATTGTTCTCGCCATGCTCGAGGTGGGGCCTTGTCCGAGTGAACGAAACCGGGCTCCGCATCCCGCCGAGTCTGACCTTTGCGGTCGGTCGGGGGCCGTGCGGTGCGGTGAAGCCTCGTCAGACGTTGCGCCGCGTTAGCTCATGCTGCGTGCTCCTCTGCACTTCTCGCCATAAGCGGCACAGACGCGTCATAAAATTCACAGACGTAGGCAACCGTCAGAGGTGGTGTTGACTACGCCGATACCTTCCAATCACAGTCTCTTTGAAGCACTCGGCGACAATGTACGGCATACACCGTGTCGGGGCATTTGCAGCGCTGGCGGGTGTCCGCCCTAAATCATCCGGAGGTCGGTTTTTTTTTCTCGCCCGCGCTGACGCAACTCAACCGGTAAGCCGGCGCAGCTATCGAGGCTTTCCGCCGACGCGCGGCGGACAGCAGGCCGTGGAGACGACGCACTTGTGGCAAGCCGACCAGCGGCCTTGGGCGCACACGCAGCTGCGCGCCGCCCGTGTGGCAGGTCGGGGATCGGGAGCGACCCGGCCGGCGACGCCCGTCACACAGCGGCCGCCGGCGCGCCAACCCGTAATGGCAGGGCGGTGCCGGCGCCCACACCCCGCCAAAGCGGGCGGGCCGGCGCGGCGGCGCGCTCCGGATCGACCGGGCGCTGGGAGCGGGGGGCGACGGCTGGGCTGAGGGGGCGGTCGGAGAGACGGTCAATGGCGCCGTCCGCCGATCCGAACCGGTCCCGAGCGAGGGGTCACCGAGCTGTAGCGCAATTTGGACCGCCAGACCGATTTGGCTTCATGGACTGGTCTCGCTCCCTACATGGTGGGTCAGCTAGAGCCGTCCCGCTTCCGAGCTCGAGCAGAGACTTCCGAGGGTCATGAGCGGTGCTGGGTCGTCAGACCAGCGATCCCTGCCCTCGCCGAACCATCAGCGCGACCGCCAGCCCCGCCGGCCAGCTCGTTTGTCAGGTGATACGGCCGGGCTCGCGGAATCCCGGCGGCGGCGTGGGCGGCGCGGCGCGGTTGGGTCGGCTTCCGGCGCCGTGCGGCGCTGCGGATCATCACTGGTCCTCTGACCTCCGGCCGCGCCGCCGGCGGGCTTCCGTACAGAGCCTGGGACGCGGCGCGCCGGACAGCAGGTCGATATCCGCCAAGGCTGGGAGGTGTTCAGTCTACCGGACGCGCGGCTGGTCCACGCACCTCGTGCCCGGGATGCTGGTAATGTAGTGGTAAACCCGTCTGCGTTAACCACCGCGCGTCTGGGAAAGCAGAGACACGGGGTCTGATTCCAGCGGTGCCCGCCCTTCCTGTCAGGGTGACAGGCAGGCATCGCCACATAGCCTTAGCAGCTAAGTGCGTCGTAAAGCGTCAATGACATATACTTCCCGTGCCCTGATGCTGCAAAGTGCATGACACCTCGGCCAGACCCTGGCAACGCTCTAAGCTGCAGTCGGGCAGCCTGGCCGAGCCTGGAGAGCCCGGAGAGCGTGTATACTTGCTCTACGCTCTCCCCGCCTTGCCCTGTGGGCCGCCGCTTCAGCCCACTTTTGGTGGGTGCTGCTCCCAATTGGGATCGGCCATCTCACATGCAGATGAGGGTGGCATGTCAGATGAGCGGCGTGGCCCGACGGCGGCGGGGCGTGAGAACAGTAATATCCCCCAATGAGGACAGCGGGCGCGCAAGTGCAGTGTCGAGCAGCTGACACAGGTCACGGAAGCAGCGTCGGACAGATGACCTGGCGGTACTTTGTCACCGTTTAACTATCATGAACGTTTTGAGGGCGTGCCAACTACCAGCTGGATTACTTGCCCACGTTCTACGCTCCATGAGGCGCATTGTTACCGGCGCGGCGAACCGTACCGCCCTTTTTACCGATAACCCCCGTAACGCCTGCTTCCTCCGCGCGCGGCCGGTGGGGCATTCAAGGACGGCGCATACTCGCGGATGGGTGTGTAATGAGCAGCGGGCGGCCGGGCCGCGGCCGGGCGGGCCAGTCAACAGAGCGCAGGTCTGGCCTGTGCGGCGTGGCCGGCCGCCGAAGGTTGCCGGGCGACCTTCGCTGGCCGGCGGCCCCCTGAGCGCCGACAGCCGCCGCCGACTCGAGCCGACGCCGGTTTTTACCGTCCGCCGCCATCCGCCGACGGCCGTGTCGACGAGACGCGGGCACGTCTGAGGCTGGTGGGTGGTGATAAGGTGCGCGCGGGCGCTAGCGTAGTGGCATTATCTTTGCAGTGTGCTATATATCCCTCCATTTCTTCTTTTCTGCCGTTTTCTTTTTTCTTTTTACCGCCCCCTCGGCCAATCAAATTCCTTATTTGTCTGCGCTGTTTTGGATTGGTTTTGCTCTTGCACCTTTTTCTCACCGTTTTTTGCTTCGGTTCCTTCCCTCCCCACCTTCTAGCTGAACCTCTCCCCTCTCTCTCTCTCTTCACTCACTCAGCAACCCGGCATGTCGCCTGGCGACATGCAAGCGCCACGCTGGGACGTGCCGCGTTTTTGATCCGGTTACGTGCCACTTGTCGCGGGCGAGTGGGCGGCGGAGAACTGGGCTGGCGTGACGGCTGGCAGCGCGGCTGCCGCGGGACACTCCCGGCCCAGTGACGAGCCGGCCGCCTCGAGCCCCGCACACTCCATATCCGCCGACGCCCGCCGGCCCCGCGCACTCTACATACGCCGCCCGCGGGCGCCACAAACTCTACATACGCCGCCCGCGGGCGCCACAAACTCTACATACGCCGCCCGCGGGCGCCACAAACGACATTCGTCGCCACCGGGCGCCGCAGCTCTGCATATGCGGTGCAGCGACACGCTCTCTCCTCCCGGTGGCCGACAGCCGGCCCGCGGCGCGACCCGGTCTCGGCCTCAGGGCGGGGCGGCAAGGCCCGCGGCGCTGACGTGATCGTCGGGGCCGACGGAGGACCGTCATGGCCAGTCGGGGCCGACGGAGGACCGTCATGGCCAGTCGGGGCCGACGGAGGACCGTCATGGCCAGTCGGGGCCGACGGAGGACCGTCACGGCCAGTCGGGGTCCGGCGGAGGACCGTCATGGCCAGTCGGGGTCCGGCGGTCCGTGCGCCGCCGGCGAGGGTCGGATGAATGCGCCGTCCGTCTGCACCCGACTGTGCAGAAGTGAAAACCGGCCGGCGCCGTCAATAGCGGAGCTGTCTGCGGTCACGGCTGGGCTCGCGACCGCGACGCCAGCATCCGCTTCGGTCAGGGGACTGCGAGCACGGGCGCCTCGCTCGCCGACGGCGGAGCCCGCGGAGAGCCCTTCTGAGTCGTTTACAGAGGCAGGATGCACGCCGCTCAGCCTCGGTTACCGGACGTGCACATGACGCCGTTGCGGTAATACCGCCCGCCGTCCCTCCAGTCCCGCCCGACCAGTGCACACGCCCAGCACCGCACCGACGCTCGCTGGAGTGGCCCGGGCGGCGGCGGATTTGTTTTGAGGCGGCTCGCGCGCCGCCCGCCGCACTCGGGCGGCACCGCTCCTGCGCAACGCGCATTATTCATCGGCGTGGCTGGGCTGGTCGGCAGGGCACGGCGCCCCCCTGCGCCGCTGGGGCGGGCCAGCCGGCGCCCCAACAACACCGGACCGCCCGCCGCTGCCGTCAGCTCAGCCGACCACGTT